GCAAAAAAAGAGAAGTCATGTGATGTAGTACGAGGAGTCTGATTAGAGAGCAATCCGGAAATTCTCATGTTGAAAAACAGAGCATCAAAAACTGCAGTTCCTTGAGTGTCCACAAGAGGCTGTCTTCAAAACGGAGTTAATCCTCATAGAGTTTAGTATTAAAATTTCTGTTTGTGTTTGCTGCATAGACTGTATGGAAAACTTGGCTCTGCCTTCCGTCATTATACAGATTTGAAGCCTAATTGCTCTCGGTGTTTCCAGGATTTTCTCCACTTCCTGGAACCACCACCAATCTTCTTATGCTCATAGGCTGTATCAGGTGTAAATCATAGAAAACATGAACCCCCTAATAACTTTTAAAAACAGAGCTGTATAGAAAAAAGAGGACTTGAACACAAACCAGTCTGAAAGTAACTACTTGTCAACATTGCAACCAGGGGGGAGAAAAAATTATATTCTGTGTAATTAATTTCTAAAGTTTGTCCACAGCTCCATAAGGAGGCGGGATTTATGACCTATACTGCAGCCGGTCACCAGAGGGTGCTGTTCTTGCGGTGCCTTCACCCAGCAAGGAGGCAGACGGCGTCCATTCTATATACAGTCTATGGTCTAAGTCCATAGCTCATAAATAATTTCGTTAAACTGTGACGAGGCTTTTTTATCATATCCTTTCTAATTATTGTCAACCAAAGCTTTTTGCTGAACCTGAACGTCTGTCCCTTTATTTTCCGATACTCGACAATGATAGAGTACACGGGCCAGATCAAGATTAGTAAGTAAGAAACACCATGGTGAACCAACATGAATCACGAGTCAAAAACCAGGCAGTTTTAGGTACAAGACACCTAAACAGAATCAGAAGACATGTACAGAAATCTCCTGCCTCGGAGTTTGACGGGTTTTCTCGACCCATCCGAACCTCCTCTCTCTCTTGAGGCTTAGTGGCTCTCACATCTTATCCTGGCGCTCAGATGTAAACAAACTTGGTTTTACAGGTTTTGTTTTTCATCAGTTTTGGATAAAGAACATCAAATCCTCCGTCACAGAGAGGAGCGGGTGTTTCATTGAGCAGGTCAGGAAGGTTAAACTCTGCAGGGTATTTCAGTCACTTCTTAAAGGCTAAGCCGCACAGCGTCTTTCTGTGTGTTATCACCGCATTAGCACAGAGACTTAAACACTGACAGAGTCCTGGAGTTTTTAAATATGTTTAGAAAAATCAGCCTAAAGATGAGCGAAAGGCATTTCTACAAACACACTGTGTCCATAATCCAAGGTTGGTACATCGCAGTATGCAGATACAACAACTTTCATGGTTTGCAAATCATTTATACAGGACTCTAAAGTGGAAATCAACACATGGAAAGAACAACTGGACTTACTTGAGATGTTTCGCCTTAGGCAAAACGTCTCAAGTAAGTCCAGTTGTCCTTTCAACGAAGAATTGGAAATCATAGATGCAAGATGAAGGTCCACCAGCTTGTTCTCAGCACCCCTGATGATATGAGAATCATCAGAGTCCATGTCATGGGTATCTTCCACATCTGTGAGGGCTCCATTCATGCTTAACAATATCACCATGTTGAGGAGCAAAATCTGCTGCCATCCAGACAAAGACTTTTTCAGGGAAGATCTTCATATGATCCCAAACCACATTCTGACAACAGCATGGCTCTGTAGGAGAGTCCTGCTGACAACAATTAGAAAGATTTTAATCCCAACATTACAGGTAGGGTGGTCAGGATCTGAGGAAGTTCCATTTTTTTGGAGGAATCTTGAATGTAAACTCTACCCAGAGTCTCCGGTGTACTACATTTTCTTGCTTGTGTCGGCAGTCATAGCCAAAGGAGGATTCAGACAATTTTCCGAACTTTCTGGTTGATTTCTACCGTCCCATTTTGTAGCACGCTAACTCTGTTTGGGCTCGTGAAATGTTAAAATGTTGACTTAAAAGACATAAGAGAACACAGAGATATCGTTATATTAGCTAATGTCATCAATAACTTCTCCTATTGACAAATTTTGTGGGTCCAAAAGCAGATTACGCCTTTCACGAGTCAGACCTGAAAGTTTCTCTGAGTGACTCACTTTCTGTTCTTCATAGTTTTATTTCAAACTTCTGGATATTTCCTCCCGGTTGAAATAAAAAAAAGATCTGATATTGTTGCTGGCTGCTCCTCAGGGGCCTGGCTTCCTCCTCCTCCTCCTCTCTGATCATCTGGTAGTTTCTACGAGAGCGAGCAGGGGGAGGTAATGGGCCACAAACTCCTAATCAGGGCCTTTCTGGGGCTAATTGCCGGATTTGTTTGGGCTTCGACCATCGCAGCCCTGACTCACAGCCGGGGGAGTAATGAGGTGTTACAGGGTATGATGTCCCCCTCAGGACACCGAACCATTCAGCGGAGGGCCCTCAGAGCTCAGAAAAGAGTCGAAGCTAATGGAGAGAAACAAGGATGAAGAGACAAAGTCATAAGAGAGAGGACGGGGCAGAAAGACGAGGGTTTAAGAGTGCCATGTGTAGGAGAAAGAAAGAGAGAGAGGGGAAACACTGCGCTAAGAGAGGGATCAATACAGCAAATAAATAAAACAAAGAAGAAGAAAAGGTGGAAGAGCCAGGGGGGATGGAGCTGAAGATGGACTCTGGAGGGGAATCAGAGAACCAGAGGCTGAGATGTTCACTTCTCTGATGGAGAGAAATCGTTAGAAAAAGTCTAGAGCCCAAAGTCTGTCAGCAACTTTAAAACTTTACACCCAAAATCTTTACCTGCTGCTTTTGCAATATTTCCCACAAAACAAAGCAGCTTTTGAACGATCTAAATACTGACTCACTTCTTCCAATACTTTGTACAAGAGCGCCAGCAGCGAATGTATTGAAGTCGGACTAAGAGCCAACAAATAGCAGGAGGTTCCTGAACCAAAAGTCGACCATTTCTGCACATTCACCACCTGTGTGTACTCACTGTTACGGCTGTTGTTACGAACCCTTATAATCAAGTCAAAGTGTTGTCCAAGCTAGCTCTGAATAAAGCACACCAATAAAACTTGGATGCAGGAACTAAACTTTCCCTGAATAACATCACAGAGACATCCTGGACCACGGTGACACTCGAGCGAAATGATGAATGTTCTCATTTCTATCTCGTTTGTGATCCTCCTGCTGTAAGAAACAAACCACCTGAGCTCTCTGTTCACCACCTCTGTCTCAGAGACTTTCTTTTCCCGCCGTTTTCTCTACATGTTTATTCGTATTTGTGTTTTTTCATCAGGTTCTCTGCAGGTGTGTTAAAAGAAAAGTAAGAGGTTGATCTTCATGTGCAGATTCTCAGCGTCGGAGTACTTTAGGGGCTAAAACCGTAAGAAAATACACAGACGAGCCTTTTATTATGTCAAGAAATGTGAGGAACGAACCCGCGGACGTTCATTCGTCTAGAAATTTTATTTATAAATTACCAATTCACAACATTCGTTATCCAAAGTTGCTTTCCAAAAAAAAAAGGAGCAGGTCTAGACCAAGATCATTGTTTGACGAATTACCAAGACCCAACCTTAAGATGGGACAGATTTGACCCATCTCATCTAACATGAGTGACAATGGTAAGAAACAACTTTCCTTTAACCCCCAATGACTAACCCTGCATTCAGAACGGCTCCAATCCAGAATGGCGGCGATTTTTGCCTTTCGTCAATTGTTCGCCAATCGATTGTGTCCTTCCAGAGGAGGAAATCAACTTCTAGACTTCTAGAATCAGCATCTCCTCATCCATGGTGTCATCGAGGTGAAATGATGTCTGAAAACCTTTGACTTGTTCGTCCCTGCCGGTTTGCATGGTGTGAAATACGATCCTCCTGAAACACGGATAGAACTCTTGCAATCGGCTGCGGAGTTCGGAGATCCGCAGCAGAACATTGACACATTTACTTGAATGGAAACGATCAGTGGCCTTTTCCAATCAAGCCTTGAATCATTCGTGGCCAAATTTTATTGATGAAAAGATTTCCTTCCAACCTGACAAACTCCCTGATAATCTTCAGGTTTCAGACACTTTTACCAAACTCAGGTTTTGTTGATTCTTGTCTGAAGCTGATTTTCTCCTGAAGCTTCAGCAGTTTGAGGTTTTCACATTTTTATCGAATCATTATTTCAGAGCCGAAGCGGCGTTACTATCGTCTGCTTCACTTTCTCCTCCTGACACAGATGTTCCTTTCAGCCGTCAGTTTTCCCCTCCGTCCATTTTCATCAGACACTGTTTGATTTTTCTGTCTTTTCAGCAGCAGTCACATCTTTCTTTCTTCTCGTTGCGTCTTGACTGAAAAATAAACGTTCTCAGAGGCTCAATCACTGCCTTACATCTTTCTGCAGACTGAACTTCTGTACTCACAAGTGTCATTTCTGCCGATTGGTCACGCCAGATAACGGCGGATAATTAAACTGGAAAGAGACTCGATATCAAACTGCTTCATCTGACGGAGCTGCGCCGGCCTTTGGAGGGATTTCCACCATCAATAGACTCGAAATGAAAAAGTTCTAATGCGTCTCATGCCGAGCTGGAAATGGGAGATAGGATCTGATTTAACCCCCCATCTGGTGTCGCCCTGTGGCTTCAGAGCATCAGCAGCGATTTCATGAGGTTTCATAACATGACAGACGAGGCACATTTACGGCACAAGCTCACACAGTTTGGAAAGTGATTTAAGACTTTTATTTGAAATCAAACACAGCTGGGAGCGAAGAGGGATTAACGTTTTTTTACTCTTCAGCCACGTTTTTGGCTAAAATCGTGATTTCATTTGATACATGTAAAAAGTGATTATATATTAAAATGTTTAAAACTCATAAAATAGCCTAAAATGTTAATATTATTCGCTCTTCACATCTGCTGTTGCTTGCAGAAAAGCGGTTTTGATTGACCCCTCATGAGGCGATTCATTTGACAGTTCACGTTTTCGCGGTAAAGTCATGACAGGAAGTCAAGTTAGGTAAAAAAAGAACAAGAGAAGTCAAATAATTTAGACCTTTTATTAAATAGACTAACAGATCTGAATGTAATCAAGAAAATTAAACTTTTATAAACTGATAAATCAATACAAAATAACATCCTTTAGACAAACAAGTGTAGCTCGGCACATGTATCATTCATATCATACAAATGCGTGAACGTAGTATTCCTGATGTTTGTTCAGTTTGAGTATAAAAAGGTTTACTGCCTCGTCACGTGATCAGTCCGGGAAACACTGAGGAGAAAATAAAGGAGGACCATGTGACTGACCTTGAACACATCACAGCCGGACTCTAACTCTGACATTTTAAGGACATTTCAAACACGATCAGTGAAGCTGCACAATGTTGAGCTTTGTTAAACCAGGCCTAACAGATTTACATTTCCCCTCGAGGATCAATTAAGTCCTTGTATTGTATTATTGACCGCTGTGCAGCCTCAGATTTAAGCAGAAATACAGATTTTAGTGAGTGGTCTTATCTGGTTGATGTGTTTATCACCTCTGAAATCATTTCAAGTCTTTGGAAAGATCAACTCCGTCTCTGTAAACAATTACAGGCCTGGATATGAACATTACATGCAAACTGAGCAACATGAAAAATCCGAACCGCGTTATCTTCCTCCTCACAGCAAAAGAAACATTATAATGATGATCATCTGAACACTTTTTGACACTAAGCGGCCCATATTAAGTGTTGAAGCTGTTTTCAGACACACACTCCTGAGCTCTAAGTCGAAAATGTACCTGTTCAGGGATAAACCCTCACGGCGAGGAGTCTTTGCTGTTGGATAGACGGGGATTGTAGAAGGGGAAGGGTCATGATGTTAAATAGGTTAAACCCCTCATCCTTAAATTTTACTCATGTATTAATTTGGATTTTTACATGGTGACGTCTTGTGTGTTTCTGCACGTAAATTTCCTGCTATGATATTCCAGTGATTGCGTTGACGGGAACATATATAAACAATGTTTACCTTTATATCAACGTGGAGCAACCGTATTCTGAATCCCCAAAAAGAGGACACTACTACATGGGATGGAGTCGCAGAGCTTCGCATAGTAAATTTTGAGGGTTTTTGGGTCGGGTCGGGTATTTTTTAGGTGCTTCTAACTCAATAAGTCCGAACGACACAAACTCAAAACTTCCATACAAAACCTTGGACATTTGAAGGATTTTACAAACTCCCCTGGACAAGGCCAGACAGCCCCCAAAAAGAGGACATGTCCGGGTAAAAGAGGACGTATGGTCACCCTGATCAAGGTGATCAGTAATTGACCATATCCACAGTATCAATACGAGTGAAAAAGACCAGATTCTGCAGCGGAAAAGAAAGAGTAATGTTGCCTTCACGTCTTAATAGATACGAATGTTTGCTCACTTAATTTAAAGATATTTGAATACCTGAATATTTTGCATTTACTCTTTAAATTTGCACAAATTATTTACGTCATTCGCGTCTAAGCAAGTGCCCAACGCTGCAAATTAAGATGAGATTTCCGCCATATTGTAGTTCAGGGTGGCTGCACATTGTCACCATGCAAGTCAATGGGATCCTGCTAATATTCAAATAAAAGCCAAGTCAGGATACAAAGAGATACAGCATCAGGGAAACACATGTTTTTGCATCAATAAGAAAATACTAGTGCATCGTCTGCGTAGAAGGAGACCTTAATTTGATACGGCCAAAAATCTGAAGAATGGTATCACTAATATTTCTGATAAATGAGAGTCCAGCTGAGTTTATGTTTCCAGCTCAAGAACAAAGAATAAAAAGAGAGAGAAAAAAAAAAACATTTACCAAACCTGTCGTCTAAGTTGAAGTGTGAAAGACAACATCTCAAATGTTGCAAAAGAAAAAAATAGGGAATGCTCATTTTATGTTTTATGCCAACATGTCCTCCCAAAAAGTTTGTAAACTGGCCTAAAACAAAACAGGATCACAACTGGCGTCAATTTAAAATGAGCACACATTTTAGCTTTTTTTTTTTTAATGCTTTAACATCTAGAAAGAAATCAGTTGCTTTAGATTATGCTGAGTTTTGTTCCCTCACCACTAAATATGATGTTTCTGTTTTCAATCTTTATTTACGCCAAACTAATCTATCCTGATTTGCTTGCCAAGACTTTACAGATTAGCTTGGTGTGTTCGGAGGCTTTAGTTCTTTAAAGGTTGGTCAGATCAAGTTATGTAAGAAACAAGCCTGTCCGTTCAGTAATCTCAGATTTGATTCGTCAGGGAAAGGTCAATGCGGGCGGAGGTGATTTAACGCCTCATTTTGTTCACATCGCAAACAATCGTCAAGTTCAGAGAGATTTATCGTCGGTACAGGAGGGAAAACAAACCGTCAGATATTTCTATGAACTACTAATCGTAACCTATCGGCTAATTTGTCTCTATGAGTATAGATATATACGCGTTTTCCAGACAGAAGACATGTTTGATATTTGGTTGCTTGTTAAATAATAGTTCTTCATGCTGCTGCAGGTGTTAGATGGTTATGTCGATCTTAAAAGGTCTACGAACTCAGTCTTCGAGTCTGATTAAGAGGTTTTTCTACGGGTTGGTTTCAGTTTGGGTCCGGTTGTTTGGACCTCTGAGAGTCTTTAGATATTTAGCGAACATCTTTCTTAAAAAGAAAACAAAAATAAAGAAAGTGGAAACTGTTGGGTCTGTTTAATGAAGGTTGCTTTGTGTTTAAAAAGATTTAAATGTCCGCATGCTCGAACCGTGACTTTTTTTCAGCCCTCTTTGATATCAAAGCGTGAAGGTGATGAAGCTTTCGGTGTTTCTGCTGAACTTGAGGAAGAGGAGCAGAGGAGAAGGAGGAAAGTGGGCGCAATAATCAAGAAGTTCTGAAAAAATCCCTCCTGGCTCTGTTGGCGCCGAAGAGGAGGAGTTTGATTTAAGACATCGCTCGTAGAAAAAGTAGATTTTGAGTTTTTGAAAGTTCAGTCAGCCCAGTTTCTCGTCCTGCAGGAGCCGGTCGACTCTAATGTTGTGTTCAGGTGCCCTCTGTTCATTAGAGTTTCTGCATCTTTTTAAATCTCCTCCTTTCAGGCAAACAGAGCAGAGCGCTCCGTCCAATCAGGGGCCTCGATTTGGATCACATGCCCGTGGAGGATAGTCCCAGGCCGCTGGTTTTGCTCATGCACGGTAAACCTTGAGCTCCTGCTTTGGGGAAGTCATGCGCCACCACTCTGCCATTCTCCCCCGAGAGTCCCGAAGCTCCTCCTCCAACTCCGCCTCCTGCAAAACCTCCCATGGCCACGCCCCCTCCCGTTCCCCCGCTCGCTATGGCGGCATCGATGAGCTCCTGTAAGGCAAAGAGAAGGAGAACTCTTTTGTTGACGTGTTGTGAGGAGATTTCACAAAAGAAGTCTGTTAAGCTCCTTAGAGTTACAGGAAGAACCTGTCAAAATAAAAGCCTAATTAAAGCCTGTTTTTAATCTTAATTTAGTTGGAGTATCTGTTCACACTTTCACTGTCAGAAATAATCCTCTCATCTTCCTTCACTTTGTATTTAGCTTCACTCTCCGTGTCGACCAGTCTCACATCGTTATCGTCGTTTTCAGTCCAAATCGAGCTTGATTGACTTCCAGTTTAATCCTCAAAGAAGGAAGATTGACAGAGCTTCATAATCACAAATCTGTTACACACAACAAACACACCTGGGGATTTAGCTCCTCTCCAAAGTGAAATCTTTATTAAAGTCATCGTTGGAAATGGAGGACGGGTCTGAAGGTGTGCAACAAGACTGCTGCTGTTCACTCAAACAGCAAAGTTGGTCTCAATTCAAACCCGGACCATGAAGCAAACAACTGAGACCAAAAACTGTAAACTGTGTTGAACCAGGCTTGATGAACTGTTGCATCCCTACTGTCCGATAAAACCTGCAGCACAGTGGTCGGCAGCATGAAACAGAGGAGAGATGAAAGAAGCAGCCGCTAGCAGCAGCCCTCTGAGAGATGATCCTGCGCTTTCATAAATCTAGACTTTTCAAGATTTTTTGATCATCCTTAACCCAAGAACACCATCCCCGGGTGATTTTCACCCGACCAAACATGTTTACGTGATTTTCATGATGTTGCGTTTGTCTGAGTATCATGGTTCTTTGGGTAGCTTCAGCATTTCCTTTGACATCTTATTTAGTGTTCTAGGGTTAAACAACCTGTACCTCATCAGGTGTGTGTGCTGTTCTGTCATTCAGCTGTTTTCATGTCGCTCTGAAGTAGCTTGTACTTCAAAATAAAAGCCTGTTTATTCATAATGTGAGAATTACTGCTATATAAAAACAAGAGTGGAAGTCAGAATAAATACACTCTTCTCCAGAGATGTTTTAGCCTCAGAGCCGGTGTTTCGTTTTCATGTTTTCCATTAATATCACACCTGCAAATGAGCACCTAAACCAGCATAACTAACCTGCTGTTTTTGAGGGCCACCTGCATGCACTTGCCTCTATCCCCAAAAACAACATGTGGGTAATTAGGCTCATTGAAGCTGTGTGGAAAGAAGGCTTTTATTTTGGTGTGTGTGTGCAGACAGCACAGACGGTGATAACAGTAAAAGTTGAAGCACAGTAAAGCTCCCTCCCTCTCTCTCTCTTTCTCTCTCTGTCTCCTCGGTGAAACTAATGATGTGGATCCAGAGTTAATATCCTGTATCAGGCCTCCGAGGCGCCCACACTCCCTCACTTTTCTCCGCCTGCCGTCAGGAGTCGTCTAGCAGATTGGTACAAATAAATCCCAGGTTTATTCATTTACTGGAGCATCTCGAACACTCACTACACCTCGGAGCCAGCCAGCTCGCCCACGTTTCAGCAGCAGAGTCAAACACTTCCATCCCTCCTGCCTTCACCTCCTCGGCTCAGAGTTAACAGTTTATAATCCACATCAGTCAGCCTGTGAACACTGTCAACACTGGGAGGAACTGGAGGCCTCACTCTGTCTTTGTCTCCCGCCCACGTCTCTCTCTTTAATGGCGGCTTTTATTGTCGTAAGTCTGCATGTGCTGTCAAAACACAACAGAGCAGCATCTGTCTCCGCACAATGTCTCTAAGTGTTGCAGCCTGGAGGCGGAAAAGCCACCTGTTGAAACACCGACCAACCTAAATTTAAAATTTATCACTCCACAGAATAAAATACAAAGCAGATGAGCTTTATGGAAATGCAAACCTTTTTTTTTCTATTCCCCAAAACAGCCTGTCGCACCTAAAAACACTCCCATGACGCAACGCTGTCATTGTTCTGTGTTAATTAGGATACCCTGAAGATCTAACAACACAAAAGCCTTGTAAAGATTAAGATTCAGAGATTGAAATGGAGATAAATTATCTTACTTTGACCAGATTTAATATTTGCATGCATGTATGGTAAATCTTCAAATATAGGTCAGCTCTTTTGTTTTTCCTCTGGTACTGTTCCTTTAAATGTAGCCGGCTTGGATTAAAGGTAGGTACTAGGTGAGTGTTTGCTGTTATATTAGCAAATTAATGCAATAGCAATTTTCTCTTAAGTATTTACTCGAGCAGTCGCTAACGCCTCCATTCAAATCTCCGTCACAAACCCAGAAATTCATTCATGTTTGAAGGATGAAATCCAAATTTTAAAAATGGTAAAAGGCTTTGTCTCTTTCCAGCTCATCATGTACTATAATGGGTTGAATTTTGCGCAGTCAGGATTAGAGTGCACAGCACAGCTCTGAACACGGAGATGCTAACAGTTATCGCTAATCTCAGTCACAGTCAATTAAAAGAAGGAGCAAACTGCACAGAGAAGGTCTGTGATGAAATTCACAACAAATTAAATAGATATGATTAAATACTTATACTGTATCCTTTATTTTTTAAATACCATTGTTAAATTTAGTTTTTTTTGTTTGTTTGTTTTTGTTTTTTTTTACCACTGGACAAAGTTGCTCATTTGACAGTTTCTATTTCAAGTGTTTTTAAGCATCTTAAACTTCCTACAGGTGATGTAGTTCAGATGACTATATATCTATCATACTCGGAAGTAGCTCCATTGGCTAACACATATGTCCTTGCATTTCACCTCTATTGAATCTAACTCTATTTAAATGTCATTCCTCACATAATGACCCCGATGAAGCCAACAAGCAGGAATGCATCGGTCTATGAATAAATGCTGGGGGGTTGACCTTTCTAGACCTTTCTTCTTCTCCATGCACCTTGAAGATCGGTGAAGTTGTGCCAGAATCTTCCACACCACCTCTCCTGAGACAAGTATTCGCCAGAGGCATCATTGGAAGTTCATTTACAGATTCTATCAGCGAAAGGACGTAGTGATGCTGCTCAACCATTTCACGGTCTGAGAACTTTTACAGAGAAACAGCTGGAAAATTTCAAAACCTGATATAAAAGCGCCCAGACAAGCAGCAACAAACCAGCAACACACCAGCTACCAATGTACGCCATGAGCCTCTACTGGCGCGTGCATACGTGGCGGCATGCCATTGGCTACTTGCTTATGTTAGGATGGTTTAAAGGCATGGTTGACGATTGGAGAGATTGGTAATTATTATGAACCTCGTTTCTATGGCGATCATGGTCCTTTAGTGCGATCTCCACAAAGTGAGGAGAAAAAAGAACGGAAAAAATCTGTTCACCCTAACAGGTGCAGGGCTGCAGAAACACTGACCAACGGGAGCCATCTGTCCCGAACAGCTCCTATTGGTCAATCCCCTGCTCCGCCTCTCCATCCAGTCACCTCGCTGTATTTGACACACCCCTCTCCCGTAGTTGCGATTTGTTCCCTCCCACTCTCTCGGCCCTCATCGGAGCTCTGAGTGACTAATAGTAGCGTAGCAGCTTAGCTACAGGAGCTGTGATGGAACGCAAGCCGACAGAAGAAAGGGCGGAGTCAAAGAGGAAATGTGACCAAGCGAGGAATCTAACCTTGAATAAACATCGGGTCATCCTTGGCACATGTTACATAAATAACTCTTACTAGTCGCTGCAATGTCAACATGGTAGCTGTCCAGGCAGCTGCAGACGGCGCTCGCTAGCAGAGCTGGCGTTGACTGCCGCTAGTCACTAACAATCCAACATGGTGAATCCTATTTGAAGCTAGCATAGGATCTTCTGCCGGCCGACTTCTTGCTCTGCCAGAGGGGGTATGTCGTGGGGAGGGTGATACAGGTTCGGGGGGAGTTATCATGGAGCACAGAGGGGAGAGGTTTGTATTTGACACTTTTTTTCAAATCTACCTCAACGGCTCAGTCAACCAGGACTTCAGTCGTCAAACAGTAATGAAGTGACAGAGGGTTGGGGTGTCAGACATCAGAGGAGGGCTGTAGCAGTGGAGTAGAGAGTGACGTCTGCTGTGAGAGAACATCCTCCAGTAAGTATATCAGAGTTAATTAATGAATCAGAGTGGAGGCTATCATGGTATAAACCTATATTGACGAATATTCCCATGAGCGTGCTGCAGCTCTCCTGTGAGTGAGCTCATGCTCCTCTGCAGCAGGTAACCACAGTGTAACCCCGCTCTGCTCCTCCATCTGCTCCGACTGATGAAACCCTCCTCACATGTTGTGTCAGTACCGCCTTCAGCGAGCGCTTTAAGACTCCGCGCTCAGACGCTCGTGTGAGGAGAATAACAAAAGTCCAGCAGAGAGAGAGAGAGGGAGAGAGAGAGAGAGCCAACGCTCGGCTGAGGAGAAAATGACCCTAATGACTTGTTTGTTCCTTCTGAGGAGACCATCAAAGTCTGGGTGTAAACTGCCGCAATCTGTAATGAGCCGGCTGCGGTTTCATCACACTCAGACGCAGATGATAAAGAGGGGCTGGAGAGCAGAGTCAGATAAGCAGAGTTCACTTGAAGCTCTTTTAAACGGCACTGAAGCTGCTCCTGCCCCGTGGCTGCTAAACCACTGAGCTGCAGATGGTTATTATCAAACTGCAGACAAAAGACCTGATCTCCAAGAAATCAAACTGTGCTCATGAACAACGCTGATGATGTTTGAAGTTATCTGATGGACCTCCAATATTTCAGTCAGATGTCTGTTTGGTTTATGTTGATAGAGAGATCAAATACAGTAAGTCAAGTAAAGCCAAAACATTTAGAGCTCCCCCTGCTGACCAACGGCAGTATAGATGTTCTTAAGGAGAGGCTCAAGACTCACCTTTTTAACCAGGATTTTCAATAATTGCCTTTTTATATTTCTCTTATTGGAAATGTTCATTTTAATCAAAGTTCTTATTGTTTATTTGATGTCATTTTATTAATTATCTCTGTTCTTAGTCTTTTTCTTAATTCCCGTCATAGAGGTTTATACTTCTTTTACCCCTTTTTACATGGTAAAGAGCTCTTACTTATCTGTTCATTTAATATTATTTTGTTGTTTTAGTCCATCAGGTTTTACTCTTTCTTTTTACCATTTTTAATCTTTTATCTCCAGTGTTTACTAAAGGTAGCTCTTTCCTCACGTAATGTCTCAGTGTCAGGCCATGTCTCTTTAACAATATATCTTAAATTATCACTCTGTGTGCGCTTGTGTGTGTGTATGTGTGGGTGAGTGAGTGACTGCGGGTGAGTGTGTGTCTTTGTGTGGTTTTATTGTCGTTAATTGTTGTTTTTAGCCTCTGTGAGGCATTTGGACTGCATTTTTTGTATGAAAAGTGCCATAAAAATAAAGTTGAATTTGAATATAGATCAAAACTCTGCCTCGAGTATTCTATCGATTAATCAAGTAATGAAAAAGTAAATTTTCTAATGAAATATCTGTTTGACACACTTTTCTGGTAGTTGTCAAAGCAAATAGTGAAGGCAAACAAGTCTCTGAAACTTAGCCGGACTTTAACTTCTGTCTGAGAAGATGGTGAAAAGGTGACTCTTGTACTGGCAGAAGAGGAATGAAGAGTAAAAGAAGTTAAAGAGGTTTAAAGTAAAGAGGTGAATGATCATATTATCAGAGGTTTCTTCTGGTACATAAAAGTCATAACACATGTAAAGAGATTCAGAGCTCTTATAGTTGTTTATTACGCATTATTCTTGCAATAATGCTTCACAAATTAACTTTTAACGTGGATATTTGAGTCAAAAAATTCATTTTTGTGTCAATAATTAACAGGCGGTTTGATGTGCGTGCAATATTCACATTCTGCTGTTGGTTTGAAGTTTTAGTTGTAATTGACAGTAGGTGGCAGTAAAGTACACAGAAGCGTTAAAGAAGTTAAGTTAGCAATAATGCAAATAATGGACGGCACAGAATTCGATTAGAATATTGCTAATTAAATGTAATAAATGAATGAATAAATTAGCTTATTCAACACGTGACTCAGATCCAACTGGACTCACCTTCATCCGTCTCGACTCGATCCGGGACTTGTAGCAGAACTCGACCAGAGCCACGAGCATGGCCAGCCCCAGACCTCCAATCAGGATGTAAAACACTCCTGCAACATTGCTCAGACTGAGCGCGCTAGTTTTGTCCTGTCAGCGCAGAGAGGCGGGGTCAGAGACAACCAATCAGGGTGCACAAGGTTATGACATCACTACAGTAAAAAAGATATTCCTTATGAACTGAAATTCAGTTAAAATAGATCTTATCTTTCTGACTAAACAGACACTTTTAGGTCCATTTTCAAAGACTGTGATGAAGAAGAAAATATGACGTTCAAATAAAGTTTGACCAAGATAAAAAAAAATAAAAACAAATGTCATTGGTTATAATCCTAGCCATTTTTTTGTTGTTATTGTTTCTATTCATTCCACTGATTTGGCATCTGCAAAGCTTCACTGATATTATATTTACTCAGTGAGCTACCGGTTGCACTTTGTTTACATTGTTTACACTTAAAGGACACCTACGGGAACACTGGTTTTCATTTATCCACTAAAAAAAAAAAACAGAGGGCTCTTTGTTTACAATTGATACATTAAAAAGGCATCAAGGGGGGGCACTCTCTATCTTTTATTCACTAATCAAGCAACTGGACATGACTTCGTTTACATTTTCACATTCGGAAGGCACTTATTTTACATGTATGTACTTAAAAAAGCAACCAAATGGTTCTTAATTACATTTAATTCACTAAGTAGGCAACTCCATGCACTTTGTTTACATTTTATACACTGAAAGGATAGCTAGAGGGCACTTTGTTTACATTTAATTTACTAAAAAAAGCAACAAGAGGGCGTTTCCTCGACATTTATCCACTAAAACACAACCCTATGCCCTTTCATTACAGAGAATACACTAAAAGGGCATCACTTTATTTACACTGTATCTCATAGAAGAGCAACCTGAGGGCACTTTGTTTACAACTTAGACATTGAAAGCGTATCTAGGCACCATATTGTTTACAATGATCCACTAAAAGAGCAACTAGAGGGCCTTTTGCTTACATTTTGATCACTAAAAAACCAACTGGAGATGTGTTTGTTTATTTTACTCACTACAAAAGTTACCAGAAGTGACTCTGGTTACATTTTTATCACTTAAAGGTGAAAAGGGGCACTTTGTTTACATTACATTCACTAAATTTACAATCATAAGCTCTTTGTTTACACCTTTTCCTCTGACTATTATGTTTAAATGGTCATTAAATACTAAATCAATATAACGTCTCCTCTCATCACAATCTTTGAAAATTAATCTTGAAATATCCGTCTCATGCAGCTTCATGCACAATGAAAGACAACAGTGTAAAGAAACTCTGCATGAAAAGTCTGTCTCTGTAGAAATTGACAATACAATAAAATAAATAACCTGTCACATTTCATTCATCTTATTCTCAGAAATAAAAAGTGATATTTGTGCTGTTCTTCACAGTAAAATATCATTTTTTTAAGCTCAAAGGAAGAAAAGTCTTTTAGTACATCCTTTGATATGATTCTTCTTCAGAAAGAAATTTGTTTCTTTGTGGAGGTGGAGGCCACATGTGTTTCTCTCACATGCATCACTCTGTTTTTGGTGGGTGTGGCTTAGCTTTTTCATCCAATCGCATGCAGCTTACTTAAAAACACCCACAGCAGGAAACAGCACTCAGAGTGGGCGGGGCCTCTCTTCAAGCTAAAGTTTAGTGAAGTCAGGGAGAGCCTATTAGAGGGTTTTCCTCTCCAAACTGTCATGGTCACCTCGGCCAATTATATCCATTAAAACTGGACCGTAATTAACCATAGAGTCAGATTGAATTAATCTCCAACGTTTACGCGAATATGTTACATTAAAAATGTTAAAGTTTATAAACGTATTGTAAAACTATCTAAAAAATTTGTCCAGTTAAAAGTTGTTTTTCTTTCACTGCAATGAAAAACATTTTTGATGGATGACTGTGATGTCCCGGTTACTTGCACAAGAATTGCTGTGATTAAAATTTGTCTACTTTTTATCTACTAAAAAAATAAAAAAAGATTACACACTCTGTTTACATTTGATCCACTTAAGGACAACCAGAAGACACTTTGTTTACAATCATCCACTAAAATTGCACTTTGTTTACTTTAATAAGCCAAAAAAATAAACAAAGTGCACTTTGATTATTTATCATCTACTGTAACATAAGGTTGTTATTTGTCTACATTCCACCAGCTTAGGGACGACCAGAAGGCACTTTGTTTATAATTATCCACAAAAATTGCATTTTGTTTTTATTTTATATACTAAGAAAAACCAAGTAGGTACTTTTTGTAACAATTTAGCGACAAAAACAAGAAAACATGAGTGTGCTTTGTTTACATTTTATTACAAAAAAGCATTGAGGAAGCACTTTGTTTACATTTATCCACTAGAGATTTATGATTTGAGCTGATAAATCGCCCGAATATGTTGTTTGCTGTGCAGCAAATCTTGTGGATGAAACAGCTGATAATACTGTTAGGTAAACACAGTAACTGCTGGATAAAGATCACCAGTTAACACATGAACCAGTAGAGGGGATGATTGATCACTTCTGCCTGTTATGTGTTTATGAAGTCCTCTCAATCGCCCAAATGTTCCTCATTTTTCTGCTATTTCAGTCTGACTTTAAGTCTTTTCACCTCGCTGCCACACTGACCAGACTGATGAACATTTCTTCCCATTTGTTAGTCACGGTCTGTGGCGCCGAGTTCAGAGGAAACAGGAGGTACATGACAGATTGGAGACGAAAACATCAGTGTTGTGTGTCCATGTGTGAGTGTGTGAGTGAGTGGAGGGAGAGGAGGGATGGTAAAGCTGTGGTCAGTGGCCTCGCTGTCTTTCAGAGCTGGTTTGCAGCCATCAGCAGAGAGAGAGGACGACAGAAGAGACAGACAGGAAAGTATATTTAGAGTCTGAAGATCTGACTTTTTACATCTAAGATGCAAGGAAATAAAATCTGGCTTCAGTGTGCAGCTTCTCTTCAGAGCTGTATTTTGTATGTTAGTGTAGAAAGGTTCCCTCACTATTGAGAAGCAAAAGTTCTGCTAAAACTCATCTTTTCAAACTTCCTCTGACTGTTCAACCAGCAGAAGAATCTAAAAATATCCATGTGAATGTAGCACCTAAAGGCAGTCAGGGTTTGTGGTTAAATTGATGTAAAAAGTCAAATTTTTCAGTCCTTTTTTCTGTCTGTCTGTCCGTCCGTCTGTCTGCGGCTGCTTCTAGTTAACTGTGCTGACCACAGAATATTCTGGAGAACTGAAGGAAGCTGAGCAGAGAAAAGCCTCTGAAGAAATCTTCTGATCTGGAGACATGAAAACCCCTTATCTCCAAAAAGTCAGCTTTGTCGCAATCGGCTAAAGCCCGACTCATTTTCTCATCAATTTGCATAAAATCATCTACTTCATGTAGAGGTTGGAAGAAGTTTTATGGGATTTAAACTTCAGGAAATGTATGATGCAATCATGGATAGTGTCTTCATTTAGAACAAATTGGAGTAATGAGATTTTTTCATGCCAGCAGAGGAACTTAAACATGTTCACGTTTGATTCCCGTTTCCTTCAGCTCTTCAGAACGGTCAGCTGAGCTGCAGCGTTACACTCCAAAAACAAAAAGTTTCTCCACAAAACAAAATTTTCGTTATCACAAAGGCAAGTCCTTTTTCACCAGCAGGGCCTGGAGTCAAACTTTTAGTCATCATCTGGGTTTCAAATCTAAACATTTTGCCTTTTTGTTGGTTTTTGTTTCCAGTTTTTTGGAGATTGATCTTTCTGGCAAATATAACAACTTAATTATTTATCTTACCACTTTCCAAAATAAAAAATCAAACATGAAAAAAAAACCTCAAACTTGGACGTCCAAGGCAAACATCTTAATTCCCAATTTCTTAAAACTTAGATGCCAAACTTAAGGACCTAAACCCTGCAAGGAGGAAGGAAGGAGGCTCTGTTAATGGTCTGGCGTCTGGAAAAAATAGAACTCTTGCGATCGACTGCGAAGTCCAGCGATCCACAGCGGAATGGGAAGAAGCCGGTGGAAATTGACACATTAACTTTAACGGTTACGATCAGCTACGATCAGCGGATACGGCCTTTTTGTAGCTGTTCAGGATGCGGTGGAAATTGCCAGTCATACTTCCTTAATCCACGCAAGAACCCATGCAACAGTGCCCGAACACTGCGATACTGCAGACGGTAAGAAGATGCTCTGCTGGTTGCAGGAATGTCTGGATCATCTTTATTGTCGAATAACTGTTTATACTTTTAGGCATACATATTCTGATAGCTAAGACTGTCGACTGTAACTTTTTATTTGAACAGATATATAAACTAAACTGATGTCAATCATCCAGTCTGTCATGGTACCACTTACGGTTCAGTACCTGCTGGTAAAAACTGGTTTTTGCTTTGAAGAACCAGAAGGATGCATTTGATAACTTTTTTTTTACATTGCAGATATTTGGCGTTACGAAGGTCTAATCTGTAACGGTCAAAAGTGTTGCATTGGATGCCGACACAGTTGCCAATGCTAAAAAAAACAAAGTCAATAGTTACATGGAGGTAACTATTCAACCAGAAAGATTAAAAAAAAAACTTGATTGAAGAAGAAAAAAGTCCCTATTTCATGAAGCTCAACAAAACAATCTGTGTCTTAGAAAAAAAAAAAACCCTTTTTCTTTTCAGAGTGTACCTGCTCAAGTCTGGTGTTCGGTGTTGTGCATGGGAAAAGTGGGCAGGGGTGAACCAACACACGACCTCAGGACCAGGCCGAGCGACCTCTGAAACTGACCTTTCTGCCGGAGTCCTTGTGTCCACACTCCCCCTTGTCATACCACCACTTGTTTTTCAACTTGTCTAAGACGGCTTGTTCATTGAGCTTCAGTACTGCTAGGTTTACTGGGATTCTTCAAAGAACCATGGGAGGGAGGGAGGGAGAAGGAGGGGGGTTGGAAATAACATAAATAACATTATGAACCTCCATGTTATCTTATGTTATTGTTTAGCTGCACAGCGGCGGGGCTGCAGTCACTACGGGAAGCAGCAACAGCAGCGGCAGTGATTTAAGCAAGGCTGATATCCGCAGTACAAATGCTTTTATATGCTACAGAGAACAGCTCGACAACAACAGAAAGGAAACATTAACAAACGGAAAACGAGCACCATCACACAAAAAAAAAAACAGTCTCAGAAAATGTCAGAGTCAAAGTGATATGCTTTAATACTCCATCTAGCTTGGTTTACTCTGACTCCCTACGTGCGAGATGTGTATTACTATATCACTTTGGGTAACCGGCAAGGGCTGAAAACACTCCTCAAGGGCTGTTCGATAAACCACAAAACTATATCATCTGTGTTTCCTCCTTAACTTCAGGAGGAGCTGACCTACTAGATGTACAATGACCAGAGGGGGTATTTTCTGAGGGCTAACTGGGTAGTTTGGGTTTAAACTCTGTTAGCTTGGCTTTTCTTTTACCTCGGCGGCAGTGAGCTATGGGTCGTGACCAAAAGAATAAGATCGCAGGTATAAGCGGCAAAAATGAGTTTCCCTTAGAGATAGGGTGAGAAGCTGGGTCATCAGGAGGGGTTCGAAGTAGAGCCGCTACTCCTAAAGGTTGGGAGGAGTCAGATGAGATGGCTTGGGCATCTAATCAGGATGGATGCCTCGCTGGTGAGGTGTTCAGGGTATGTTCCACCTGTAGGAGACTACAGGGAAGACCCAAGACACACTGGAGACATGATATCTCTCAGCTGGCCTGGGAATACCTAGGAGTTCCCGGGAAGATCTGGACGAAGTGGCCGTGGAGAGGAGAGTCTGGGCTTCTCTGCTTAGCCTTCTGCCCTGTGACCCAACTTAGGATAAGCAGGAGAGGATGGGTGGATAGCTTAGCTGTATATTAATCAGCTGTAGTGGTGCCAGATCCCAGTATCCATGATGAACCTTTATAACATCTGTTTCCCAGAGCTGGTGTCCCACTATCTTCTCCAAAGAGCATGAAAACTATTCAGACCTGACACTGAATGTGGCAGAATTCAGACAAAACAATCTTTTTAGAAACTGTTTGAGCAGTTTTTGATGAAAGTACCTGAATCACATGACCTGAGCAGTATCAAGAGTAATCAACTATATCCTGAAATGATCAATTAAAAAGTTGTATTCCCTCTTGAAGAAAATGTGTGAAATGTTGAAAGCTGATTACTGTAAAGTTCCTGAAAAAGTTTCCTAGCATAGGAAATTAGCCACTGCTGTAATGGTGGCTTGTTATCGCTTGGTATATGTGCGTTAAAAAACCATCAACGATGATTGTTACTGCTGTGTCACACCAGCTGTCCCAGAATAAAGACAATTGAAGTCTGTTGGATATTGAACACGTAAAAGCTAACCAGCGATGATATTAACAATTAAACCAGAGGACGTACTTGGTTTTGATTTCATTGTTGCCTCTGCCGCTTGTCGTTCTTTTAAATTGGACGACGGGTTCTGGTAAAATGGTACGGTATAGATTGATTGATAGATTGGTAGATTGATTGATTGAATCACTTTTTACTAAAATACCCCCCTCGATCAGAAACTCTCTGGTAGGATCTGCTCTTTGGAGGTAAAAATATCAGGAATCTATCTCAAAGACAGAGATGTGTTATCAGGACTTCTGAAGGAACCAAACAGAAGGTTCCAGTATATTTCCAACTGCTATCCGGAGTGTTTTAATTGACAGAACAGTTGTGGGTTGTTGCCGGTTACCCCGTTGTACCATTGCCTGTCGTTACCCGTTGGGGTTACGGTGATCTGACCTTGGAGTCCCCTCCCCCGATGCCGCACTCTCCCTTGTCATACCACCATCTGTTTTTCAATTTGTCCAACAGGCCCTGCTCGTTCAGTTTTAATACTGCCAAGTTAACAGGGTTTCTACGGGGATGATAGCAATGAGGGATAAAAAGGACACTATGTGTTAATGAGTAAAAGACCACTGTAGTGGAGACAGTCACAGCTCTACACGCTTATGACAGGCATCTTACTGTTAGTGTGGTTAGGGCGGGATCACTGCTCTTCAACCCAGACCTTCAGAAATGGTGTTTCCCATCGTGTAAATTTGTAGGTGTCACATTTGGAAGTATTTGATATATCTGGGGAGGACTAGATGGGGATCCTTTTTATTTCGACAGTGTTAAATAAAAGTTTAAAAGTCTGTTTTTGTAATGTAGCACGCAAAGAACTGTGGGACCAATGAGGCCGTGAAGGGTGACCTGATGCAGAAATCTTGGATCGGTACTATGATGCATGTGGGCGTCAAAGACTGCAGCCCTTTGGTACTGTAGACCCTTTAAAGGGATATTCCAACGTTAAATTAATTTACGGTCAAGAGAAATGAATGTTGCCGACCGCTTGTTTCTCTAGTTCTACCAACTTCAGGAACGACAGCAGGATAGCAATCGACAGCGGTCTAAGGAGCCATAAACAAACCTCAACCAAAACGCCACTCTATAGCCACAAATAATGCTCAGAACAGCACCTAACTTCATCAACAGTACATATAGGGTCACAGCCACAGCACTAGCCACCAAACATCTTTTTAACTTTGACTAATTTCTTTAGCAAAGAGACTAAACACAACTCACCTACTCTCTTCCAGCAGCCGCTTGTTTGTAGCGAGACCTCAGGCCAATTCATTACGGACTACAGCAGGGTGACGCAACTCAAGGAAGAACATTTATGATCATTTATGGTCAGCTTCCCGGTTTGTAAAGGTCAGTTTCTGATGGTTGACTTAAGCGATGGGAAACAAAATTTTAGTTTGGTTCGGGTTGAAAAGCAGCAACTGACTACGACACATCAAACCCTCACTTGCACTGATTTCCATCTATGTTCTGATACACAAAGCAGGAACAACAGTCAAATGCAGAGTGTACTCTAACGACAAATGTTCAAACAAATTCAGGTTTTATGGAGGATCAGTGTGATCAACTTTTCAATCGGCTTACACAAAGAGAAAAATATCCACAAGTGTCCTGTTGCTCCTCTTTATGTACCAACAAAAATTAAAGCTAAAAGACTGACAAAAGAGAGCAGGGATGTTGTTGATTTGAGAGACATGAATCAACAAAATGGGCCGACCAATCATCAGACCTGGTGGATTAATTGTTAATGAAATGACAGCACAGCTAAAAGAGTCTTTGTTCCTGAGTAACAGTGTTTTTACAAAAACCTTTAAGGACAGGTTCTTTTATATTATGGTGAATAAAATGGGATAGGGAAGGACTTAGGGGGTAAGTTTTGGATTTTCTAGACTTACCCCATGTCTCTAAATAACACTGTGATACGTCAGCACTCAGCTTTGCTTTTAAAAAGCAGAGGAGGTGCAGACACATCTTCAAACTTTTTAACAGTTTAAACTTTTAGATTAATCTTGTATTTCAACAATGTCACTTAAGAACAACACTCTCGAAATCATTCACTTCAAACAGAACCACATTCATCTCCAGCAACAACAACAACAACAACACTGGGAGAAGAAAGAAAGAAAGAAAATCTGGAGTTTCATTCATGACGTGATTTGGTTAACCTGAGAGTCAGTCAACCCAGAGCACAAAGTCTGCTCCCTTATATACTCACTTTGTTTCACTGAATATCCTGTATGCTTAAGTGGATTGACACAACTTTGTTGCTTGGCAACTGATATCTAAAGCTGAAACCGTCCTGTTCTTTTCCAGTAATGGTGAATGACTTTCTTCTTTGTGTATCTGCAACTCTGTGCACATGCACAAAGAAAACAGCAGATAATGAAGGTCTGAAACTTTCACCGTCAAGTAAAACTCATGAACTGTGGAGCTGAATTATTCAACTCTTGATTTTAACATTGTTAAAGTTTATCAAACTCTGAATTTCAAACCAAAGAGAAAGAAACAAATAATGACCTTCAGCTTGCTCTAATCTTATCTTTGGAGTAATTTCTCTTCCTCTGACTCTGGGTTGGCTGTAAAATGCTGATGTGAAGCAGAAATAATGAGAACAAGATGTTCCCTCAGAGAACATCTGATAAAAACATGGACAATGTTCACTGATGTCTGAAGCAAAGACAAGAAAAAAAAAACAGGACTCTTAAAAGCTGCAGGCAGGTAAAAGATAAATCTCTCAAACTCTGCTGTTCCGTTTTATCCCATTATGGATGTTCATTGTTTTTCTCCAGTTAGAGTCTCTTTCACAATGTCCACTGCAGCTACGTTGGTGCCTACATCAAGAAGGTGACCACTTCAGCACGGTGTAAATCTATCATACTCTATTGATTAATGAACTCAGCAGAAAACCTCAATTTCATTGTTGGCATGAATACCAATCAATCGTAAATGGACAACGTGATTCTGCTACTGGACTGCCGAACACAGGGAAAAAGAGGCTGAGAAACTTTCCAGAGGAGGAGAATAAAGTTATTCTGGGTGACATCGAATTAGGGAAAAGATATTTTACTCTCCTCTGTGAGCGGAGGTGTGACACTCGCCTTCAGAACACCGCGAGTATGCTCTGTAACAGTCTGAGTCATCGCGTGGGCTTCATTATAAGCCAACTGGATGTGGTGCATTGTGGGTAACTTATGTCTGCTGTGGATAGACAGTTAGACCGCTACATAAAACATAAATATGGCGCCCCCAAGCGCCAGCAGGAAATCAGTCACGTTCAAATCTGAGTGAATGGATAACAATGTGTACGCACAGATCTACATACGACGTTACACCCCAGTTGACAGCGTTCCAGTTAACAAGTCGGAAAACCAAGATGGACGCCTACTGTCGTTGGCCGTTGTCAGTGGTTGTTAGTTGTTATTAGCGATACCAGTTTTAAACAACACATAACACAGTATTTTACTCTTACAAAAACCATAGCACCATGTTCACAGTTAGACGTTGGGCAGTACAACATATACCACTTATTTAATTTCACACACACAAAACAGAAGTGCTAATGAATAGTACATTAAGAGAGCTTTCACTGTAACTCTTTACTGTTGATGCACTGCGTTGTCATCAAGTATGGGTTGGCGAGGATCGTCCGACTTTCCGAGTTGGAAATGCGACTTCAGGGGGGTGTTCCAGATGAATTTCCATCTCGGAGCTCGGAAATCCCGACTTCCGAGTACAACTGGAACAATTCCGACTTTAGGGGGTGTTTTGAGTGACGGATGTGAGTGGGAACCAGGTTTTTCAGACTTCTTAGATCAAATCGAACCATAAAACCTGCTGTTACATGTCAATCGGTCAATACTGCAGAGTCCAATACTGAACCTTTAGTCTCTGGACAGAAGTAGTCCCTGATGCTACGTGGTTTTTGGAAAGTGCTGGAGTAAATTTGAATGTTTGTTCGGAGTGTAAAGTTTTGGTTTGAGCAGCAGTCCACAAGAAACAGCAGAGTTTGAGAGTTAGATATCTTAAACCTGACAGCAAGAGATAGATAGATAGATAGATAGATAGATAGATAGATAGATAGATAGATAGATAGATAGATAGATAGATAGATAGATAGATAGATAGATAGATAGATAGATAGATAGATAGATAGATGTTGATGTTAGCAGCTCTGTCAGTATTCTTGCAGTCAAACAGGCATAACAGAACAGATCACATAACAACAGACAGTTAAACAGGCAGACAGACCAGAAACAGGCGAACAGACGAAAACACTGAGACAGACAGACAGATAAACAGACATATAAACAAAAATGCAAAAAAGGCAAAAGAGAGAAAGAGACAAGACAGACAGAGACAGATTAAGACATTTACAGTCGGACAGACAGACAAACAGACAGACAGACACAGACGATAAGCAGCTCTAAAAATCAAACCTCGGTGTACAGATATGAAACTCCCCCTGACACTTTGAATATTAGCGTTTAATGGAAGTGTCTGGATTTGTTTTTTTGTCTCTACACTCCTCAGAGGTTGGACCAGGTCATAGTTTGTCAAAGTCTGGGTCACAAACCTGAAGCTCAGAATCTTATTGTCAGCCTGAAAGTTCAACAAAAGTCCTTCACGACGTCAATACCGAACTTAAGTATAGCTGGGAAATAACCTACACCCTCTCAGCATTTACAGGCATCAGAAATAACAATATAAAAACTATCAGTCTTGTCTTTGACAGTCTTGTTTGCTTTTGTACTTCAGAGAGACACTTAGCTGTTCATTTCAGTCTGTTTCAGAACAATCAAAAGTTAAATTAATTTCCTTAAACGAAGCCAACTCAAAGGTAGGGTAGTCAGGATCTGAGGAAGTTCCAGTTTTTAGGAGAAATCTTGAATGTAAACTCTACCCCTCCAAACCAGTTTTCCCCTCAGCTCCTCCTCCAAGCCCCGCCCACAAACAGACGCTCCTGCTCGCTCGTATCGTTCCAATTAAATTCAGATATAATGCAAATAAATACTTCAGATAATTACAAATGGGGCTCAGTCAAGGTGAAAGTCAAAAGCATTGGTGCTACTGTAGATGCCAACAGACTACCAGCAAACACAATGTTTTTTCAGCTTGAAACTGAAACAGCCGTCTCTGTTTTTCATATCAAACGGCTAAAATAAATGACCATCAAAAGTCAGCAGGATGAGATTTTGTGTAAAACTACACTACTAAGTATGTAATGGACAAAATAAGCAACGACTGCTTTGTCCACAGGGGGCGCCAGAACGGACACAAACCAAAAGCTTTAATCTAAAAATCTACCATGAAATAAACACTGAACAAAACGTCATCAGACCAAGTCAAGTATTTTAAAACTTGTTCAAAGTTGGTAAAAATGGACCTGAACTATTATTATAATTTAGTCAAGTCAAATATAAAGTCTTCAAAACTAAGACTGGAGTCTGACCCGAGTCCACACCTCTGAACTTAAACTTGATGTTTGATCTGAAGTCTAGAAAACAGAATCCATAAAGGAAAGTGTTGCCTTAAAACAGCTCAGTGTGAAAAATTTGTGTTGGAATCAATAAATGTTGATCTTAATTAGGTTTTCATATGCTTGTCCCTGATTGGTCTAATCCCCCACAGAAACAGACAAACAGGACACCAACATTAACCCCACACTGACAGCTCAGGTGTTCAGAGTCTACCTGAGAGGTGATCCTTTGGGCGTGGCCACCCCGTAACCTTTAGAGTCCAGGTTTCCTCCCACTTTCATGGTGTCGCAGGGCTTCCTCTGCTCAATGTACTCGTTCATGCTGGACTCCAGCAGGTAGGCGTACTTCCCCTTCGACTTCCTGACTCTAATCACGCCCTCGTTTGTGTTCTTGACGAACACAGAGGGGTCTGCACTCCGCATGTAGGACCACATCTTCTCAAAAACTGCTATCTTTGACCTCTACGATGGGAGGGAATGGTGAAAGTGACAAAAGCTTGTTACTGAGCTAAACATTTTTGACGTAAATGGATTTGACCTTTATCCTTTTACCTCTTAATTTTATACAAAGTGACCAGTTAAGGAAATTAAAACATGGAGAAATGAAAACCATTATTATACTCAAGAAAAAATAGTGAACTATCCTCACCCTGAAGAACTCTTTGGTGGAGCCTCCATCCAGGGTACCGTAGGCGATCTCCGTCTGCTTGGCCAGGTCTTCTGCACTCTCGATAGGGGACACCATCCTCTCCACCGTGAGGAAGGCTGCCAGATTGGCTGTATAGGAGGAGATGATGATGAGGGTGAAAAACCACCAAACTCCTCCCACGATTCGACCTGAGAGAGACCTGAAAAGATGACGGAGAGAAAATGTGGAATTTTTAAACGATAGCTGACCCACAGAGGGACTTTTAAGAACTGCTAAGCTTGTAATGAGTAAGGAGATTGAAAAATCAGCAAAGACGATCCTCCAAATATCATCAGTATGCAGGTGACACTCAACTTCACCTTTAAGTCTAAAAAACGTTTTTTAACCAGGATAGAGACAAAAAAAATGAACAAAGTCTGATCTGTCGGACACTAGAGTAGTCAATGGTCAAGATTCTTATAATGACGACCAAAAAATCTAACTAGCAACCTCCTGGCGCTTACGCTCAATATCAGGCCTTGTACTAAATAATATCTGTAAATGCTTTCACTCAAACTTTCTGTGCAAATGCTTTATCGTTTATCCTTTTATGCAGATGATACACAAGTTTACACTGAAGTTGAATTTGACTTTCAGCTTCATTTAAAGGTGCTTCCACAGCTAAACATTAATCACAGTTTCACATTTGCAATAAAAGCATTACTAAAGTGTGAAATTATTGCAATAAATGAGAAAGATTGCTCAAATCAGACCAATGTTTTCTCACTTAGCATGTTTATATCATGCCTAATGCAAAATGCCAAAGAGCTTCGGTCACGTTTTAGTCATCATGAGACAAATATCTTCCCAACAGTCAATGTCAATAATTCCTCAAGTCAGCAAACAGCTGATCTACAACTCCAACATCACACTGTTGCTGTTCTTCTGTATTTTATCTTTTTTTAATTTATTTATTCATTTATTTTTTTGTGAAGTACTTTGGCTGCATGTTTGAAAAGTGCCTCACCCCCAATTTCTACTGCATCCAGAACGACTACAAAAAGGCTTTATCCGCCGATCGTAGCTTTTCGTAACCATTTAAGTTAATGTGTCAATTAGCACCGGCCTCTTTCTGTTCCGCTGCGGATCGCCGGACTCCACAGCTGATCGCAAGAGTTCGCCGGGACAAACCAGATAAATTCAGCACAGATTAACCCGTGCTGGAAAGGAAGTCGGACACAGACACAAAATAAAACATCCAGCTTCTTTTCAAAATAAAACACTTCGTGTTTCAGGAGGATTGTATTTCACACCACGCAAACGGGCGGAGACGAACAAGTGAAAGGGTTTAGATGTCATTTCATGCCGATGACACCATGGATGAGGAGATGCTGATTCTAGAAGTCTAGAAGTAGATTTCCTCCTCTGGAAGGACACAATCTACTGCTTATATGGTTAGCCTATGTGGCTAAAGACAACTTGTTATCGCAGGATTGTACATGAATCCGCGGGTTCTTGTGAGTTCTCGCGATTCCTGCTGTCCGTAATCCGCCACAAAATTCGCCTCACAAACAGATCCAGTAGGAATTGGCGGACGGCAAAATTCCGGATCAGAGTCATTCCGGATGCGGTGAAAATTGGGGGTTACAAATTTGGTGAAATACGTCAACTTTATCCAGTTATTTGAGAAACAATGTGTCCATGTAAACAATACGAAGTTGTTTATTATAAGCCGTGTCACTGTACTCACGATCAAGCATCCCGTACAGCCTCTAGACAAGCTCGGTTTCAGCACGTGTGTGAGGCTGTCGGATCCGATGACAGTAATAGGTGTTACTGTTATTCTATATATCATATAGTAGGTATGATGGCTGAGGCTGAGAGAGGAGCAGGGATGCTCTGCCTCCTGGGAGGCAGAAAACACTAACAAGCATCTATACCTCACATCTGCATCAAATGCATCCACACACACATGCATAGGGATACTGTACAGTCCCTCAGGCACAGCCAGTCAATGTAAAGGTGACCCAGTGTGATGCATAGAAACACACTCTCTCAGGGACTGAGAGTATGACCAGAGTACATAGATACGCATGTTTTCCTGTGTGCAATAAAAAAGTCTGACAACTTAGTTTGTCAAAAGTTTCGGTTGTTTTACAATTTTTAACACGTGGAAAAATTTCAATATAAGAATTTTCAAGAAGTGAGTTACATATAAAGTCGATGCTATGATGCAATTAAACACCAATTCTAGTCAAGCAATCAACACTAGCTGTTATTCTAATGTTGCTTCCAGCCTGCAGTTCTGAGTCTGTGCTTTCTCTATTGAGGACATAACTATTTAAAACCAAAGAGTGACGTCTTCACACACTCATGTACCTCTGATCTATTACAAATACATCTACAATATTATAACAGTTGAAAAGGAAAGCAGCTGATCACCTGTGTGTCCGCAGACTGTGTGTAATGCATTCAGAATCTAACATCTAACTGGGACATTGCTTTAATAAGGTGATGAAGAAAACCACAAACGTACACACATACTGACACACACTCCTGCATATATTAACACAAATATACACTGATAAGATAAAATACCAGTGCGCACACACGCACGCACGCACACACACACACACAGAGGTCTTCAGATCCAGAATAGAAAGAGCCTCAGGCCTTCACACAGCAGTAACATACAGCTAACCCGGCAGCACGTCACACAGGATCCTACGTGTCTCATGTTAACATGCGTGTGTGTGTGTGTGTGTGTGTGTGTGTGTGTGTGTGTGTGTGTGTGTGTGTGAAAGAGTGTGTGTGATGGTATGTCAGCATTAATCAGGGCTGTATATACAAAAGGTATATAGTGGTAAGGCTATGTATGGATTTATGTATGAATGTTTCTCCGTCTGTGAATGAACTTTCCATGTTTCTAAGGACTGAGGTGTCCTACATGCCGAGTACATGTTCAGGAAATGTGTTTTCTGTGTGTGTGTGTGTGTGTGTGTGTGTGTGTGTGTGTGTGTGTGTGTGTGTGTGTGTGTGTGTGTGTGTGAAGGTGAAGTCTTTCCCCCTAAATTTTGGAGGGAGCTCATTAATAAAATGGATGTTTTCAGGGTTAAAAAAGTCAAACTTCTTTCTTTTGAGTGGAGAAGAAAAACATTAAACACTGATGTTGATTTATTAATGTTCTGATTCTGGTACTGGAGCTCGTTGTTCATCGCTCGGGTATGTTGGTGTTTGTGCAGGTGTCTTACCTCGGAGAGATGTCACAGCCCTGCTGCATAAAGGCCCCGAGTGAAAACCAGAGAGAGTTAAAAATCCCAAAGTCGTTGGTGTACTCTGGAGTCTCCTTCTCTTTCTGCTGGTTCTGGTTTTGGTTCTGGCTCTGGTTCTGGGTCTGAGCCTGAGGGTATCCTAAAAGAAGGGGAAAAAACTCATGTGTTTACATGAAAAAGGACAAAGGACCGTTGGGTGTTAGAGGTAATGACGGGGTACCTGGAGAGTGAGTCAGCTCTGAGGAAGGCAGAGCTCGCCGGGAGGAAGATGAGGGCAGAGTTTCATCTTCATCATCAGACTCCTCTCCTTTCCATTCATACGGACTGAACCGACTCACCTGAGACACAAAGAGCACATTAAAAACAGGTATTTCCTTCAGCATTACGAGATACTGACAAACGGAGACACCCACTAGAAAGAGCACGACGCTAACTCCGATGTAGGCGAACACGATGCACATCCAGATCTCATAGGCGAGCGGGTCGAGGAAGGAGAAGACACCCGGTTTGGACTTGGTGGGTTTCTTGATCATGATGGAGATTCCCAGAGACATGAAGGGTTTGGTGAAGTCGATGACCTGCTCTCGAACCAGAGTGATGGTCAGCGGGGCGACCGCCACGTCTGCTTTCTGCAGAGAGACAACGTACAGGAGTGATTTTAGATGGTCAAATGGGGCTCAAGTCCGGGTTTTTGGTAGTCTAAGGTACTGCGACTTTACATTTGCCCAAGATGGAACTGCCAGCAAAACTCAAACGATAATCAATAATGTTTTCAGTGTTTTTCTGATCATCTCCATCTCCTGGTTACCCACCCCGTACACCAGCTCTCCCACCATCCCATTCCACATCTTCGTCTCGGCGTCTCTGGCGCCGTACTTCCCGTCTCCCACCAGCTCCAGTCGGTACGAGAAGCCAACGTGTTTGGCGATCTCTGAGGCCAGTTCGGCGCAGTAACCCTCATATCTGTCGTTCCCCACAAGCTGCTCGTGGTTCTTCTTCAGCATCATGTAGGGAGCCTCCTGCACACACACACACAAACACACACAGATGGTGTTTACTGTCAGGATGGAAAGGACAGAGCTGTCAATCATTTCCTCGAGTTTATCATGAAGATAGAAAGACAGACGGATAACGGTCTGACCAGGATGGTGGTGACGACATAGGTTCTGTTCTGAAGACCGTAGAACTCCTCCACCACCGGTTTGTAGACCGCCGTGTTCACATAGCCTCTCCTCTCGTTCCAGTAGCCGATCTGAACACAAGAGGGCAAAGTTTTACCAACAAGTCTGCTGTCTGTGCTTTCTTCAAGTTTGTTCAAACAAGTTTTCTGCGTTTTCTTTTGACTCATGGATCTGATAAACTTACTAGTTTGTTTTTATTTAACCTTCATTATACCAAAAATATTGACACATTATTTTCAGGGAGTTCTGGCCTTGTCTAAGACTCCTGGGGCGTCCTAACAATCATGAGCAACAGTTTAAGATGTTTAATTCATCTGACTGCTATAAAACCTCAAGATGAAAAACAGACAAAAACCAGCAGGAGTCAGTGACTAGGTGTCATTTCTGGTCTGTGGGCTAAAACGCTCAAATAAAAGTGGTCACCCTTGAAACATTTTTACCTGAAGGCCTGAAAATGATTGAAAAAAAAGTTTGTTCCACTGTATTTGAAGATGTCCATTAAAGGTTCATGTTGCCAATTGATTTCCCTGAAAAATCTGCCTGGAAAAACAAGAAATTCCTTTACCTACAGATATAAGTGGATATTGGATCTTGTAAATATCAGAGCATTGCTTTCATATAAGGTATGAGTCAACTACATCAACATCCAGGGGGTCTGTAAGTTTCTATGGAGGGTCCAGAAGCCTATCGATGGCAGTGGCCATATAAAGTGTAGCAGCGCCGACGTCAGCGCAGGGGGCGTGGTGCATGACGTGCTAGCATGGCCATTTTAACAGACATAACAACACTACGAGCATTGGAATGAATGGAATTAGGATGACGTTCGGTTTTAAAAACAACTATGTATAAGCTGACTACACAGTAACGGAGAACGGAATGGAGAGAGCAAAACTTGGTCTCAACATATCGTACAGGAACTAGCTGAACAACGAAGAAAGAGGGCGTTACCGAAGCTAAATTGTGGAAATTGTTGGACTCGACCCATGTGAACACTCTGTATGGTCAGAAGATGATTTCGAGATGCTACTACCGCTTGACCGAGTGCATTTGATGTAGTACCTCATCGAAGGAACAAGCTATTATACATTTAATTCCTTCCATAATGAAAAGTTTCTCTTGGCCCACGTTTTTTCACATCTGGGTGGGTACACAAACTGCAGATGCACAGTGTCAACAACAAAACCATCATTCACACAATGGCAGGTGATTACACACATACACACACACCCCTGAACAAATTATTACACATTATCGTTTTCTCGTCCATGTTGGAAAGCAGAAAAAAACGTATTTTTTCCACAACTTTCCCTTGACATGCTCTCCTGTTATAGCACTTGTGAACGCAGCAAATATCCACCATTGTAAGTTGATAACTTAGAGCAAAAACAAAGACGAAAGAATCACTGATTACAAGTCTCTGTATTGATGCTGAAAGTTCCTTCCTGCCAAATGTTGACGCCCCTTTTTCAGATTTTAGTACACCCTATTGGAAATGTCAGCTCAAGCTAACCTTAAATTCAAAGAAGTGGAGCTGAGGTGGGCGATAAGCCAAATACAGCACATTTATATGTTCTTTATATGTTCAAACATGGGGATTTGTGGAATTCCCTGGATTTTGCGGTCAGTCTCAAGTGGAAATTTGAGGTACTGCAGTTTTTGTTTTTTTTGCTTTAATCTGTCATTCACAAATTGAGGTTGCGTTTTGACTCAGAGTTGCCACATATCTCTTATTTCCCTCTGCGAATAAATAACAAGAACTGAGGGGATACAGCTGTTTAAACGTACTCATTGTTTATCTTTCGCCCACCAAAAGAAAAGCGAAAAAGGACTCTCTGGTTGCACTGGTCAACAGAGATGTCCTCAAACTAAATTTCTGCCTTTAAAGTCTCTTCCGAGTTTATTGTGTTTGATCTGGGAAAACTACAAAGCAAACATAATTAAGTTTTTAATTACAGGATAACTCATTGTGTGATGTTCTGTTGTCGATGGAGTTGTTCAGAAAGCTGCGAGTCTGCAGGTTTTAAACCAAACAAGCGCTGCAGCAGCTGATTTCACTGATTATCGCGGCGTTCATCGCAGGAGAGGAGCTCATTACTGAAACCAGCTGATGTGGTGAAACGCTGCGGACTCCTGTGACTCTGCAAACCAAACTTCTGTCAAAGTTAAACTAACGAAACGACCAACAGCAGCACCTTTCTGGGCCCCGTGTGGCTCAGCTCCATCACACTCAGGGTGTAGTTGGTCCGATGGCCTCGCTCGTCAAACTGAACCCAACCCGTCAGCCCCTCCAGACGAACCTGCAATAACACGGTCAGATTTTCACGATGAAGTCCGTTACAGCTTCTGCTGCAGTTGGCTTCACTCAAATCTTAACATCATATGGAGGCTGTTTTATAAGTGTATCCTCACCTGCTGCAGGGCTCGCTGTATGTCGATGCCCTGACCCCAGGGAGCCGGAGGGTTGGCCAGACACTCCCCTGCGTTTCCACGGCGAGAGATGTCGATCCGCTGCTTTCGTAGATTCTGGAATGCTGTCGCCATGACGGTGACGCCATCGTAGGTCAGAGCACCTGTGTACTGAAAGCGAGAGAGGAGGTCAGCAGAAGTAAATCCATGACCATAAACTTGGTGTTCGATGAAGGTGTTCAGGGACGACCATCACAATTGTTTTAAAAACTCAATTCTGACAAATCTTAAGGACAAAATCAGCGATTTAAGAGATAAGGGGACCTCCTGTCCATAAGGGGGCGCCAAACTAAAGGTTTGTTGCAAGAGATTAAATGAATTTAGCATAGACTGTATATACTATGGACAACTTGGTTCCGCCTACCGCCTGTATACGGATTTGAAGCCAAAAAGCCCCTACTATTTCCGTGATTTTTCTTCATTTTCTGAAACCAGCATTGCACAGTAGCACGGTACGCATTCCGCAGGAGAGTCACTGAGAGTCGCTGTGATGACGCTCGGCTCTAACAGTGTATCTCTCAGATGAGCTACACAATCCCTGAACGCCCATAGGCTGTATCAAGTGTCAATCATAGAAATCATGAGCCCCCTAATGGAGCTGTACAGAAAAAAGAGGACTTGGGCACAAACCAGTCTGACAATAACTACATGTCAACATCACAACCAGGGGGGAGAAACATTTATGTTCTGTGTTATTAATTTCTAAAGTTTGTCCACAGCTCCATAGGGATTGCTGGCGGAGGCGGGATTTATGACCTATACTGCAGACGGTCAACAGAGGGTGCTGTTCTCGGAGTGGCTTCACCCAGCGAGGAGGCAGACGGCGTCCATTCTATATTCAGTCTATGGAATTTAGCTTGTTTGTACTCGGGCCCGACCGATTTATCGGCGAGCAGATTAAATCGGCAAATTTTAGCCTGATTGAGACTAATCGGTAATCGGCCAAAACTTGCCGATTATCACAGATATTTCCAGAAATAAAATGCAGAGAATAAGATTCGGTTTCACTTGAAAAGATCCCCCGACTTATCCTGTAGATGGCGCAGCAACCTCATAACCACCTCACAGCACAGCAGAGTGATGGATCTGAAGCAGGCATAATTTAAACAATCAAACAATTAATCGGTAATCAGATTTTTTCCCCTGTAATAATCGGTATCTGCATCGGCCCCAAAAAATCCATATGGGTCGGGCCCTAGTTCGTACCCGGAGTCTTCTTCGGGCCAGTTTGAGGTCTTTGCTGTCGAAGTCCAGCCACTCCTGGTTGATCTTCTCCACGGCCGGATTGGACCGGTTCACTAGCTGGAAACCCGTCACATTGGGCCCCAGTTTCTGAAACTCTGTCATGTTCAGGTCCATGAAGCCCTTAAAAACACACACGTATTAATGTGTTAATGCGGGGGAAAACAAAGTGTAATCACAAAGTGTAATCACACACGTTTTCAGGAAGTAGTCGGACTCACCAGATTATTCAGGATGTAGTGGTAGTTCTTCAAGTTTCTCTTCTGAGCTGCAATCTGAGTGAGAAGAGATAAATGAGATGCTAATTACATTTTCTGATGTTTGTAATGATAATAAAAAGCATCCATTACTCATTCATCATACTCCTCTGAGTGTGTGTGTGTGTGTGTGTGTGTGTGTGTGTGTGTGTGTGTGTGTGTGTGTGTGTGTGTGTGTGTGTGTGTGTGTGTGTGTGTCCTCTCAAACAGCTGCTAATCGTCTTTGAGGAATTAATTGCTCATCTTTAGCATCAGGAAGAGATTCAGAAAGAGAGAGAAGACCTCCTCAGAGAGATGGCAGAGGACGAGGAAGAGGAGAGAAAGAAGAGGAATAGAGGGAAGGATGAGGAAGAAGAGGAGGAGGACGAGGAGGAGGAGAGGCAGCTGCAGTGAGGAAAGCAGGAGGAGGAGGAGGAGGAGGCAGGTGTTAGCTCTTCAGTCCAGCTCCTAATGAGCATCGGTCGGCAAACGTTCACTAACACAGCTGCTCTGAACGCTCCTCACTGCTAGAGGATGGAGGGAGGAGGAAACTCCGCACAGTCCTCCTCCTCCTCCTCCTCTCCTTTACCTCCTTCTCTGATCAAAAACACTCCCTTTACAGCAGAAAACGCACCAAATAACATTTATTAGCAGAAAGAGGACCATCAGGTTTTATTGATGACCTGAGTCTCTAACAAATCCACTACAGGAACTTTTTTTTACCATTTACAGTCACTTTAAATCGTGTTTTTCTAAGAGTTAGAATAAAACATTATGGAATTTTAATTTAGGAGCTTTAACAGGTTATAACTTCATCAGGAAAATACGTTTTATACTGGTGTGAAACAAACATTTTTCCAATACAAAGAACTAAATTTACTCAGAAAATCTCAGGAATTAAGACGGGATGAAATGAGTCTGTTTTATGATGCCTGTTAGTAAAACGTTGGCTGACTGTTTTTATGAAGAAAAGTTGCAGGAGGAATCAAATTCTTTTTTCATTGGTGGAATCACACGAAAGTTTTCTGGGTCTTCTACAACATTTGCTCGGTTTTCGCCGACAAAACCACGAAGTAGATCTGAAACTCCACCTGACTCTTGTCAAACTGAATGCACCACATGGTCAGACTTCAGAGGAGCTGGACACCACCTGATAGTTCCAACATGAAACAAGTTCAGCTGACACTAAACACCACCCAGATTCAAAGCAGCACCTGATACTTGGGAGCGCGAGCCAGCTGGAGCTCAGAGGGAAGAGGAATTTCCCGAATGACGTCTGATTTCTGGACAGGGTTCACACTGACAAAAAAAAAACACAAACCTCTCTTTCTGGTTCAAATAGTCCAAAAAAAAAAAAAAACATTTCCAATGCAAAATTATCTTTCTTAACGGTTTCCAAACGCCGCCTGTGTTCTCCTGCCCGACAGTCAATTATCAATGAAGCTGGAATCAAAGTGTGGAGTCTCTAAATCAAACCACAGTCACAGCAGCTGCAGCTGAAGAGCAGAGATCTCATCTGCATGAATATAAGAGCAGAGTCCCCAATGAAAGGGGCGAAAAAACAGACAGAAAAACTTAAACTCAGTCTGTTTTTTTAGGTCATTTAACCGAAAAAAAGAGAAAAAAACAGGGGAGCGTTTATTCGCTGTGTGAGTGTGAAAAACACTCTCTTTCTCTTTGGCATCTTTTTGGACATTTTTGTAATAACCTGGAACTTCCACCGCATCCGGAATGGCGGCGTTTTTTGCCGTATGCCAATTCCTACCAGATCCGTTTGTGAGGCGAATTTTGAGGCGGATTATGGACAGCAGGAATCGCGAAAACTCACAAGAACCAGCAGATTCACGTGCAATCACGCGATAACAAGTTGTCTCTATACAGACAGCCATAGAAGCTAACCATATAAGCAGTATAGTGTGTCCTTCCAGAGTAGGTAATCTACTTTTTGAGTCTTATAATCAGCATCTCCTCATCCATGGTGTCATCAGGGTTAAATGACGTCGAAAAACCTTTCACTTGTCCGTCTCCACCTGTTTGCATGGTGCGAAATACGATCCGCCTGAAAGACGGCGGGTTTTTTTTTTTTTTTAAAAAGCCAGATGTTTTATTTTGTGTCTGTGCCCGACTTCCTTTCCAGCATGGGTTAATCTGTGCTGAATTTATCCGCCATGCTCCGGCGTCCGAAAAAAAACAGAACTCTTGCGATCAGCTGTGGAGTCCGGCGATCTGCAGAGGAACGGAAAGAAGCTGGTGGAAATTGAGACGTTAACTTAAATGGTTATGATCAGTGGATACGGCCTTTTCGTAGCCGTTCCAGATGCGGTGGAAATTGGGGGTAAGACGCCTGAACAGTTGTCGTAGTGTAGAGTAACCATACGTCCTCTTTTAACCGGACAGGTCCTCTTTTTGGGGACTTTCCAACTTTGTCCGAGGAAGTTTATAAAATCCTTCAAATGGACTTTCTGAGTTAGAAGCCTGTAAAAGACACTCGAACTGACCCGAAAACTCTCAAAATGAAGTTAGTGTGACTCCATGACTCCGCCCCTATGTAGTCGTGTCGTCGTTTTGGGAAGTCAGGATATGGTCACCGTGTCATAGTGAGATGGTATAAGTCTGGATCTCAGTGTTGAAATGCACGACAAAGTATTTCGTATTATCTTTCAATATCGCTCAGTTTTTTAAGTTATCTTTATAAGGAAACACAAAAAATAAATGACAATTTTTAACAAACAGCTGAGTAAGGAAGGCATCGAAACGATAAATTCTCAGTCATTTGAACAGAAATTTACTCTTGACTTATTCAAAGGTCAGAAAACGGTCTGAAAACAGTTGAAACTGAGCACACGTTATTCAACGTTAGTGAACATGGAAGCACAGATTGTTTTAGTGAACATGGCGACCACTATCAGAGCTCGTACCACCAGCCTCCAGTCCTCTATGTAAACCTACCCATAAATGTATGTTTGACAAAAAAAAGACTTATTCAGAGGGAAACTGCTGTTGTTGGCCAATAAAGTGGTGAAGTTACCTCAAAGATCCTCATCAACAACCAAAACAACAAGCGGATGGATTAAGAAATGAAAATAATTATTAAATAATAAATCAAGTTTTTGAAAAGTTTTCCTGCTGTCGGGGATAAGCGAGTGTGTTTTACCAGGTTGAGGATGGAGTTGAGTCGCTCCAGCTCACAGTCGATGATGATCTGAAAGTCTTTCTTGAAGTCGAGGTCGGTCAGCAGTTTGATGAAGGCCGCTTCTGTCAGAGTGTCCAAGTTAACTGAGGTGACCTGCCAAGTCCGCTCCGCCGCTGTGTCCAAGATCCTCTGCAGCACCGACAGACCTGAGAGCCAGAGAAGAGACTCGTGAATCAGCGTTCACTTCTTATACTTCAGGATTTAGGTTTAAAGGTACACTGGGTGACTTTACACATGGAGAAGAACTCCTCCGCAGATTTTTTCACAACCTTTGTTCTCATATAGAAATGTGTTTCTCTCATGTTTAAGAGGATTTCTCTCAATGAATCTTTTCACCATTTTAAATCTGATCAAATCCATAAAAGATTCACTCAAACTGGACAGGAAGTCAAAGGTAATACTAACAGATGTTCAGCGACCGGCTGCTGCTGCTTACCATGTCTCTGCAAGCTCTTAATTTGGAAATCAGTACACAACAAATACAAATATCTAAATTAGGGATAAAGCTCAGTTATCAGGTGGTCCAAGATTATGTTGTCAGATTATCCTGAGGTGTGTGAAATTGCTCTGTATTTACAGAGGAACCCGCAGGATGGTAGATCGTTCCTGCTGTCCACCGTCACGTCAAACAACTCTATAGTAGGGTGATACATACCATACATTCTCGTTTTTCGTCCAGGCTTTTGTATGGAAGTTTTTAGTTTGTGTCACGTGGACTGACTGAGTTAGAAGTGCGCGAAAAACACTTGACCCAACGCGGATAACCGTCAAAATTAACTACGCTTGACTCTGTGACTCTGTGACTCCGCCCCCGCGTAGTTGTGTCCTCTTTTTAGGGATTCAGAATATGGTCACCCTATCTATAGCCAATCAGAAGGCAAGCTGACTGAATAAAGAAGCACAGCTAATGTAACCATGGCAATGGTGGTCAAGACACCACATACAGACGTCAGAATTATGAACCCACGCACTAAAACACTGACGACACAAGCGTTTATGCAACATGTTTGGAAAACAGACCACAACCACAATGATGATCATAGGCATTGAACAGCTGCTGAAATCAATTTGTCAGGAAGTTAAGCAGCTAGCAGTAGCTGTCTTTTGTAGTCTGCCATGTTTTTTCCTTGAAGGTCATTTGTGAGCGCTTGTTTACATAAAGTCAAACTTTACAGATCAGTGTAAGCTAGGGGGACCATATTCTGGATCCCAAAAAAGTGGACACGACTACGCGGGGCAGGGTCAGGCACAAAATATTGAGGGTTTTTCAGGTCGAGTCAAGTGTTTTTACATGCTTTAAACTCAGTTAGTCCACACTACACAACCTCAAAACCCCGGACATTTGAAGGCTCCTTCTGCCAACTATCAGGTGAAGCTAATTCGCTGATAATCCCCTCTGTGCGTCTCTAACTAACTCTAGTTTGCATTTCCACGTTGTTAGGCAAACAGTAAACAGCAGTTGGGAAAGAAAATTAGAAATCTCAGTCCGGAGTCATTTTTGCTAAACTTTGGCTGCACTGAAAGCCTTAAAAGTCGGTCGTAACTTCAGTAGAGGACTGCTCAAAAGCTCCAAGACTGAGCTGACAGTCGAGAAAGTTAAAACCTGACAACCACATCATGAGGCAGCAACGCCGACATCTGTTAAAACAACATTTTTTAAAAACTCTGCAGACTTGACAAATTGAAAGTGTACGTGCTTGTCTGGTTGATGACTTTACGTCACTGTCTCCCTTCCTGACCAGAATACTCCACAGATTTGTGCTCCTGACAAGATATATTTATTCGGGGGTGGATGTAAGTGGCAGTGGTTCCTCACGCTGATCGTCAAGCGTCTCTCTTCTCTCTCGCTGAGGAGTCAAACTCTTGTGATGTGCGCCGTCTGCCTCAGGCTGGACTTGGCCTGAGCGTAACTTCAAAAACCGCTCCACATTGAGACGCAGCTCTCTGGTGCTTTTATTTTTGTTTAAGTGTCCTGATTCGAACAAGAGAGAATAAACATCAGAGATGAAGATAATGCTGATGAGTTTTGTGAAACGAGATTGAAGTGGGCAGACTTGACTCTTTTATCTCGCTCCTCTCCTGCGCTGTAATCCATTATTGAAGCAGAAGAGTCTGACCTCACACTGTCAGGCTGTCAACAGAAACATGATCCACCAGGAAGACCAGGTTCAGGTAAAAAAACAGACTCTTCAGTCTTATCCAATCAGTGAGACTACAACATAAGAGGTCGACACAGCTTCTTGGGTCTAAATGAAAACAAAAGCTGCACCTCTTTAGACCCTTCGAGTGTCTCATCCCTGAAAGGATGAATCCATTTGTTGAAATAAGAAACTCTGATTGTATAAAAAGTGGAAAACAGTCAAACGTCCCAGCTGATTTATTCCTACAGTGAATATTGTTCTCATGAAAGTCTCTAGTTTACAGTCTTCTCTGGTATAGCATGATTCTCATCTAGTCAGCTATGCTCCCAGGTAAACATCGGATCAGTCACAATAAATCTTGCCAGGGAAGCCAGCATACAAGCTAGGCTAGCTTTCTGCAGCTCACTTTGACATGCAGTTTAGCTGATTTTGACTGACTTAAAGGGATATTCGGGCATAAAATTAATTTAGGGTCAAACACACACCGAGTTAGACACCCCCCATAGTACTAGCCACCAAACATCTTTTTAGCTTTTCCTGATTTCTTTAGCAAAGAGACTAAACACAACTCACCTACTCTCTTCCAGCAGCCACTTGTTTGTAGCGAGACCTCAGGCCAGTCCATTACGGACTACAGCGGGGTGACGCAGCTCAAGGAAGAACATTTATGATCATTTCTTCATGGAAATACAATCAGACCGAGACGCTAAGGTAGAAGAACTACTGCGTCTGTAAAATTATTAATATGATGATTATTACTTCAAAGAAATGATAAAGAAATGATCATAAGTGTTCTTCCTTGAGCTGGTGTCTAACTTGGTGTAATGGTGTGTTTGACCCTAAATTAATTTTACGCCAGAATATCCCTTTAAGCCCACTCATCTGTCCAGGTGTGGGCTCTATTGTAGAATCTATCAGCACGTCACTTCGCCATCAGAAAGATTGTTCCTTTTTGCGTTTTTTCCAGGAGCGATCTTTGCCTGCTGCGGCGCACTGAGCAAGTTCACGTTGGGTGTTGTGAATGTTGTGAGCAGAATACGTTAGCATGTGGTGCAAATTCGCAGTGCGTTATAGAGTGCATGTAACATGAGACATCATGATTGATTTAGGACAGACAAAACAGCAGACAACAAAAATGTTTCTCATGCAGAACATTCATGAGTACGTTGATACGAGATGTACGGTGGCCTGAAAGTGTGAAACGATTTCATATCCAAAACAACAACAGAAGTAATCTTGCAGCGAAATCAGGAACGGACAAATTACCGCCGGCGTTTCTAGCAGACTACAGACAGACTGTGGATCTTTTGGAGACTTCGTAAAAGTAAGGAAACTAAAGTTCGCTTGCAAATTGCCTCTGATAATATCGTTTTGTGATCATCTCGGTAAGCAATGGAAATTTGCGAACAAACATTAGTTGACTTACTTTTTCTAACTCTCCAGACTCTTCATCAACAACCAACAACTAGCAATTAAAGTCAGTCAGAATCACTGGAGGTAGTGTGCCCATTTCTGATTCGTTATCCTTATCTGCGTTCATGTTTTTTTCTTTTGCAAAGCGTTTTGAAAATGCAAATCACCTCACATACAGATGGCTATCATTAACAGGTAGAAAACAAAGACCACTAATATATCTGGGTGGTTGTAAATGTACAGTCTGTCTGGGAAACACCTGGTTATTGTCAAGAAAGAGACGTTATTGTCAAACACTTGAGAATGCTGACACACAGAGAGGATTATTAACATAATGAGATTATATCACATCTCAAACAGGTATTTTGTTTATTATCCTCCACACAGTGACAACTCTGCAGCTAACACCGAGCAAAACAAGTCAAGTATGTGTTAATGACAAGCATAACCCTCAATTATACAGTGAGACGCCCACGCTGTGACGGAGACAGTGTCCCTGACTAAAACTGAGAGACAGCCAGTAAAGATAGAAACAGGAAGACGAGACAAAGAAAGACACAGCAGTGTTTTAAAAATAAAGACACAACTCTGCTCTCTGTTCTGCATCTAATCTCCATAAAAATCCTGCATGCATGTTGTTTACTATTAATGCAGAGAGAAAGAGAGGAGATTTAAGAGAGGGGGAGAGGAAAACAAGAGACGAGCGAAGAAAGCAGTAGGGAAGGACCATAGGGACTAAAAATAAGAGAAAAAAGAAATGTGAAAAGGACAAGAGAACAGAGGAAAAGAAGGACTATATGAGAACAAAAGGAAAAAGATGAAGAGAGGAGACCTTTGGCAGTGAACCAGTATGTTTCCATCACTTCCAGTGGATTTCTCCCAGCAGAGCTCTTACACAGAATTACAGCATCAGCCTCCATCTGTCCTCAGACGCTCATTAAACACTACAGACTGTCTGATACAACATGCAGACATCTCAGGAACAAACCAAGGCCAGTGCTGGTCCAAATCAAGAACAGGTTCGGGTCAACATGGAGCCCATAAAAGGACAAGGTCAATATTTGGCCAATTACAGGAGAGCCAGGGTCAAAATAAAAGACAAGTTTGGCCAACATGAGGTCAAATTAAAGACGAGCCAGGGTCAAAATAAAGGATACGACACTGGTGCCAATGCAGGGCAAATATCAGGCTATGTAAAAGAGAAGTCAGGGCCAACATAGGGCCAAATATGGAACAAATCAGGGTCAATGCGGGGCCAAAATATGTCCCAAAAAATCACAATAAAAGAGAAATACAGGCCAAATAAAGGACAAATAAGTGCCAATGCAGGGCCAGTATAGGGCTGAATATGGGATGAATCAGGGCCAACTTGGTGCCTGACAGAGGGCAATTGAGGGCCGATGTAGGGGCTAAATCAGGTCAAACGAGGCAAACAGTCTGGCATTGCCCTGACTTCTCCCTTACATCACCCGATATTCGCCCTGCATCGTTGGAAGTGTCATATCCTTTATTTCCCCACATGTCGACTCTGGCTTTGCTGTTATTTGGCTTTTTGTCGGCCAAACTCGTCCTTCATTTTGACCGTGCATCGGCCCTGACCTTTCCTCTAATTGGTGAAATGTTTGCATCAAATTTAATTCGAAGAGCACATTTCAAACAAACTGAAGCTGAATGTGTTTCACAGAGAGACTTGATTTAATCATTCGTGAGACAGCAGTTGTCAGAAGTGGCGAGGAAAACCCTCTTTTCAACAGGAAGAAACCGAGCCATCTGCCCGCGCAGGGGGGGCCAAGAAAGTGTGACAAAGAGAGGAAGGAGTCACATCCAAACTAGTAGAAGTAAAATAATCCAGATCATCACAGAGAGGGTGGATTCTGAGGACATTAGACCTCAAATGAACTCAAAATCAGATTCATGTGCAAATACACAAAGCCTCTGGTCATGGGAGATGATGTGGGTTCATGTTAAGTGTCCATCCGTCCGTCTGTCTGTCTGTCTCTGTTTGGTTTCTGTCCCGGAGAGGGTCGACTGAACACTGAGCTCTTCAGTTCAGACACATAGACCACTAGAGATTAAACACCGTGCTTCAGGGAACGTCAAGGCAGCAAGACGAGGATAAAGAGAGTCGAACAAAACCGACTGCAGCAGCAGAAAGAGAGGAACTTAAGAACGCTTTGTCAGTCCTCTGGACGGTTCGGGAGAGAGCGGTAACAGGAGGACAATCAGGAGGAGGAAGAGCTCGGTTATCTGCCTGGTGCAAAGCATTTTTATCCTGTATGCAAAGACCAAAGTCTCAGGTATATATTTCGTATTCATGTCATTTTCATATCTTGTGTCAGTGCAGAGTTAAGGATATATAAATGGTACAGGATATATAATTTTATTTTTTTACTTTGGGTTGTGCGAAATGGTTAATTGGCGCTCATCTCAGCTCAAAATGTTCTTCTCTCTTCTCAGACAGGACACGACCCCCGACCATGGAAAGGAAGAAAACTGGTATTTCACTTTTTAGTTGCGCCCTCTGGTGGCAAAGATGATTGCGGTGTGACAACAAGCCCCGGTCTCCCCTACCTTGAGCGGTCAGAAGACGGAAGAAGGAAATTAACAAAGGAAGAAACGGGGAGGTTCAAAAAAAAGGTATAAAGGTATATCTTTATGAATAAAAAATAAAAGAGAGAAAGAAGGAAAAAGGAAGAGAAAAGAAAGAAAAAATAAAATTAAGAGAAAAGAAAATCATAGAAAGAAAGAAAAAGAAAGAAAAGTGAAGAAAGAGAGAAAAAATGATTGAAAAAAAGGAAAGGAAAGGGGTGAGGATGATGAAGACAACTGAAGAGGGAGAAAGAAGAGAGAAAAAAATATACAGAAAGACAAGTAAAGGAAAAGGCAGATTAATGAGAAAAGGATGAAGAGGAACGCAAAAAGAGGTGAATAGAAAAGAAAAAGGAAACAAGAGTACAGTAAAAATAAAGTATGAAAAGATCCAGGGAGAAGAAAAAAGAAGAAAAGAAGGAAGAATTATGGTGATGAGGAGAGGAGGATGAAATAAGAACAAAAAAGGAGAAGGAGGAGAAGTGAAGGACTGAAAACACGACTCCTCTTCCTCACGCTTAACACAGCGACAGTCATTCAGTGTGCAGAGAATTGAGTTTCCTACAAGGCTGTAACCATGGCAACTAGACAGAACGATAATTATGGGATGAGTCAGGGTCCATAATTTCTTTATCTCTTCATGTGCGTGTTTGTGTGTTTGTGTGCGTCCGTGTGTCGAATAAAAGGTCAGAGCCGGCTCGAAAGTTCACAGTGTCATAATTTGTAGGTTTGTTGATCTTTAGACATCCGTTTGGAAAGACACACACACACACACACACACACGCACACGCACACGCACACACACACACACACACACACACACACACACACAGGAAGGCATCAGAGAATGTGTTGCAGTGAGTCGTCAACCAGCAGCCGAGCAGAAAATAAGACACTCAAAAACACTCAGAGATGTTTTCAGAGAGGGAAAGAAAGACGAGTGAAGACTGAAAAAAAGGAGAGGAAAAGAAATGTGAACAGACAGAGGAGGAGGAAAGGAAAGAGGAATGAGGAAGATAAGAAGTGTGTAAATTAAGAGAGTTCAAAAAGAAATGGAAAATGAAGAGAAAGAAAAGAAGAGAGAAAAGTGAAAAAGATTATTTGGGGAAAAAAAGGAGGGAAAGACAGAGAGAGAAAAATCAGAAGAACAGGTGAGGATGGAGAGAAAATCAGGTAAAAAGGGGAAAAGAAAAGTGAAAAAAGATTATTTGTCAAACAAAAAGGAGCAAAAAAAGAGGGAAAGACAGAGAGAGAAAAATCAAAAGAACAGTTGAGGATGCAGTGAGGAAAAAAGGAAAATGAAAAAGCAAGAGAAGAGAAAGAAGAAAAAGAAATAAAACAGGAAGGAGAAAATTAGGAGAAGAGAGGAGGAAAAAGAGGGGAAGAGAAAACAAGGAAAACAGGTAAAATGGACAGAAAGAGGGGGGAAAGGAAGAAAAAAAAATAAAGAAATAGAAGGAAAAAGAAGGAAGCAAAAAGGAAATGAAAAAGGAGAGAAGAAGACAGCAAAGATGGAAGTGAAGAGGAAAGGAAACAGCAAAAAAAACACTGTTTCCTGCTGTGAGGAGTTCAGACGTTAGTTCTCTTGTTAGCTTGATATACTATTGAGGGGTCTGTTTTAGTTTTTTTATTTAATTCGTGAAATTTCTGATGATCCCAAACTCGAACTCTTGAATTAATTAAAGTGGATTTTGAAGTGGGATGAAATGTGAATACTTGAGAGCCGTGGCCGGGGCAGCAGTGACTCAGTCTGCAGGAACTTGACTCATGAGTTGGACGGTTACCAGCTCAAGTCCTGGTCCAGACCAAAGGATGGAAAATTAGCTGAAGGACGGAAAGGTACCAGGTCGCCTCCGGAGCACGTCTCCTCTGGGACTTCTTCTCAAATAACATTTAGTCATCTCTCTGTTACTGACTCTCCTTTAAAGGAATATTTCAGCACTTTTAAAGTCAGGTTGTTTGAGTTTCATGTCATTTGCAGGTGTTTTAGCCACAGTGGATGTTAGCAAAGTCCACGTTAAGATCATGTGACCCATCCCCAGAGGAAGCAAGGTGGAAGACTCTGCCAAAGACTTCCAGGTGAACACCCAGACACCCAGACCATCAGTTTATCCACGGTCACAGAGGTTTTACATTTCTAGCTCTGAGTCCGGCCCACCTTCCCCTTTGGATCAAGACTTGGATTACCTGTCCCACCATGTAATCAGGGATTACTCCAGTAAACAATAAATGGCATATCATGATCATGGAGACCAAACAGCCGATTGGTGCATTACATGCAGATGTCAAATTGGCTTTTGTAATAGCACAGTTAAAAGGATATTCAGGCGTAAAATTAATTTAAGGTCAAACACACCATAACACCGAGTTAGACACCCTCTCGAGAGATGAATGTTGCTGACCGCTTGCTTCTCTAGTTTTACCAACTTTTGTAACCACCGCACGATAGCAATACACAGCGGTCTGAGGAGCCATAAACAAACCTCAACCAAAACACCACTTTATAGCCACAAATAATGTTCAGAACAGCACCTAACTTCATCAACAGTACATAGGGTCGCAGCCATAGTACTAGTCACCAAACATCTTTTTAGCGTCTGCTGGAAGAGAGTAGGTGAGTTGTGTTTAGTCTCTTTGCTAAAGAAATTAGTCAAAGTTAAAAAGATGTTTAGTGGCTAGTGGCTTTTGTGGCTATAGAGTGGCGTTTTGATTGAGGTTTGTTTATGGCTCTTCAGACCGCTCTGTATTGCTATCCTGCAGTTGTTACTAAAGTTGGTAAAACTAGAGAAGCAAGCAGTCGGCAACATTCGTCTCTTGAGGGGGGTTCTAACTCTCTGACTCTGACTCTAAATTAATTTTACATGGAATATCCCTTTAAGTGTATATCTGAACTAAGTCAGAGTCTCTTTAAATTAAATTTCCCGGCCTCATCTGCAGAAATCTCTGGCCTGGCTTGTGTGCAGCTTCTCCCAGTGATACTTTTCTATTCTTCACCGTATAATTAACTTTTTGGCTAAATTAAGCAGCAGAGGTGACCCCGGCAGCAGAGCTAACGTCTTGTTTTTACTGGCGTTCCTTATGAAAGGGGCGGAGCTGACCGACATCCACATGTATCTTCTGCGCCCTCTCTTCAAAAATGCCGAAATATCCCTTTAGGTGTGTTTATTGAATGTTACCTTTCAAACTCCCCCAGGGGGGCGCTGTGCGCAGACATTGATAGTCTAGAGTCCGTCAGCTCGAGGACAGCCCCTCTACCTCCAGATTAAAGCTAACACCGTCTGTGCAGATGTTGAAGAGCGATAACATCAGACAGACGGCACCGCCGGGGCCGATAGTTACGCACTGTTACACTGGATGGACTTGCTGCTGTGGGTCCCGGGCAGATGGAAGAGGCAATAAGATTAGACAGAGTCCGCCACCAGCTGTCAAATGGACTCCACCGTCACATCGCAGGCCGAGGGGAGACTCTTCACCAGGCTGGGAGGGATTTTTCTGCTAATTCAGACAGTGTGTTTATTTATTTGAATGGTAGAGCTGGAGGTAAAGACTGACTCAGAGGAAGAATTCAAAGTTTCTGTCTCTGTACGTGAATTATTCAGCAGTTAGTGAAGCTCCTGGCTGACAGGCAGCAGCAGCTCCTGTCAAACATCATCATTATGTTCGGTGACTTTCTGCACAGACCGGGCTGCAGAGGTGGAGGCGGAAACGACTGGAGGTGTTCTGAAAAAGTTAAACCAACTAAAGATACTTTTTTTTTTTTTTTGTTCTGTTCCGGTTTGCTCTATCCTTCATTAAGTGAGTTTCCACCCACCTGTTTTCATGCACTTCCTCGGTTTGTGCGCTCATGGAAACACCAGAAATGTGTCAAAGACTTTTTTGGTTGTGTGAAGTGTAAATGGAGTGTACACACAGAAACAGACTCAGAGAGAAAAAAAAAAATGTGTTTTTCTTCCCGAGCTCTTGCAGGTTTCTTTCATAGAGACTTTACTGAGCAGAATTTGAGGCTATCTTATCAAACCTGGGGCCTCATTTCTAAAAGGTTCTAAATTCTGGCGTAGGAATGAAATTAAGAATGTGCGTAAGTACAAAAAAATCTGTATTCATCAAACATGCGGACACCGGTCGTACGCACACTAGTTAGTCATTGGTGATGATAAATCCCACCTGTTCTTTACTACCGTGCTCGGTCATGGTTAGGGTCATTTGCATTCAGGAACGCCTCCAACTGACCATATATGGCAGGGGTGTCAAACTCAACCACAGCAAGGGTCATAATCTTTTAAAAAAATATGTAACAAAAATAGCAATGATTACAAAATCATTTGGAAATTCTAAAAAGATAAAAAGATAAGTTTAAAGGCAATCTGTGATAGAAAACTTTTTACTATTTTATTCTATTTTTATTTATTAGTTCAAAAGATCAGAGCATGATGTTAAAAATAGAAAAATAATGCATTTAAAGATCAAATACATGAGAAAAACGTTGAAATCAGGTTTAAAAGTTCAAAATATGACTTAAAATTTGAATCTACGGTATAAAAATGACACAAGTCTAAATACTGAGTTGAACAAAATCAAAGCATGAAATAAAAAATCCAATCATCCAATCTACACAAATAATTATCGGTATTTGAAGTATGAAATGTCATCCCATTCTTGTCTTAATGAAATGTTTGTAATGCATCAAATGTTTTTAAGTGACAATCATGCATGCATCGTTCATCCTGCGTGCTCACCTGAGTCGGAGCTGTACATGTAGACGAACCTGGTCCAGAAAAAGTGCTCCAGCAGGGCCATGAGGGGCTCCTGCAGCTGTGGCCGAAGCTGCAGGACGAACTGGTTGTTGGTCTGGACAGGGAAGGACGGCGTGACGAAGCAGACGTGCAGAGAGCCGCAGAAAGACATCAGCATGTTGACCGTCCGCCTGTCGTACAGACCCATGATGGCGTAGACGCCTTTGGAGAACTGGGAGCAGACTGAGGGGAGAGGAAGAAGAGAGGTGTGAGAGGAAGCTGGAGAAACTCACACCATTTTACAATCAAGACCTCAAAGTGTTCAAATCAGCATAAATAAATCGTGTTTCTTGTGTTAGCTGCTGCTGATACAAGAAATTTAGAAGATTTTCCGAGCCAGAGGGTGATACTTTAGTTTCAGCAGTCACTCCCAACAGCACCGTCTCCTTTTACATGTTCATCTGTTTCTTAATCTCGATGCTGCTCCATACGGCCAGATCTGTGTTCGGTATCAAGCTAACAGATGATAAAGCGTTCTTATCTTCATGGTAGGCGGACTTAATTTCAGCTGCTGATTTATCTGCTGCTGCTGTGAAGCTGATAAAGTTTCCTGTTTCTCACAAAAGGCCTCCACTTGGTAAATCCCTGTACCAACAATGGTGATAATCAAATTACCCTTCATGCAGCGCTCCTTCACACTCTGGGATTAAGACATAAAATGAAGTCATTCTCCTGGCTGGAGGACCTTAAAGTCATTCAGAAAATAAAAGACTTATTTAATGCTCCTCTGGGCCCTCATCTTATTCGGACTGTGTGAAAACAGGACTGATGTTTCAGAGTAATCAGGGGGAAAATCCTCATTTAAAAAAAGTAGGTGAACCAAACACAATCAAATGTCAATCAACCAAACACATATATAAATAAAAAAATAAATAGATAAATAAATCTGTACCCCATAATCCGCTCAATAATAAAACATGACATAAAAATCTGTTTAAATTTTTAAAGCTCCTGTGGAGTTTTTTGACATTTATAAAACTGACTGAAACTCAAGTTCATGTTTAAGTTTAAGTTTATTTATATTTTTTTAATGATATATTAAAGCAAAGAAGACCATCAGAGACCAGACTGACAAGCTTTATGTTCACATTTTTAATGCCTGAAATCCATTTCAAAGGTAGGTGTCAGAGGAGCTGCTGAAGGAACAGCTCCACTTCAAATTATTTTTGTTATTTTCCACTAAGAATATTAATATTTGTAAGAAGACGCGACTTAAGGAATCAGAAACAATATTAACCCTTCAAACTCCCGGCTGTATTTGTAAAAATCTCTGTAGCACCTCTATCCTTTCAAGCACAGCAAATATATACACTTCTTTTGTTTCAGGACAACCTCAGCTGTCAGTTTATAGGTGCAAAAATTTTGTAAAATGCATTTAACAATAGATTCAGAACCATCAAAGTCAATCGAAAAGCAAAAACAGAAATTGATCCCAACAGTACTTTGCTCAAAAAACACATAAATCTACAGTGACCAAGCCTTCTCTCACCTGCACATCATTCTCTCAAGTCTTGGCTACCAGGAGAAGAAATGTTGGGATTGGAACAAACACACAACATAAACTATTGTTACACAAATTCTTCCAGGCGTTTTTGACTATTTACAGTTGTTCATGCCACTCCTTGAAGCAGTTCCTGTCTGGGATGAGACAGAGGACCACATCATACTGCTCAGCATCTCTTCTTTGCTTGTTTCCAAACGTTGAGGACCATTATTTCTTATTTTGCAGACAACTTTATTGCCTCTTATTGGACACTACCGTCAAGGGAACAATAGAAGAAGAATATGAGACCATGTAATTGGTCGAAAGTTTGACAGAAAAAGATGTCATCATCAAAACAGCTTGTCAAACCTTGTAGACATTAGGGGCATTTAACAATAGCGATCTTTTTTATCACAACAATCTGATAAATAATCATGTTTTTACTGTATATTACTGCGGATTTACCATCAAACGTCTCTGATCAAACACCTTTGTTTGTGGCTGGATTGTAAATCTTGTGGCAGGTGTAGAAATGTCTGGAAACCCTCGATAGATCGCCAAAAGGGTACCCTTTTGAACACTTTTTATCCCATAGAGATACACGGTATAGTTACTGAGAAACTGTAAACAATATTAATGGTGTCACGTGGGATCACCGGCGATCCAGTGGAGTTCTAAGTGTTAACGGACACTGCTTTGTCCACAGGGGGCAGCAGAGTTGGCACAAACCAAAAATTCTTGGTAGGAGCTTTAATCTACATAACTGGGAAAAAGTCTACTTTTTAAATTTTATTTTATACCTGAGCTCACACCACATTTTGAATTCATCTTTGGACAACCAGCTCATCTCCACGGTGGAAAATGGAGGATTTTGACATCTTTCCTCAAGTAGTACACAAAAATACTTCAACATATCAAAAGCTAAACCCTCATTTACTGTCCACCTTTCTGGATTATCAATCTAATCCAGAGTTAAGGGGTCCAAAGCCATTAAACACATACAACATACACCACCTAGCTTTAATTTTCCAAAATCAAACAGTTGAGAGGAGAGTTGGACTCTTTGGAACCTCATCGTCTAACATCGATGTTAAATGACCAACAGGTCAGCTAGAGTTGTTTGTAACCTCGGTTCAGCCTTAGATCCCTGCACCCGGCACCAACATGCTAACAACACTCCTATCCCCCCATCCCCTCTGGGGCCACGCTATCATGCTAACAATAGACGTTTGCCCTCAGGCGCATGCTATCATGCTAACGAGGTGTCTGTCTCTTAGCATTAGCAGCGCTGTCCTGCTGAGCCGACCGAGCGCTCCTTCATCAGAGGGTCAGAGAGCGGAGAGTCGACAGACGCTGTGAGCTCCAGGACTGTTGGGTTTGATCCTGAGGACATTTTTACAACATGAGTCCTTTCTCTAAACCTTTATTATTCAGAGTTTTGACAACATACCTGCTGTTACTCCTGTAAATGTTAGCAACTCTCTCAAACACCTCTACTCAAACAATGAGGCGTTTTCACTTAGAGTTTAAGAACAGGACTTAGGGAGTGATTTGAGGGACTTTTCGATTTTCGACAGCAGAGAGGAGGAGGAGAGGAGAGGTTTGTGTATCTTTTTGTGTCTTAAAAGCAAAGGGACAGAATGAAAACGGTGAGAGTGAGGCTGAAATGATCAAAATTGCTAACCACAGAGTGACTGCTGGGCTAAAAAGTGAGACATCGTTCAGAATCATAAAAAACTACAATCCTAAGTCTTGAGGTTAGAAAGGAGGTTTTATAAAAGCTTAAAATGTGACTAACAAAAGAGCTCAAATCCTTTCACCTCTTATGACGCCATGCAAATGAAATCTGATATTTAATTAAAGGTGGGGTAGGCAGGAACCTTTTTTTTTTTTGTGGTGTTTATCGGAGAGTAGAAACCAATCGGAAAGTTCGGAGAATTGTCTGAATCCTCCTTTAGCCACGACTGCGGACACAAGCAAGGAAACAAAGTAAATACCGGAGACTCTGGTGGAATAACGGGGGCTTAGAAAGGAGGTAGACCGGACAAGAGCTAAAAAGCCGGGTCAACATAAACGATGGGGGACGCTTCGGGATCTTGGTGACCCTGTAACCTTTCTGCTGGACAGGTAAACCGTTTTAACAAAATAAGCCAAGTGTCTGTAACAGAAGTGTTTCTTGTCAAACGGACCTGCTGTAGTGTGTTGTAGTGCCGCTAAACTGTTGACCTCGGGTCCTGGACTATGTCACTTTATCCTAGTTGTAGAAGTCCTGCAAACATTGTGTTTGCTGGTAGTCTGTTGGCATCTACAGTAGCACCAATGCTTTTGACTTTCACATTGACTGGGCCCCATTTGTAATTATCTGAAGTATTTATCTGCATTAGATCTGAATTTAATTGGAACGAAGCGAGCGAGCAGGAGCGTCTGCTTGTGGGTGGAGCAGAGACGGAGGAGAGGAGGAGGAGCTGGGAGGGGTAGAGTTTACGTTCAAGATTTCTCCCAAAAACTGTCACTAACTCAGATCCTGACTACCCCACCTTTAAGTGAGTGGTTTCACAAAAATTCAGCTGCATGGTGCCAGTGAGAACCCTCTGGTTTGAACCCTTTCCTCACCTGGTAACTGAACTCTTCCTGACTGATGGTTTATTTCCCAGTCTGATTAAATATTAGAAATTAAACCCGGTTAAATATCAGACATGTTCGTTGAAATCAGACGTACGTTTGAGTTGAAATCGTCTGACTGACAGTGAAAACTCATCCTCTCGTTGTAAAGATGAACGTCAATGAGAACTAATTATCGCCAAGGACACACTCGGTGACATCACAGCGGCTAAACGACCTCGTGGATGGTCCTCCAGTCAGACATCTCGCCACTCAAAGCTTTTAGACAGAGCTTTATTTAAACACAGCCCAGAGACGATAACAAGAGCTGCGGGGCTCACAGCTGAGGCCACGTCTGCACACGGAGCTGTTTATCCTCCTGACATCTGTCCATCCATCCATCCATCCTGCAGATCAGTCCGTCTGTGATAAGTGATTCTGAGGAGGAAGAGGAGCATCGTTCAGCTGAAGGGTAGTAACAGCTGAGTACCTCCACCATCATCATCCTCCACTGCTTCCATTCACAACAACCCAGGGCTCCGGCGTTTACGCTCCTCTGCTGAAAAGACAGGACAGAATGGCCCGCAGACACACATCCCACGATCAGGTCACTGTTTCACTCCGTCGTTCTTCGTTCTCGTCACTCAGACGACACTTTTGCCCGCCGCTTTCCCAGAATGACGTCCAGTCGGTTCGGAAACTGAGCGAGCTCTGATCCCCGCTCCGACACTCCACAGTGACATTTACACTCCCTGTTTGTTTTATATGAAGTGACTGACACTGAACGCAGCACTGACACTACAAGCAGAGAGGTCAGAGGTCACAGACTGCAGACAAGCAGTCATGAGTGGGACGGAGCTGCTGCTGCTGCTTCCTCCAGGACTCTCTCTGTTAAGAGTTTCTTTTTTAAACAGAGTAAAAAGACGAGCATCTTCACATCACCACAATATTACAATAAAATCCCAACAGGATGAAGTTTATTTCAGATGGAAAACTGAAACTCTGACCGTCTCCACACACCGAGCGCCAGTAAAATCATTTATCATTGGTGCGAATGACTTACATGTAAAGTCAAAGCAAAGACTTTTTTTTCCCCAATAATGACTTCTTACCAGGGCTGGGCGATATGGCCTCAAATCAATATCACGATATATTGATCAGTTCACCTGGATAACGATAAATGGATGATAACTACTCCACAAGCTGCTCACCCCTGCTTATTTATTTTTTCGACACCAAATAAACTGATATGGACAAAATGATGTCGGTTATTGTCGTAAATTTCAGTATCAGCAAATTTTTGGTTTATCGTCAAGCCCTACTTCTTACCTTGTAATTTTAACTCAATATTTAGTTTTTATGATCAAATATTTATTTTGAAATTAGATCAGATTAGATTAGATTAGATTAGATAAAATTTATTCATCCTTTTGGGAGTTCCCTCAAGGAAATGAAATGAGACACTAATGTAGACTTTCAACCATGACATAAATTTCTTAGTGCAAAAACACACACGGGTGGGGGGATGTTGTGGTTTAAACAGTCACCCACTCTCAGCTGACTGCTATGGTGGTGGTGGTGGTTGTTGTATCAGGCTGGAAGATGACAGCTAATAAGGTCAAATCTTCAACCATTACAGCGGCTGGTGTTGATCCTGTAAAATTAACATCATATTTTTAACTCCCTTTCGTCCGTGTGGCTGCTCATCAATCAGGGAGTCAGCAAACGACTGTAATCTATGAGATTATGAGGTTAACAGGATTTATGACCCGGAGAACAGTAATAATACATGAGTGTCACGACACAAGGTAACAGCCTGTTCAGAGAGAAAGGTAATGCATGAAAGCTGGTTTGAGTCAAACTGAGGTTTAGTGACCGTGGACGCTGTAGGTCAGGTTTGGATGTTGTTCTTAAGTTTAAAGAAACAGGATTGAGGAGGTTTGGAGTTGAAGCTCTCAGCAGCTGCAGCAACATCTGAACCTCAGGCTCTAATTAATGTGTTTAGTAACAACGCTGAATAATAGATTAAATGGCTGCCTTCCTCCCAGGGATACACCACTCACACACACACACACGTCCACACACACACTTCAATCTAATACAGCCCTCTCACACACACACACACATACAGTATAATACAACGCACACACACACTCAGAAAATGAGTCTAAAGTCATTTAGGCTGCTGCTGCCTCCAGGGCATCAGTGCAATAATCTCTTGCCGAGAAAGCAGCTCTGACACACACACACACACACACACACACACACACACACACACACACACACACACACAGAGGGAAATGGAAAGGTTCCCCCCCTGAAAAGTTGCCGGTTTAAATCCCACCAGTCTGCTCCTCCTCCTCGTCTCTGGTGCCTCCATGTCTACATTTACATTAGCAGAGATTTACCCACAATTCAAAGCGACTGCACACACTGCCCTCCATCCAAGCCCCGCCCACCTGCTGTTACTCAGCAGTAGAAGAAGATATTTTAGTTTCCTGAGCTAAAGCGGAGCTGAAAGGACAAACTTTCTCCATGAATGCCCCTGAAAAAGAAAAACTGTCCCAGTGTTGAGAGGGTGAACGGAGCTGTCAGGAGCTGACACTTTAACTGAACATCTGAGGGAAAAACTGGAGGAAAAGTGAGGTAAAGGTCTCTCTTGTACTCGTGGTAACCTCACTGTAAGCTCCTCACACCAACATCCACAGAAACACAACATCCACAGCTCAAATCAGACGACCAGACAGAATAAAAGCTCACATGGTCTACCCTCCAAAATAAAACACAAACTATTATTTTGACACCAAGTACAGAAACTCTTACGATCACCTGTACACAGTCCCGAAACACCTGCACCATTAATACCTACAAGTTATCATTTAAACACTAAAAGACAAGCGTAAACATCGCAGATCCAGATCAGATCAGAACCAACACCAACTAACTCCACTCACTGACACCATTTCCCCTTATACATACTGGTTTCATTATCAATGCTTCCCACCTTGTTCTACATTCCCTGCAAAAATAAAAATAATGACGTGACACATCAGGAGAGGTTGTCAGAGCGAACAGCAACCAAGAAAATAAACATGGTGGACAGAGGACAGGAGCGGTACAGCTTTACATTGTTGTTTAGATCATACTGACTTTGAGGAAAGTCCACTCGCTCCGTGAGAACGACAGCTTTCTGTCCACAAACTCCCTTACAAAACAAGTTAATCTTCTGTAATATATGGATTATTTTAAATGTTAAAGTGTGATTTCTGTTATTAGACGACTATGCTAATGGAAGGCTGCCATCTTTGTTTTGATTTATGGCAGGGCTCGACCAAATTATCGACAAGCCGATTAAATCAGCCAATTTTAGCCCGTTTGAGCCTAATCAGTAATCGGCCAAAACTCGCTGATTTTCGCCGATATTTTCTGAAATAAAATACGTAGAATAAGATTCGGTTTCACTTCAGAAATGTTCTGCCATTTGAAAAGTTCCCTGACTTATCTTATAGATGGCGCAGCGACTTCATGACAATCTTCATCCACTAACTTGAAGAAGCTTTTCTGGTCTGAGTTTGATTCACGATAAATACGTGGAATATTACTGAGATGATCAGTCGGTCTTCCTGTCTGCGTAAAGAGCAGTAGCCTACAGTATATCCAGTGTTCCTCATTTTTTATAACGTATGTGAGTTAGCTTTATTTGTATTTATTCATATTGGCTATTTATTTTAGAGGATGAGGAGTGTGTAAGTTTGACAAATAATCAGACTCACACCCATTACTGTCTGAATAATAAGCTGAAAAGAATTAGTTTATCATCTTTATTACAGTTAAAATAAAGGGGTTGTTTTAGCAATAAAAATGATTTGAAATTCGTTTTCTGCCTTTAATTTTTTTGAAGAAGTGTTTGAAAGGCTCAAAAGCAGCCATTTGTTAAAATAAAGTAAGTATATACGTAGATATATTACTGAAATTAACAAAATTTTAAAACATGCCAATTAATCGGTAATCTAGATTTTTTTCCCCACCTAATAATCGGCATCGGCTCCAAAAAATCCATATCAGTCGGGCCCAAATTTATTGACCAATTTACAATCAGCTGATCTTCAGAGACATAATATTTCTATTTCAAAAATCAATCGCTCAAACAGGTGTGATACAATGACCTAAATGTGCGTATAAACTCTGATCTAAAGTACCTCTGTCTTCACACTCTGTATTGATAACACTTTTTCTGTCAATAATCTGAGATATTTCCCACAGATTAGTCGTTCTCATCATCACAATGTCTTTATGAGCCTCATTTTCTGTGCACTCCTCTCCCTCTTCACCACTGTGAGTGTTAACCTTACAGTCACTGCCAAATTAACACCTATTAATCTGAGTGCAGCCGACCCCTGGCTGGTGCTGCAATGCTGTGAAAATGTTGCCCGTGGCTCCATCTGAGAGGTCAAATGTTCACCTGCAGCTGCCAATGAACAGCGTGCGGCTTCATGATAAAGACGGTCTTGTGTGATGTGTTGATTGCATATGCTCACACCTACAGTGGCTGATTAAGGGGATCTGCAAAAGCCTGAATGATCTTCAGTGGAAGAAACGTGCGGCAAATGTAGAAACAACACGACTTTAAAAACGTATGGAAAAGTCCAAAACAAAAACAATCATTTCTTTATCATTTCCTTGGAGTAATAATCATCATATTAATCATTTTGCACTCTAGACACTGTAGTTCTTCTGCCTTAGCGTCTCAGTCTGATTGCATTTCCATGAGGAAATGATCATAAATGTTCTTCCTTGAGCTGCGTCACCCCGCTGTAGTCCGTAATGGACTGGCCTGAGGTCTCGCTACAAAAATTTGTTGCAATGTTGACATGTAATTACTGTCAAACTGGTTTGTGCTCAAGTCCTCTTTTTTCTGTACAGCTCCATTTTTAAAAGTTATTAGGGGGTTCATGTTTTCTATGATTGACACCTGATACAGCCTATGGGCGTACGAAGATTGCGTAGCTCACCCGGGGGATACGCTGTTTGAGCCGAGCGTCATCACAGCGACTCTCCCGCAGAATGCGTTCAACGCTACTGCGCAATGTTGGTTTCAGGAAATGGAGAAAAAACACGGAAAATACCGAGAGCTTTTCGGCTTCAAACCTGTATACAGGTGGAAGGCGGAACCAAGTTGTCCATAGAATATACAGTCTATAGTCCTTGACAGCCGCTGTTGCCTCGGCAACAGGGTAGAATGGTGAGGAAGTGTTTCATTCTAAAACCTTATTGTCTTCCATTCTAGAATCATCTAGAACCTTGTCGTCTTCCATTCTAGAATCTTGTCGTCTACCATTCTAGAATCTTGTCATCTTCCATTCTAGAACCTTATCGTCTTCCATTCTAGAATCTTGTCGTCTACCATTCTAGAATCTTCTAGAATCGTTTTGTCTTCCATTCTAGAATCTTGTCATCTTCCATTCTAGAATCTCACTGGGTGTCACTAAATATCCTCTATCTACAGAATGTGAGTTAAAACAGAAGCTGAAAGATGGTCGAATTATTATTGGATGTCTAAACATGAATTTAAATTTCCATAAAAGAGACTAATAACCTCAGTTTAGGGCTTTGTGACGGCCCTGCTGATGTTTCTTAAACAAAGGCAACAAATCTCAGGAGTTTAAGAGCTGGCCTTTGACCTCACACAGGGTTCCCAGCTGTTTAACCTTCCAGGTAAAAATGCGACGAAGAAGCTGCTAAACTCTTTTAATCAGCGTTCATTCAATGCACCTTTTGAATATGAACAAATCCATTCTTCCACCAGATTGCTCCACCGTGGACTCAAACACAAAACCTGCTTTTTACTTCCTCTCTTGTCTTTTGTTCGTTCAGGTTCGTCTCCCGGCTGACGGAGACTCTGGCACCTGATGTGCTTCTGTTGTGTCAAACATGAAGCTTTAGATGATTAATTAAAGATAATCCTTTTCTCTCTGCTGCTCGCTCTCCTGTCTGAACAGCGACTCCTCTTTTTTTTTTTTGCTCTGTATTTGCCAAATTGTGTTGTTGAAGATAAACGTCTTTCCGGGCGATACACGCGGCGCTGCACTTTATCCTCATTTCACATTTGAGGCATTCAACTGAGCGTGTAACTACAAGTGAATCCTCAAGGGCAGAAATGTCACCAGCCAACCAAATCAGCTCTGTCTGTGTATCTCTCTGTCTGCTCTTTCCAGCAAGCCTCCTGCCTGAGCGTCTCCAACATTATGCATTCTTTATTTTTCATATTCAACAGCGACAAACAATAAATAAGACAACGTATGAGAGCGGGGCAGGCATGTCATATCCGTCTGTCTTCTCCATCTGTAGGCTCCTGATAAGAGCAGAACTGGCAGTAAAACAGAGGAGAAACACCGTTTCATTTCCCCTTCAGTCTGTCTGCCTCCTCCTCCTCCTCCTCCTCCTCTTTCTCATGCCATCTTCATCTGAGCGTCTGAGAGGGCAGGGAGTTTAAATGTTAGCTGATTCTCATGCTGCAGAGCGCATACACAGTCTGTTTAAAAAGCAGAAGTTGATTATGGAGAAGCTCAACAGGCCATGCATTTCTCCAATTTTAAGATGCAAAATATTACGCAAGTGTCTGTAAACATAACGTGAGGATCAAACTCGCAGGAATGTTGTTTTTCTTTGCAGGAATTTGGTCCAAATACAGAAAAAACGACCAAATAACAGCCGTCAATGGCAAGTCTGCACTGCGTGTCAGTCCCAAGTTACCTTGTTAGTCCCTTTAATGAACACCATTATATTATTTTAATCATCTTGTCATATCTCTAATCACAGGAGCAGCAGAAGGTCAGATTCACACCATGAGGATTTCAGCTCACTTTGCTGAGGTTTGCTGCTTTTTAATTTTCCAGGATGCGGTTTAATGTAACGTGCTGATGCAGCGGATTTGAGTTAATTCAGACCAGCTCAAGCTTCTGCACCTAGATGGACCAGCAGAACTGAAACAAGAGGGAGCCTGGTTAGATTAGAGACGACTGATAATGTCTGAAAACATGAGAAAGCTGAGAAGACACAGAGAAGTGAATACGCTTCAAAGACTTGATCAAACGTTCATGTTTGAAACCAGATTTCACCGTAAAATCTGTTTCCATCACACACTCAAACACTGTAATGGCGATTTCAACGTAGTTTAGATCACAGAGACCGAAGTATCAGCATATAATTCTGTTATCCGCTGCAGTTTAGGAGCATGTAAACTGGGCTGAGGGGAGCGCGGTAAAGGTCCTTACACACCGGGAGAGTTTTTTTCTGCGATTATTTCGGACGTCAATATTTTTTTTCCCGTATCCTGTCAATACAAGTGTTCACATCAGTGACGTTTTCCCATCCTGCGATATTGCATTTATTTTTTCGTATACTGTGTGTCCACTTCTGACCAATCAGATTTCGTGTCGTTGCAACGTCAGATTCAGCGGTATATCCAACATGGCCGACTGGCTGATTGTTTTCATGTCGGAGAACAGAGTGATTTTTGATAAAAGACACAAATATTACAAAGATAACGACCTGAAGGACAACTTGTGGAGAGTCATAGCGTTGGATTTCTCATATGACGATAGTTTGCGTGCTTTAACAGTTTGATAAACGTCTTTGTTTTAACTTTCATCTGTGCTAAGTAACTTTAGCTCGTAAGCTAACCTGTTCAGATACAACATACCATATGTATTTTCACTGTAAACTCAGAGCGTTGCTGTCACAGCGCCATTAGGTCTCGGTTGTTACCTTGTGTTTATGGATTATTGTTTAATGTGTTTATCTGGTACTGGCCCCGACTCAGTCCATGCTATCATGACAGACAGACATCTCAACACTAGTGTCTAATCAGAACTGGAAAACACTCAGTCAGCTGTTGTGTCAGTCTTCTCGCTTCCACCCAGGACGCGTCTTTTTTCCCCCCGGAAAGTTGCAAAATCGCATCGCGCTTGACGTGTATAGTCAGGTGCATCAAAATTCGCCTCCGAATATTTCGTACCTCCGCATCACATATTTGCGTTGTTCCCGGTGTGTAAGGACCTTAAGTTCTCAGACGTTTTCTGTAAAAGCGTTACTATTAGGTGGTTTGCTGAACTCAAAGTTGTGTAAAAAGTAACACCCACGAGTTCTGTTCAACTTTATATTAAGAAACCGAATACTGCTGTGATAAGGGTTTTTACCCACACCAGTATCAGATACACAAGGAGTTTATTTGAGCTGCAAATCATACAAAACTAATCTATAGTATAAATCTCCTTTAGGCTGTGCCAACTGAGTCTGAAAATACAAGACCTTTTCCTGTGGGTTCTCAGTGTTTGTCAGGTCACACAAATGAAGTGCAATACAACGATGTTGAGCGTCTCAAGATAGCGTCTCTTTCTCAAGCCAAAGTAAATGTTTCAATGAAGCAAAACAAACCCAGACTGAGTGCACTCAGAGTCTTATCCAGGTCAAACTTCTTGTTTAATGTCCTTGACATGGGTTGGCCAACTTGCAACGGTTTAAATCTGCTCTGAAAACATTTCTTTTCCTTCACTCCTTTAAAATATAAAATCAAGATGACTTTTTTAACTTTCTAACTCTAGCTTTAGGATTTCTGGGATTTCAGTCAGAGCGTTTCCCCCAGCCTCATCCAAGCCCACAGTCCTGCAGGTGAAGACTGTAACATGACAATTTAACAACCTGAAAAATGGCCAGAACAAAAAAGAACATACTTCCATTTTCTCTGCTCTGAGGACTTTTCCTGCGTTTTAGTCGTCTCTGCTGACAGATGGATTTTCAATCCAAGCCCATTACTGCAAACTGGAGAGGAAAGCTGTACGTATATTTCCATGAAGTGGTCTCATCCTGGATGTTTAATGTGCAGCAGCAGGGGTCTGGTTCATGAAACCATCAGCAGAGCCTGAGTCTGTGTTAACATGAGGTCACATTCAGGTTAGACTCCATTCAAACCCCCGTTACATGCTCTATTAGAGCGAGATGCTCGCTCTACCTCCCCGTCTCTTTCTGCTTCTCCTGATTCGATTCATTCTCCTCTTTTCACTGCACCTCCTTTCTCTTCGGCCTGATTTGCTGCCATGAATGCCACATCGTGTTGTACTGCCAAAGTGCACGGCTCCATTTGAGTTCCTTCATCAGAGAATGAGCTCATTGTTACAGAGAGGCATTCATTAGCCTCCATCTCTGCTTTAAGTGGTCTCTAAAGGTCAAGACCTCTACATATACGCTCTCAACATATAGGGTCAGATTATTAAAGAAGTGGCCTGACATTTTTTGCTTCATTGCTTCCGTGCTGAGCAAAACATGAAGAGAGCAATACTACATTAGAGCCAAGGTCTGGAGATGGAGGGGTGAACAGCTGGCCTGGCTCAGTCCAAACATGGTCCAAAAAATCAGGGCATGTCAATCAGTGTTTCTGCTCTCAAGTCAGACGCATCTCTAGACAGGAGTGTTACTATTTACACAGCAGATTTCAGCCTTTTTATTTAGAAACACTGGGTTTAATCCTGCGAGACCTTAGGCCAGTCCATTACAGACTAAAGCGGGGTGACGCAGCTCAAGGAAGAACATTTATGATCATTACTTCATGGAAATACAATCAGACTGAGACGCTAAGGCAGAAGAACTACTGAGTTTGCAGTGCAAAATGATTAATATGATGATTAATACTTCAATAAAATGATAAAGAAATGATCATAAATGTTCTTCCTTGAGCTGTGGCACCCCCGGGAGTAGATGATGATGGACTGGTCAAGGTCTCGCTACAAACAACGGCTGCTGGAAGAGAGTACGTGAGTTGTGTTTAGTCCCTTTGCTAAAGAAATTAGTCAAAGTTAAAAAGATGTTTGGTGGCTAGTACTGTGACTAGGACCCTGTATGTCCTGTTGATGAAGTTAGGTGCTGTTCTGAGCATTATTTGTGTCTATAGAGTGGCGTTTTGGTTGAGGTTTGTTTATGGCTCCTCAGACTGCTGTGTATTGCTATCCTGTGGTCGTTGCTAAAGTTGGTATAACTAAAGAAGCAAGCGGTCGACAACATTCATCTCTGGAGGGGGTGTCTAACTCTGTGTTCCGGCGTGTTTGACCGTAAATTAATTTTATGCCGGAGTATCCCTTTAAGATTAACAGGGAGCAGGTGAAGAGAAGCAGAAATGTGGTTAATGTACCCTCTCTGTTTGTGTTTGGTGAAGAGTCTATCTGATTTACTCTGGACGGGCTGTGAATTACTAAGACGCTGTCGAGACAAACAAGAGAATAAGGAATTACAACAGTAAGGTGAGATGAAACAAAGAGCTGATGTTTGAGATTAAAGAGAACCAGGATTTTGTTGGTCATACTGCCACGTTTTTTTGCTTTTACTTGATAAAAAAATAACAAATGCATCAGATGGAAAATAATCATGGCGTTTGCGCTGCATGCCAAAACTTTTAGTTAATGCACGGGGCTTGAAAGGTCGCTAAACAGACTGCAGTCAGTTTTTAATGCCCAAAAACGGTTAAATAATCACAATGATGAGGTTTATTTCCATGTGTTTACTTAATAAAACATATTGTAGGTAAAGGCTGATAGGGGAGCTTATGAAAGGAAAACAGTCACACCTGAGCCTCGCTGGGATGGAGCAGCTGTGGACTGAACAAGCCTCTATCATGCAGAGACTTCCACACATTTCAGGACAAAGTAAAACAAGCACTTCAATCTCTGCAAACATGATGAGATCAGTAAGAATGGAGTTTGGTGATTGGTCAGATTTGCAGAAAAGATGCAGAGGATCAACTAAAGTGCGTGATTAATTTTCTTAAACCACAGCAGCAGAACTTCCTGAGGGGCCCGAGAAAGAAACCCAAGGAGTGTTTTATGTAAAATCATGTCTCTCCTACTCTTCGCAGCTTCCTGAGATGTACAAAGCAGCGAGACCTCCTCGGGTCATCCTCAATTTTCCACTCGGAGACGACAGTAATTATTTGTCTGACCAGGAGAAGGTGCGTGTCAGGAAAATAAACGTCGGCTGTTCAAACAGAGCGCTAATGTTTATCTGCTGAGGACAGACTCTCCATTACTGATGTGCCTCTGTCTGAACTCAGCCTGAAGTCTGCGCTCGCACACGCTCAGGTCTCACAGAGGCAGAGGGGAAAACGAAACGAAGGTGCCAGATAAACAACAACAACAACAACAGCGGCTCTTAATAAGCATAAATAAAGGAGAGGAAATAAACAGCATGAGTGCAGGGTCTGCAGAATATCAGCAGGAGAAAACAGAGAGTAAGAGAAGAAAGAAACAAGCAAACAACAATTACGGATGAGAGCATGAAAAAACATGCAAATGAGAAACTTTGAGGAAATTTGAGGACGTAAGCAAAGAGAGAAAGAAGACAATCTGAGGAAATAAAGAGGAGAGGACACAGACTGACACACACAGGTAAGTCACTGACTGTCCCGTAGTGACAGCTCTGAGTAATGAGTGTGTGTTTGTGTGTGTCAGTCTCGGTAATGAAGGTGACTGTGTGCCAAAAACAGCCTGAACAGCAGCTCTTACAGAGAACTTCTTGTTTTGAGCGCTCGTGTTGACAGTGAATTATTTCTCATTGAGTTTTTCAGCCTTTTCTGTATTTTTATATTTGGTTCTGATGTGAATTGATGTGAGCCGTCCCTCTGCGGACTTCAAAGAAACTCTGGAGCAACATCAGAAAATGTACAACGACATGAAACGCCGTGAAAAAACTGAGGAGGTTGTTTTTTGTCAATTCTGCACTTAAGGGGATATTCTGTCGTAAAATTAACTTTGGGTCAAACAAACCGTAACACCAAGTTAGACACCCCCTCAAGAGATGAATGTTACAGGCCGCTTGCTTCTCTAGTTATACCAACTTTAGCAACGACCACAGGATAGCAATACACAGCAGTCTGAGGAGCCATAAACAAACCTCAACCAAAATGCCACTCTATAGACACAAATAATGTTCAGAACAGCACCTAACTTCATCAACAGTACATATAGTAAATCCAACTCTGAGGACGTTTTTGTGAAATGAAACAGAAATGTTGTTCGTACATGACTGAGCTCACACACGGTCATATTGGTACATTGTGAATTCAGGGATGATATCGACTGATCGGTGAGTGCGTCATGCACACGTTTCCTCTCTGCAGATGTTGCTGCTGTGTTCATGCAGCTGTAGGTTTTCTATGAAGCTCTCAGCTGGTTTCATTCAGACGATCGGAGCTTCCCGTGGAGTTCTGCTGCTAACTACCATCCTGCTTCCTGCACAGATGTATACGACCGTCTGTGTGTCCCTGTACCATATTGGCACAGGGACGTTCTTTCTGAATGAATTCTGGGAATCCGTAAAACACCCTCCCATAAGGTCTTTGTGGACTCGCCACCATCAGTTACACTCTGTGACATCTGTTTCCGTTATTTTCTAAAAACCTGCATCATACCTCCGCCCCAGTCGTTCAATAAATCTGCTTACTTTTGAGTTACTTTGTTCTGGACGATCCAGCGTTGTACGCATTCAGTGGGAGAGTCGCTGTGATGACGCTCGGCTCAAACAGCGTATCCACTGGGTGAGCTGTGCAATCTTCGTACGCCCATAGGCTGTATCAAGTGTCAATCATAGAAAACATGAACCCCTTAAAACCTTTAAAAATGGAGCTGCACAGAAAAAAAGAGGACTTGAGCACAGACCAATCTTACAGTAACTACATGTCAACATCACAACCAGTGAGGGGGGGGGGGGGGGATTTATATTATGTGTAATTAATTTATAAAGTTTGTCCACAGCTCCATAGGCGGGTCTCTTGCGTAAAACAATACTAGGTGCACGTGCAACCATTGGGCAAAAGTCTGCTTCAGAGTGAACTGATATCAATGAAGATGTCGTATTGTTTGCAAGTTCTCCCGGACACAATTGCAAAAAAATGTCATTTCATTGAAAAATCACTTCGTCTTTCATTGCATCAAAATCATAAAAACACTTGCTGAAATGTCCATGAATTTCACTCAATTTACCAGGTGATGACGTTGTTTTAGATGTTTCTAACATCAGGAGCAGGGTGGTAATGTTTGCCGATTGTTTGTTTTACAGATTCGTGCAGTTTACAGCGCAACAGCTCCTTGTCATTTACTTTCTCCGTTGACTCCACTAGTAAACAAATGAAAAATGTCCCGCTTTCTGGCCCAAGGCTGCGTGCGCATACCAGCGATGACATTGCACAGAAACCCGTCTGTAGGAATTGCTGGAGGAGACGGGATTTATGAGCTATACTTCAGCCCGTCACTAGAGGGTGCTGTTCTCACGGTGGCTTAACCCAGCAAGGAGGCAGACAGCGTCCAAACGAGGCAAACGTTTTATTTTTTAAGCAAGCACAAGTCTCACTTGAGAATCTCAGTTCTCGTCAGGTACTTCAAGTATCAATTTTTGTGTGTGTGTGTGTGTGTTTCAGCATGTAAACACCATTTTCTGATTTCAGACCCGTTCCGGAGAAACCCCCCAGAATCCACTCCCCGGACTGTGGGTGCCATGAAAGCCTTGAACTATTCAGACCAAAGCTGTCCTTGAACCAGAGTCTGAATGTGTTTAATTTCGGTGTGAACATGTTTGCCGGTGCCTCTGCAGACAGCCTCTAGTGGACACTCAGGGAACAGCAGTTTTCAGCACTTTTTATGCAAATTTCTCAAGACTTGAGGTTGTTGATTGATGCAAACACTAGATCCCAAATATGACTAAAACCAGGATACAACTCATTTTTAGGACACTCAAGCCCTTAAGGAGGCATGGTTAAAAAAAATTAAACTTTGTTCAGTTTTTGTGTCTGAATTACTACATTTTATTTTTATGAAATCTCATCTGCAATGGTGCCGAGACACAGACGACAATGCAGCAGATACAAACATAAGCAAGCAGTTTCAAATAAGTAATTGCAGAAGGTTCGAGGGGAGATAGTTTCTGAAGCATCCGAGATCTGAGAGATTTAGTCTTAGATGAACCAACTTCCTTTAGGAGAAACTAAAGGCACCAACAACTCTTTTTATAAATAAACTGAGCACCAGGATCCAAAAAGGGCATCAAACAGGCTGAAAAGATCACTTTACAGACAGAAAAACAACTCCTCTGTCTCCCTAAACTGTACCGTGATTGACTGACAGTCTTCATCAGCTCAGGTGGATCACTCAGAAAAATCCTGAAGCTCCCAGAGGCTGACAGGACCGATTTCCTCTTTCTATTTTTACCTTTGGATCATTTGTCTGGGACTGATCTTCACTGATGCTCCTCATTTCTCCTGAGGGGAGCTTTAGGAGAGACGGGAGATTGAGTCATCTCAGAGTAAGAAAACTACTTATTTCATGAGAGATTAAGAAAAGACAATTCAGAGGAGAGGAGTCTTTCCTCTAGGCTAAAAAAGTCTGGAAAGATTTCGTTGACACACTGAACCGTCACGACTTCAAGGAGAATCAGAGATACATTAAGATACGAAAATAAAGACCTCGGTACAACGGCCTCGGAAGTCGTTGTCTAGTCTTGATTTATTGTGGGTTCATGCGGCCGGCTGTCGAAGACAGGATCAGAAACTCCCTGAAGTGTTTTTCCAGACTTGAGGCCAAGAGTCTGCAGGTTTAAGAAGTTTTTTATCTGTAGAACCAGCAGGTAGGGACGTAACAGCTCTCTGACAGAGTCATAAATCAGTGAAAATGGCGACTGAAGTCAATGAGATAAGAAGTGACTGTAGTCTCCGTTTTCCACCAGCAGGGGGCCTTTGCTTTCTTTTCTCTTTAGAATTAGTTCAGGCAGCCAATGAAAATCAAGATCAGCCCATATCAGCTGATGCTAACACTAGCCAAAATCAGCTAATAGCTCAGCTGATAACCCCCTGCGCTTCTACTTGGCGAATGTCAAAAATGGACGTTCTATTAAGATTACTTCAGCCAGTCCACTCTTCCTGCTTCCTCTGCAAGTCTTTACAACCCACCCTAACTCCCACCCCTCTTTTCTATGCTGTGTCTGATTTTACCAGTGTCATATACTGTATTTTGTCACTGATCCCTGATGTGGTCTGCACCCAGGAAGGTCTTTGCTGCTGCTCACCCTGCCTCTGCATTTCATGTATTCACAAAAATGTAGAGGAGAGGATTACTTTTCTTGCTGTATGCTTTGGCAATCTGCATTTGCACATGGAGAGTAGGATGCTAACTGAACAGAGCCATACTGTATACTGTCAGTCTTTGCTGCAGCTCTCCCTGCCTTGGCTTCTTTTCCCGTAACAGATAGGAGGTTGGCTCTCCCCTGCAGCAGGCTTTGGCATTCCACATGTGCACATGGAAGATCAAGAAGCTCCCACAACAGAGTCATACTGTATCCCGTTGGTCTTTGCTGCTGCTCTCCCTGCCTTGGTTTTTCAATTATGTACATAAAAACAGAGGGGAGGTGTGCTCTCATGCTACAGGCTTTGGCATTCCTCTTGGCATAGAGCTCTGAGGGCAGAGCCATACCACCAAACACAGCTGTTGCATGTAAGTATTTTTTAGTAATAGCGGTTCAATCATTTAAGTCCCACTCTGATCGTTTTTTCTTTTTTACTACTTAAACTGATATCAGTGGTCTGTAAATTGCATTAAGTTTTTAGCCAAAATCACATTACCTGTGTCATTTTCTTCTACAAAGCTCCAGTAGCTCATTAGCAATTCACATCTGAATTGTAGGCCGAGATAACGCTGCTCTGCACACTCTTCCTCACGCTAGCTTGTCGCCGCACATTGCCAATGTAGTAGAAGTGGCAGGTAACGTAGGAGGTATTCAGCTCTCAGACACTAATGTCTTTGAGGACATGATTAAAGTTAATATCATAATTAGCTTTCTTACGAGCATCGTAATCCGCTAACACACACGGTTGTTCCGCGATCGTCCTCTCTACTTTTCCGAGTCTGGCATGCATAGCTGGGCTCGGGGGCGGAGCTTGGGTTTATGACATAGAAAATCTCACTGTGTCTGAACCTGCCATTTGGGTCTGCAAGAGATTCACAGAGATCTGAATGCAGAAATACTCAGAAGTGCAATTTCTCCTGATATGTCCTGTAGCATCAGAAAAATGAACATGTAGACAACAAGAAAAACATGGGTCTTTAACGTCTTTTCACAACAGCCCAAAAGAAATAAAAGCATGTTTGTAATCAAAACAGGATACAGAGTAATTCTGGTGTAAGGCAGTGTAAAAAATAAGAGCTAAATGACGGTATCACTGTTTTAAAACGTGAACATAATCTTGGTTTTTCACACCCGTCAATCCCTGAAAAACTCATGAACCCGAGCTCCACGTTCAGATGGCATTGTGAGTCGGGTGCGTTATTGCAGCTGACTCTCTGAAAGTCTCGGACATAACTCCAAATAAAGCTGTGAATTGACACCAGCTGTGCCCACTGACAGCCTGCTGCAGAAACACATATGCAGATATTTGCTCATTTATAATTTACTGCATCCAAACATTTCAGCAAATCCAAACAGCTAATTGCTTTAGTTTCAACAGAGTTCACCTTCTGTCTTCTCTCATTTCCAGCCAGAAAACAAATAGGTTCATTTTAAAAAGGCCAAACTGTCCCTGGAGTATAAACACACTCTCAGTTTCAACACAGTTATGGTTTTGTGGCTTTATGCGAAGTAATACTGGGGCTGAAACTGCAGCTGTAATGTTAGACCAGCTGTCAGCACCGCACCTTGGCATCACTAATCCTGATAAAAGTGGCTGTGAGCTCAGCCTGAGCTGCTGCGATGAAAACTGTCAAGTGTCAGATGCAGCAGCTCTGAGTGCTGAGTCTCTGCTCGCAGTGAAATATTTGTTTTTCCACCTCAGATGCAGCCGTGCTGCTCTGCTCCGACTGTAGAGTCTGTCTCACAGGAGGCAGAGTCCGGTCTGTTTTACATTTCACACAACAACAGACCAGAGAGACAACAGCAGACAGACAGACAGAGAGGAGAGAGAGAGAGGAGAGAGAGCTGTAGTAAGAAAAGAAGGAGTGAGGAGTCGGTACAGAGAGAGGACAGTGAGTTTAATCTTCAAAATGTATTGAAAGTCAAATGTCAAATGTCTGAGCGCTCTGTGCAGGAGAAAAACCACATCTTCGGCTTTAACAAATGCAGCGTTTAAATTTCCAGAAAATGTAATCATAGCAGAAATTGTTGCAAAGAGAAATTCAAACTCTTCTACTTCTGATTATTTTCGTTTCAAAACCAGAAATACAAAGCCAACCGGGACACCTGAATGAAGCAATTTACCATCTTTGCAAACACCCAGAGACAGACGGAGATGAAGAGCAGCTCTGCTTACAGCACAGGAATTAACAAACAAGCCGGAAGAAAAGGAAGATGTGTTAGACATTCAGGTTTGCTCTGCAGCTCCAATTCTGACGTCTTTCTCATCATTTATGACTCAGCTGTCTCACTCCACACCACTTGATTCTGATTGGTTGAAAACTCACGCAAAAGTTATAAACTCCAAATAGCAGGGGCGACGCCGAAGACAAGCAGATCGGACATCACATGAAATAGGTCTGCAGAACATTGTGCTTCTGCTTGTTGACAGTGAAGTAAATAGAAATGTTGAGTTTGACGTGACGTTTATCAAACAAACAGGACAAGTTTGGAGAAGCAGGAAAGTTATGTATATATCTTGTATATATGTATATATATCTTATATATATATGTATATATCTTGACAACATAATTTTGATATTTCGACACAAACATTTCACGCATGTTGTTTGGGCAAGAGCTACCTGATATATTCCTTAAAGGGTTATTTAAGAGACTGTGTGAGTGTGTATGTCTCTAGTTAGTGTTTTGCCCACAGAGGACGTATGTTAGCCGCAGCAGTAGCTGAAGTCCATTGGAATATGCAACAGGATATAATTAAGCTCTAACAGATATCACATGGAAACAGCAGAGGGCGTCTAGTCTGCCAAAACAAAGAAGAAGAAAACAGATGTATGTTGGTGGAGCGTACACTGAACCTAAATGAGTTTTTGGGTCAGAGTAGGACTGGGCGGTTTGACAAAAAAAAAAAAAAGATCACGATTTATTTTGATGTATCGTCCGATCTCGATTATTATCACGATTTTTTTGTATTTTTTTTAAACTGCCAGTTTTAAAGCATCTGTAGAGATTAGTTTAACATTATACTAACATACAAATTAAATATCAAAGCAAATTAAATAAGATAAACTTAGAAAAATATAAAAACCATTATAACTCAACAGGACAACAATTGTAGATTAATATTAAATAATACAGTGAACTAGTTTACAGTCATGAGTGTTTCTGCAGGTATGCAAGACCTAAAATAAACAAAAGTGCCCTTTCAGGAATAATGAAGACGCCTTAAAATGTAAACATTAGATGATGTAAGCGTAGATAAGACAATTGATTGCTGTACGCTAGTTGTAGCTAAACTGCTAATGCTACTCGTGACGTCAGCAGGCTGTACAGACCCGGCCCACATTTTCATACTTTCCGTATAATCACTCAGGAAGAACTTCTTCAAATGATTAAACAGATCTGTTGTGTTGATCATATAATCGATCATATAACCGCCCGGTCCTAGGTCAGAGTGTCTCAAAATTAACAAAGTCATATGGCAGACTTGACCCCATCCACAGTAAACTGTAGCCTAGCTTGTGTACCGGTTCTCCTGGCAGTTTCTCATCAACCCCACTTAAAAAACACTTGAATGTCCCTTTAAAGAGTTTAGGTAGCGTATGTATGGAAGAAAAAAAGAACAGCAAGAGTTGTGGGATGTCTGAAATAAAAAATAGAGGGGTTGAATAAGAACGACTTGAGGTTTTCCTTCTCAAACTGAATAAAAAGGAGAAAAAGAGGCAGACCGACAGAAAAAAGACAAACAGAAATGAAGAAAAAAAAAACACAGCGGAGGGTTTGTGGTCGTATCCAGAGGGCAGGTGGGATCAGCTCAGGTGCAGCAGAACATTCAGACTCAGTTCACGTCTGCTTTAGAAAAAATAACCTGCAGCACAGAGCAGAGGCTGTACTGTTTAAAGGATCATTCTGCTTCACTTCAGCCCGCTCTTATTTTGGTGCTTTTTTCGCCTCTGATCGGCACATGGGCTCCAGCAGTGTGCAGCAGAGCACGTTTCAAAATACTCTGACTTTAGCAGAGTTTTCTCTTCTATCCTCCTGAGTTATTGCTCAGCACGTTCTTAATAACCAAAGAGTCACTTTCCAGACTAGGAAATAAACCGTGACTCATCATTGTAGGCTTAGAGTTTATTCATTTCCAGCAGGGACTCATACAAACTTCCGAACGTTATAATTATTATAATTATCATTATTACAAACAAATGAGTCGAAAGACAGTACAAGCACTCAAAGCTGCTCCTCCAGCAGGATCCCAAGGCGTTCCTAGACCAGGTGAGTTGTTTACTCATCCAGCAAACTCTGGGCCTTCATCAAGATCTCCTCCTTTTTGGTCCAAAACACCTCCTTAGAGAACTCTTTTTTTTTAACCAGTCTGTAAACATCTTCCTTTTAAAACTCCTTTTTTTAAATGACTGTTTATGTGGCGTTGAGTGCTTCTGCAGCCAGTCCCTAGTGGACACATGTAGAACTGCAGTTTTTACGACTTCTGCTTTAGCTTCATTTCAGAAGACCAGCTGTTGCCGCCCGTGGAAAATAGCATCTCTGTGCTGCAGTGTTGTTTACACACATTTCAATGAGCCATTACACACTCCTCTGAGGCCAAATTGGCTCTTCTTTTCTAAAATGAGCCTCTCTACAAAAATGAATTATTCACAAACAGCCACGCAGAGTGACAATTTTACTGCTCAGAGATGGTGATAACTGCACAAAACGTCACTTCATCATGACAAAAACTCCACCTCTGGGTGACCTCAAAGTGCACAGCATTCCTGAAAAGTGGCCATGTTCCTCTCTTTAACTTTTTCAAATATTAGATGTCAACACTAAACGTAGGTGACTAGATTTCTCTAAGGACATCCAAAGACATCCGGGGGGTAGGGGAAGGGGCATCGGCTGCGTCATCGCAGACAACATCTCAGTACTACCTAGTAGCAGCGCACGCCCCCCGTAAAAACTGTTGTTCAGGACAGCGCGCAACATGCTTACGAGCAAAACCCACAGGGTCTGGAACGGTTCCGCTACACTTCGGCACGGTCGGCAGCTCAAATCTGCGAGCATTATAATCAATGTGAGTCATTCCACAGAATCTTTTCGGTGTCCGGCTCCACTGTGGATCGGCTCCGGCGGCCGGATCAGATACGCAAGGCTTCTATTTTTGCCGGATGCCGGAGCACGGCACATCAATTCAGTGCAGCGCAGAACAAGCAGCAGCGGAAGTTGTATGCAGTTACAGAGTAAAATACCCAGTGAATTTTCAAAATAAAATGAAGTCAGTACATTGAACTGCTCTTAGCTTGATATAGGAGAGACCAGGGTTGTGGGATGTGGGTGTTTATGTACACCGCCGCTTATATGCACCGATCGGTGGGTCTCAATCTATGACTCCCGTGGATACACGTGAGAGCTTGTGAGATCTTGTCCAGTCTCGCGAGAAATATCAGTCATCTCGTGAGCGCTTCTCCTCCGACACTGGCAGCGGTGGATTGGATCCGGTGGGCACTGTATGCTTGCGGATCTGATCCGCCTGCCGGTCCGGAGCGGAGCCGTTCCGGATCCTGTGGGTTAAGCCAGTTACTCGTGCTTCCTACCTATTTGGCTACTGTAATAACCGTTGTTCTAGTCCATATGCAACATTTTGGTTCTCGTTCATGAAACGCTTAAATCGAGGACATCTTTTGCTGGGGACAGGTCATCCAAAACGGGGACTGTCCGCAGAAATCGGGGACATCTGGTTACTTTACACAAAATGTGTGCAAAAATTCAAGTTGTGTCCAAGTATTCCCCGGATGAAAACTGAGGGCTTGTTCAAAAGTTCACGCATGACCTCTAATAAGAGGGCACCAAATCTGCTCAATTCATGACATCACCAATTGGGGCATCTCCTTATAAAGGCATAACGAACATAACATCAAGTCCGTTGTTGATTGGGACTTTTTTTGTCTCTTTCAGATTGTTTATCTCTGATTCAAAATTTGACATTCTAGTTAGTGACTTTCTAGCATTGCAACAGTGGACGAGGGTTCTGGAATGCTGGAGATGTTCAAGCCTTAAATCAATTACTAAAAAGCTATCAGACACACGATATGAAGCCTGAAAAGAAGTAAAGGACTCCCTCTTTGTTATTATTTTGACATGTATTAATATCTGTCACGTCGTCAGTCTGTTAATAATGATTGACTTCAAAGCTTCATGTCTCTTGTCTTTTGTTTCCTGTTGTATTTTGTTACTCACCTGTGTCTCCCGCCCCAGGTTCTGTTGATTACCTGCCCCCCGATTACCCAGATGTACCTGCACCTGTGTCCTGCTATCCCCACTCTCTGTTTGTATTGAAGCTCGGTTTGTTTTGTTCCCTCCTGTCGACACTCCAGCCCCGTTTCTCCTCCAGTGTTTCGACCTGTTTACTGAGGTGACTTTGCCTTTAACCGGGTCATTTGTGTACTCATGTTTTTGCTGCTCTGGCCTCCTGTGTATAAATGGACTCTGAAGATTTGAACTGTCAGGTCCGTTAGATGGATGTCTGAGGTTCAACCCATGCACATACTTCATTGTTTCAACTCATGTCCAACTTATTGGACATTCTGGGGGCCCCCCTCTTAGAGGCACAAAATGGTTTAGTCCGAGAATAAACAACAAGCACAAACCAAATAACACATTCCCCAGAGGTCAACGAGCGAGAGACAGAGAGAGAGAGAGAGAGAGAGAGAGAGAGAGAGAGAGAGAGAGTTTATATGTGTTGTATATTTAAATATGTGTGGATATCAGGATAAAACAGTGGAAGTGTTTCTGTGATCCATGAGGTTTATATGAGGTGAATAAATGTTGGTTCAGTTGATCTTCAGGACCGCTGCAGCTTTAATAACCTCTGCTTGTTGGAGTTTGAGAGTCTGAAGTTCACATCGCCGCTCCTCTTTCTGGTCTGTAGAAAAACTGGATTTTTCCTCCCAGATCTTATCAGGTTCAAAGTCTGAAGATGGGTGTAACCAACATCTAACGAGTTGACAAAGGATCAGAGCTCAGACTAGTTTCACTTCTCAGGAAATAAAACTCTGTCAGTCAGTCGCTGTCGACAGTGAGTGTTGAAATGGCGCAGAAAGGAGTTCATCTGAACCGTGAGTCTCTCTCTTGTTCCATCTGTTTGGATCTTCTGAAGGATCCGGTGACTGTTTCCTGTGGACACAGCTTCTGCATGAGCTGTATTCAATCCTACTGGGATACTGAGGGTGAGAGGAAGATCTACAGCTGTCCTCAGTGCAGATGGAAATTCAGACGGAGGCCTGTCCTAAAGAAAAACACCATGTTAGCAGGTTTAGTGGAGGAAGTGAAGGAGAGCGGACTCCAAGCTGCTCCTGATGGTTCCTCTGTTGCTGGACCTGAAGATGTGGCCTGTGATTCCTGCAGTGAGAGAAAACTGAAAGCTGTCAAGTCCTGTCTTCAGTGTCTGGTTTCTTACTGCCAGATTCACCTTCAGCCTCATTTTGAATCACCTTCATTTAAGAAACACAAGCTGGTGGAGCCCTCCAAGAAGCTCCAGGAGAACATCTGCTCTCATCATGGTGAGGTGATGAAGATCTTCTGCCGCACTGATCAGAAGTCCATCTGTTCTATCTGCTGTTTGGACCAACACAAAGGCCACGACACAGTCTCAGCTGCAGCAGAAAGGACTGAGAGGCAGAAAGATCTGGAGGAGAGTCGAGAAAACATCCAGCAGAGAATCAAGAACAGAAAGAAAGATGTGAAGCTGCTCCAACATGAAGTGGAGGCTATCAACGGCTCTGCTGATAAAGCAGTGGAGCACAGCCAGGAGATCTTCAACCAGCTGATCCGTCTCATGAAGAAACGCCGCTCTGACGTGGAGCAGCAGGTCAGATCCCAGCAGGAACGTGAAGTGAGTCGAGTCAAAGAGCGTCAGGAGAAGCTGGAGCAGGAGATCACTGAGCTGAAGAGGAAAGACGCTGATCTGCAGAAGCTCTCACTCACAGAGGACCACAACCAGTTTCTGCACAGCTACCCTTCACTGTCAGAACCGGGTCAACCTGCAGACTCATCCAGAATCAACATCCGTCCTCTGAGATACTTTGAGGAGGTGACAGCAGCTGTGTCAGAGCTCAGAGAGAAACTCCAGGATCTTCTGAGAGAGACGTGGACAAACGTCTCACAGGCAGTGACTGAAGTGGATGTTTTACTGTTAGAACCAGAACCAGAACCCAAGACCAGAGCTGATTTCTTAAGATATTCACAAAGAATCACACTGGATCCAAACACAGCAAACAGATATCTGTTATTATCTCAAGGAAACAGAAGAGCAACATATACAAATCAACGACAGTCTTATCCTGATCATCCAGACAGATTCACTGATCATGAACAGGTCCTGAGTAGAGAGAGTCTGACTGGACGTTGTTACTGGGAGGTGGACTGGAGAGGGGATGAGGTTTATGTAGCAGTCGCATACAAGACTATCAGCAGAGCAGGGAGATCAGAGGATTGTAAATTTGGAGAAAATGACAAATCTTGGAGGTTAGAGTGGTATAAAGACAGTTATCAATTTGTTCACAACAATGTCTGCACTGATGTCTTAGGTCCTCTGTCCTACAGAGTAGGAGTGTACCTGGATCACAGAGCAGGTATTCTGTCCTTCTACAGCGTCTCTAAAACCATGACTCTCCTCCACAGAGTCCAGACCAGATTCACTGAGCCGCTACATGCTGGACTGTGGATACCCTTGTCTTTTTTTAACTGGTCTGATGGAGCCTGTGCTGAGTTTATTAAACTCAAATAAAGAGAATTTTGAGTCAATCAGACCAAAAACATGTAATGATATCATTGAACTCTTGAAATGTTCTGGTTTGTTAATGTTTGTGGATCAGTCTCACCAAAAACTCTCGGTTTAGTTCTTTATTTCAGCTTTTTCAGTCTTTTTGTAAAGATGTTGATTTGGTCGCAGCTTTAAGGACAGTGATTGTGGATAACTTTAATTGTTTGTATTTCTCATTTAAAAAAATCTTCATAAAGTTTGATATCAACAACATCAAAATGATCATTTGTTCAAATCACCTTCATTTGGTGCAGATGTTGAAGGTCTGAGACTTTAAAAAAAATGACGTCAAAATAAGGAAAGAAAGATGAAAAAGGACAACCTTATTTCCTGTCCCAAATCCAACCGTCTAAAGTCTTTCCAGTCGTCCCCAAAAACTCTTCAGATGATCTGTTTCTTTCTCTATTTGCTGAATATTTGTGTTCATGTGATCGATGGATATTTCTGTCTGCTTCTGTTGGATCAGTGTGTTTGTAAAGACATCTATAATGAGACTTTTGTCAGATCAACATGTTGTTATGAGCTTTTCAATCACTCTAATAATAATAATCACATTCATTAGTCTGACTGTTTTTATGTTTCTGACTCAGCTCAGATTGTGGTCAAGTCTGATTGTGGGTGAAAACAATAAAAATCATCAAACTGAGTCACTGAAAGCACCTCGCCTGTGTTTCTTGATGGTTTAGTGTAACGTCAGTGAGCCCGAGTTATCCGTGGTAGATACAGTCTATGGTTTGATTACATAATGACCAGAGATATAATCACAAAGGTCATTCAGACTTACATTTAAAAATAATTTTGTATGTCTGTCATTCTTTGAAAGGGACAATTTTTTCAGGACTTCATTCCCGTTTCTTTTCCCTGTATTTTTAAGGTAATTTGGGGTTAACTGCGTCCTAAATGTCCGAGGGTTTGAAACCTTGATGTTTCCTCTGATTAGGATGTCTCACCTTGCTCTCTTTGGCTCCCTGCAGGATGAAGACTCCGAACAAATCAAAGGGTGAGATTCTGTCAGATGAAGCTGCTCAGTGCAGCTCTGCACATGCATAAAGCATGACTCAGCAGAAACACGATCACTTGTTACTTCGCTTTATGAATAAAAATAAAACGGAAACTTTATCAAGGTCCATAATCATAAAACCAAGAGCTGGAGGCGGCGGTGAAACGAAAGGCAGTAAAACTAAATCAGAGAGAGAAAGCTGAGGGGAAATTTCTCGGCTTTAAATGACACTGAAGACTTTTGGTGTTTCTGTGAAAATGTAGATCTGGGAACAACAGAAGTGATCTCAAATTAAAACATGCAGAAGCAGCTGTAAACCTGGATGACCAAACCCAACTTTGTTCTCGACATTTTCCTTATTTTTTAAATTTTTTTACTATAACCTTTACACTTGATTTTATCGGTGACAGTTCAATTTTTTTTTTTAATTTAACCCCTTTTATCCTGTTTCAAAATGTAAAGTCATATTGACTCGTCTTTTCTCAACTTTTCAAGTCTTTTTTTTTGACATATTTGACAGTCCTTTTGACTTTTTATGAGCATCTTGACTTTCTTGTTGTTATATTGACTTGCCTCTCTTAATTTTGACTTTGTTCCGGATATCTGGATACACACTTACACTAAGTCCAAAATGCTGCTCATCTTTTAACAGGTAAACAGAAACATGATCACATCACTCCAATTCTGGTGTGGTCCATGTATTATCCATCCATTCACTCTCGTAAACGAAAAACGAAAAAACTAGTCAATATTTTGTTTATTTGTTTTTCTATATAACCAAAAAAATAAAAGATTAGTGTTTGTTTTCGTATTTTCAGCTCAAAACAGAATATAAACAGAGATGGAAACTAAAACAAAATAATAAATCTACTTTTCGTTTTCGGGTTATTGATGTCCCCATTTCCCACGGTGCCTTTCTACTGTTCGCACATGCACAGTAGCCAACAACATGGACTAAAAACTTCAGGCCAGAGCGGTAGAAAGGCTAACCTGTTGTCATGGAGATGGATGCGTCCTACGTATTATTCAAAGCTGCCAGGAACATCACGCTGAAGGAGGAAGATATGACTGTAGAAAAAATTACAACCAGAGCTCTGTTACAACCGAAAATTTTGGCGCTCGAACCGTTCTGTCTTTCCGGCTTTCCATGCCTGTTTGTGTCGTCGAACAATGGTGACGTTTGTCGCAAATTGATGATGTATAGGTCAGATGAACGCGACCTGAGCGTCCACACTGCAATCACATCAGATACATATCTGATTTATATCCACATACAAAAGAGGCCTGGGTCGGATTTGAAAAAATCAGAATTGCACTGTTCACACTTACATGAAAAAATCAGATATGTGTCACATATAGTTAGAAAATCAGAATTGACCTGCATTGTGAACACAGCCATAGAGATAGGGTAAGGAGCTCGGACACTCGGGAGACGCTCAGAGTAGAACCGCTGCTCCTCCACGTCGAGAGGAGTCAGCTGAGGTGGCTCGGGCATCTGGTTAGGATGCCTTCTGGACGCCTCCTGTTAGAGGTGTTCCAGACATGCCCCACCGGGAGGAGCCCTCATGGTCAACCCAGGACCAGGTGGAGGGATTATATCTCTCGTCTGGCCTGGGAGCGCCTGGGAATCCCCCAGGAGGAGCTGGTGGAAGTGGTTGGGGTGAGGGCCGTCTGGGCTTCCACGACCCGGACCCGGATAAGCGGAAGAAAACGACGACTACGATTTCAACTTTATTCTTGAAATATCAACTTCTTGATATTTTTGGCTTTATTTGCAACATTTCGACTCACTCGCTAAATGTCGTCTCATTTCTGAACAACCTGATTTTATTTGCTACATTTTGAAACATCAATTAAGTTATCAAAAAGGTGTTAAAGGGTCAGCGCAGATATACAGATATAAAATTCTAACAAATCTTGCAGCGAACAGAAAAAAAGCAGCTATGATTAAGATTTGAATAACTAATACACTCATAGATCCTCGCTGGCTAGCGTCACACCTTTAGATCGTGAAGATCAAATTTAAAAGATGTTCGTGTCTGTTAAAAACGGAGGCTGAATGTTCCTGCAGATTGTTGAATTCAGGTGTAAAGGAGAGCTGGTGAATTCAGGATTTAGGGCAGAACAAAACAAGGTCAGCACATTGTTCTCCAAACCTACTGCACTGAGCTGAACGTTCCCCGGAGCCACAGTCCATTTAGCGCTGAACTCCCCCCCACTCGACGTGCATTTACTGCTGCTGTCTGCTCTTTCACAGCAGCCTACACTTTGTTACGCTCTCCCTAAATCCCAGCTCTGCTGAATGAAGTCTGGGTGATGGAGGGATGACGCACTGACCCATGATGGTGACCACAAACTGCCGGGCTGTCAGGCAGACAGAGCGGGGCCTGATATCAAACAAACAACACAGCTGATAGAAATAGAACAACCTCGACTCACCGAGGGAAAATCACACATTAGTCAGCTGTTGGCTTTATATATGTTCGAACTCACAATTCCCTGAAGCCTGACAAGATATCAAACTTAAACATTTGTACCCATGAGTGGTTTTCTAATCTGAAGATGGCGAATGATGATCCCTGATGTGGATTATGTACTAAAGGGCAAATTTTGACTAATTTTAAGAACTGCTTCTGTCAGAGTACCCCACACATGATTTGTATTTCCTTAAGAACAAGATTATTTCTGAAAAAGCACACAGCAGAAAAACAACCAATGTAATCCTACTAAGCTCTGTTTACAGATACTAAAAATGCAGAATCTATACCGAAGCAGCAGGTCTTGAGATATTAAGCCAATGCAGAAGTGCAGTTCCTCAAGTGTCCACTAGAGGTTGGCTGAAAAGTACCAGAAACCACATACACACTCATTTGAAAAAGCTAAACTTTACGAGAAAAATAAGCATTTTAATAATTTCAGTCTGAACAGCTCATTTCTCTCTTTATACACACTATACAGAGAATTTTTAACTCATAAGATCTTAAGAAATCAAAGTTATAAGTTTGGCAAATCAGAGGCTAAAGGCCCGCTCATTCTGACCATAAACAAAGCCATTCCCCGGCTTCCCATAACCTGATTGGTTGTGAGGCAGACGCTGCTCCCCCGTGTCGTTCACGAGCCCAAACAAAGTTAGCGTGCTACAATATCAGACAGTAGAAACCAACCAGAAAGATCGGAAAATTGTCTGAATCCTCCTTTGACCACGACTGCCGACACAAGCAAGAAAACAAAGTAAATACCGGAGACTCTGGAGGAGTAACGGGCGCTTAAAACGGAGGTAGAGCTAAAAAGCCGGGTCAACATAAACGATGGGGGACGCTTGGGGATCTTGGTGGCCCTGTAACCTTTCTGCTAGACAGGTAAACCGCTTTAACAAAGTAAGCCAAGTGTCTGTAACAGAAGTGTCTCTTGTCAAACGGACCTGCTGTAGCGTGTTGTAGCGCCACTAAACTATTGACCTCGGGTCCTGGACTATGTCACTTTATCCTAGTTGTAGAAGTCCTGCAAACATTGTGTTTGCTGGTAGTCTGTTGGCACCTACAGTAGCACCAATGCCACTTGCTAACCTGTTTGTTGATTGTTTTTGTACATGACAAAAACCTCAAGAAGGTGGAGTAGTTATCTACCAAAGGGGGGTACATTGCCTTCTAGAATAATGATGGTTGAGCTTCTATCAATGAATCGATTCTCGTTCCGTATGCAGTGTTTGATAAAGACAGTAGTTTGACAAATCACCCATCCAGCGGATCAGCTGAACTGCACTTGTAAACATCCTGAGAGACCGCTGATGCTGGGAACACAAAGAACAAACCAGAGAAGAAACTTGCCCCAAAAAGCAAACATTCATGATACATTCGTCAAACCCAGGACCCCAGCAGAGCTGCAGACTTGATGCTTGTTCTGTTTAGACATCAAAACTATGAGCAACACTTTCTCAGAAAGACATTCAAGTCAGAGTTGATCTCCCAAATCTCCCTTCATGGGGGTGAGCGCTGAAAGGTCACCGAGTCTGAATGCAAGAGAGAAAATGTTTGGCTGAATCATTCCTTCAGCCGCAGCACAAAGCAAACTCTGCCATCCTGGAGACGGTGTTTGGTATGCAACCTTTTGACAAAGAGCGGCTCAGGGGATCCATGATAAAAATCCCCGTTCTGTCCTTGATATAAAAAAGATATTTCTGAACTCACAGGCGTAGGTCATGGCGAAGCTGCTCCCCGTGTCCACCATGTCCACCTGCGGCACCAGTTTGGGGATGTCCTGGTGTTGAGCCAGGGCGAAACGAAACACCTCATACTCATGGGAGCCAGTGGGGAAAAGGCCTCCTGTTTGACAAAGAGACACGGTGGATTTTAGTCAGTGTCCAGAAGCTCAGGAAAGGAGAGGAAGGAGGCCAGAGAACACATGAAACCACTCGTACCAGCTAAAAGAGGAAAACAACCCTGAGAGTCATACACTTGAAATGAACGTCAGAAGTTCAAGAATTACATGATTTCTTGGACAAATTCAGACACAAGGTGCAGGGAGGTTGTGTTCTGGCGTGACAAGAATCAAACTGATCAGATTGTCCGCCTCATTCTGTTTAAGAATCAGGTGCAGAAGTGTTTCTATTTACAAAGCAGGTTTTGGCCTTTCTGTTGAAATGGACAGGGCTCGAGTTAGCAGATCTAACTTCCCTCTTTCTATTGTGCCTCTACAAACACAGCATACACACACTGGCATGGATTGATGATCCACTGAAGTAATACCTTAGAAAAGAAACAATCGAGAACTTTCCAAATGAACAGATATCCAAACATATACAATCAAGACACAGCAGCAGGAACTCCCTAAAAGTCAGAATACGCTGACAGTATCAGATCAAGTCATAGCTAACGTCTTGTGTGCTTTACGTCAAAGAAAGGTCAGCTGCTGATCTTTATTTACTTCTTTTTGCTGCTGGATCACATGGCTTTATACTGTAGGCTTTTGAGTGCAAATTGGAAGAATCCATGAATATCTGGGATCAGCACGGTCAGTGTCATTCACAGTTATGTTTGAAGATTGTAACTAAAAACACCCTTCGCTGTGTGCGCGTTCTTGTTTTTGCGTGTAATCGAGAGAATGAAGTTTGGTGCAGGCTGCAGTTTTAGGGCCGTGCAGGGTTGAGGATATGAGGAGAAAGCAGTGATGGTGTCCTCGTCTTTTGGCATCCCTGGATCAGCCCTATACAGAGAGCAGTATCATGTCTCAAAGTATCCTGACTGTAAAAACCCTATTTCCATGGAGCTGGAGTGGCTCCGATCTGCCCCAGACCGGCAAGCGGATCAGATACGCAAGCATACAGCACCCACCAGATCCGATCCGCCGCTGCCATCGGGGAGAAGCGCTCGCTAGATTACCGATATTTCTCACGAGACTGGATGAGATCTCACAAGATCTTGCGTGTTTCCCCGGGAGTCATAGAATGAGATCCGCCGATCGTGTATATAAAGGGCAATGTATATAAACACCCACATCCCACAACCCTGGCCTCTCCTATTATCAAGTGAAGAACAGTTAAACATTTTATTTTGAAAATTAACTAGATATTTCACCCTGTAGCCGCATACAACTTCCACCACTGCTTGTGCTGCGCTGCACTGAATTGATGCGCCATGCTCTGACATCCAGCAAAAATAGAAGCCTTGCGTATCTGATCTGATCTCTGAATTGCTCACATTGATTATAATGCTTGCTTATTTTATCCGCCTGCCATGCCGGAGCGGAGCAGAGCCGTTCCAGATCCTATGGGTTCTGCCCGTTAGACAAACACTGATCCGTTATAAGTAGGAGCACTGCTGTGTGTCCTTATTTGAACAGAAAAGTCAGGGGAAAGGGTGTTGTGAACTCTAATACTAATGAAATTTGAAACGCCCAATTTGCACCGCATTAGAAACGGCTCCGCTACAGAACGGTAACAATTTTTGCCGTCCACCAATTACTACCGGATGCGTTTCTGAGGCGAATTTTGTGGTGGATTTTGGACAGCGGGAATCTCAAGAACTCACAAGCGCCCGCGGATTTACATGCAACCACACGATAACGAGTTGTCTAGACTTCTAGAATCAGCATCTCCTCATCCATGGTGTCATCGGGGTGAAATGACATCTAAAAACCTTTTACTTGTTCGTCCCTGCCCACGTTTGATAGTGTAATATACAATCTGTCTGAAACATGTCATGTTTTATTTTGAAAAGAAACCGGATGTTTTATTTTGTGTTTGTGCCCGACTTCCTTTCCAGCACGGGTTATGTGAAAAAAATAGAACCCTGGTGATCGACTGTCTTCTGAATGGAAAGAAGTCGGTGGAATCCGACACATTAACTTGAATGGAAATGATCAGCGGTGATCGGCACATTCGGCCTTTTCGCAGCCGTTTCGCAGACTGAAGAACAGGTTTAGTTTATTAGTTTTAGTTTACTGCGGTGTGGGGAAAAGAAACAAGACTTGACTATTGTGCAGAATAAACACAAACATCATCTTATTTGGCTGCTTGTCTGTCAAAGGCAGAACTTTGGTTAAAATGAGTCAGACGAATGCAGTTACAATATGAACGTAGTGATAAATGCCATTTACTGGCTCACATATTTCATACCACCCTCTCAGGAGTCAAAGCCTCAACTGGGCCACCTCAATCAAAAAGTCTAGATGCGCCCCTGCTTGTTGTAAGTATGCTATGCAATTTTGCTCAAATGTGGATCACCCGTCAGTGACCCTGTCCCTCCTTGCCATCATTATAAACAAATATCAGATCGTCTAAGAGTTTGAACGCCATTGTTCTGGACACAAAGGTATGTTTTTCTTTTCGATATTGTGAATCTCTCGTTACTCTTCTATATTCTCCTGAGAGTCGTTTTCTTTATTCGAGTAAAGACTCAGAAATCTTCCCTCTGAGCTGCATCTTGAAGCAGGATAGTGGTTCGATCTCAGAGCCGGCTCAGTCTACCATTGTCCCTGAAAATAATGACCGTCTGCTCCACAGTAATTGCTGTTAAAAGCTTCTTTTCTCAGCTCGTGTTCTACTCATTGTTCCGGCTGTCTCACTCTCCATATAATGGTTCAGAGTCAAATTATCTAAACACTTAAACAGGGACCCATCGACCCTCTTCTCCTTGCTGTGATGAGATGTTTATTTTTACATGTCTGGACTGAGTGTGCGGCCGGTCGCTCAGCTGTTACAGCTGCTTCAATCAAACGTGAGAATTAAACTCGCTGTTTTCTTTCTGCAGAAGCTGTTGTGACTGTCTGTCCCAGCTCTGCACATCACATCCTTTTCTTCCCTGTTTTTCTCTTTAAATAAAATATTTGACTTCATCCTTTTCTTGCCTATTGAATCAAACTGGGGATGCACAATGTCGGATTTTTGTTTATATATCTAAAGAAGACGGTTTTAAACTCAAAAAGTTCACATCATTTTTGTCTTATTTCTTGTAAAAATAAAATGTCCGTGCATCACATTCACCCAAAAAAGTCCGGAAAAATTCAGTATTTGAATATGTTACATGCAAAAAATTAATACCTGAATTAACTGAACATGATGTCCGTTTACTAAGAAAAGAAACGCTGCTATGCGCAGGACGCGTCTTTGTGTTGCTATGGCGATGAATCTTTCCGTTTTCCTGTGGAGTGAGGAGGGCGTCTCATACTCGCCCATCTTGTTTATACCCTCCTGTTTCAATTGAGGCGCACAGCTTATGAGTGAAGGGCGAGTGAGTAGGGGGCGGTTCGGGATTGGGCCTATGCATGTTGTGATTTGTCGCTGTCCTCGGTGCTGATCCCCTGATTTCTGCTCAGTGACGGTTCACGATGTGACTCTGACCGTGAGTGTGTTGGTTATGAACATGACTGTGAACATCGCTCGTTGACTTTGCTGTTTTTTGTCGTAAAATTATATAACACTATCCATGGTGCTGTTTCCCACAATAATACAATGTGACTGTCCATTGGGCCGATTCCAGCGAGGCAGCTGCAACAATAGTCTGTTTGTGGTCCATTCCTACTAAACAATCACTTCTATTTTAGTTTATGATAATATTCACAGTGCTTATGTCAACATTACTACCATTTAAAAAACATAAAAGCGTTCAAGATCACCATCACTGAATTAAAGGTTATTTACAACCACTTCTTTATCCTTTCATGGCCTTTTTTGTTCATTATAAGTAAAAGTACAACCATTTAAACGTCCATAAAGCAAAAACAAATGTAAATGTGATGATAAAGTCTACATACAGACTTCCACATCACATTTGAGCCTCATTTTTTGTGAGTGCTGTAGTCGGTCGAGTTTATGTAAAGTGAATCATTATTCAGCTTTAAGTTGAGGGATAGATTACTGCTGATTTAAGTTGTTTGATCAATAAAGTTGAATCAAAAATTCATTTCCCTCCAAGAAAAAGTGAGCTGAGGTTAAAGCGCCATGAAAATGGAATATCTATAAACTCAGTTTGAAAGTCGTATCGAGTAAAAATGACACAGATGCAAAAATCAGCCGGAGAAGGAATGTGGTCACTTATTTCAGTGCGGTGGATATTTCGAAGGTTTAACCCAGTTTATTTTCCATAATTTTAAGCAAGAATCATAAATCAGTCACTTATAAATATGTGAATTTTTACTGGACACTATTGGAAATGTGCATGATTTATTCATTGGAGTTGTAAAGGCTGGAAGCAGTCCATCTGCTCCAACAGGAGGGTTCACTGACTCAATAAACACACACAGAGAAAACCAATGTAACTGATTTTTATGCTGAAACTCACTGGAGTCAGACTGCAGAAGTGATTCTACTCCAGAAAAATGCAGGCGTCTTTTTTTTTAATGCGGGTTAGTTCAACTTGATGCCACATCAGCTCCAAACCAGAGAGGGAACCGGACCAGTGCCCCGATGAATTCAATTATAACTTCATTTTGTGAAGAGTGACATGCTCTGCAGCTCCCAGATGCCAGACTCTGACTGAAAGTGAGCGGACCAGTCTGTGTTCGGATGGGAATAAAAGAGCAGAGGGAGGATTTATTTAGTGGATTCAGTGACGAAAGCTCAAGGGGAGATGAGCTCTGAGTAGAGTTAATAAGATCAATAAATGATGTGATCACGTCTCATTTAGCTAAGACTCAGGATTAACTAAGGTCTGGAAAAACACCCGCAAATTTGGTCTTAAATAAGAAATATAGTTACTTATGATAAAAATAGACATGTATACAATCTCAAAACTTCAAATGCAGGCTCTGAAATTTACTCCTGATACAAGAATCTCTGTGAAGGACATTTCTACTCTGCTTCTGTGCAGAGCTTACAGAGTTTAAAAGAGAAGATCATCACAGAGGTGTAACAAGTGGTCGCCTTCTCCATCTTAACCAGAAGTGATGGAGGCTAAATCCAACATTCGTGCTGCTGTATTCCAGTGTATTTTTGAGGTACTAGTACATGAAATATTTCTAACTTATGATACTTGATATTAACTTCTCACTTTGATTTATCTGACACCTCAAATGCTCCTACGATGGCGGTCACAGTCTCTGTGAAAACTAAAGATGTTTTAAGTCCTACAAGAGTCTGAATATCCAAAGTAACACTGAATAGATAGTAGAATAGATACACCGAAAAGATACTTTGCTGACATGAGAAATGTGATGCGGGTGGTATCCAAGACAAAACTAAAATCAAACAAGAAAAATATTTTAATTCCATATCCTAGTAGTTTCGAAGTGATGTGACATTTTATGACGAATATAATCAGCACAGATTTCTCTGTATATAAACCATACTTGAAAATATCTGGGAAAAATCATCTCCAGATGTTTGAGTAAAGTATCTTACATGGGTGAGAAGTCAAGGTCATGTTCTTACAAGAGCTTAAACTCTCAGTTACCCAAAACAAAATGACCACCTTTGTAATTTAAAGGGTTAAAAAGTGAACCGTTAACATAAACGTCAAACTGGTCCTCCTAAATGTGCTGCAGTAGTCTTCTGATTTTAAATTCGTGTTTATGTAAGAGAATCATACACGTGATTTCTCTGGTGGCACGTTGGTTTTAGAAAGATTGATCACAGTTGTATTGAGTGATGTAAACCATAAACATGAATATACATCAATCATGGATCAATGTTGTTAAAAGAGACTCAGGTAAATGAACCAGGAGCGGTCTTAAAAGATCTGTTTGTGAGCGTAAGGAGACAGCTGTTCCTGATGAAGCGAGACAAATGATCTGGATCAGATTTTAATCACAGACTAGAGTGATATTCCTGTGTAACTCTGTCCATGGTGCTGATTCAGGAAGTGATGTGTAGAAATCTCTTCCAAGTGCTGGTTGATAAGAAACTTGTTATTTGATGCTGTCCATGGTGCTGACTTAAAAATTGCTGCTGAGGAGCTGTCCAAGGTGCTGATTCAGTTACTCGACGCTGAAATGTTGCTTCCTCGATTCAACGTTAGATAATGACAAAAATAGCATTACATGACTCTGCTCAAACTGCTGATTACTGTAACATTACATGGTATCAAATTGTGTTTTAAGCTGTCCATGGTGCTGATTTCTTGTTTACTGCTTAGAGACTGTCCAAGGTCCTGATTGAGATGGTGTTTTAATGTCTTCAAAGCTATTTATGAATCATTTCTGGCTCTGAATGTGGTGATGATTTCAGAATATTGCACATGAATGTAATTAAGTAGAAAAAGATGTTGCTCCAGGATACTGCTAAGTCACATCAGTCCTGCTTCATAGGGTTTTATATTTGTATCTAAAGCTAAAAGGTTGCTTTGCTTGTTTCATATCAGGTGCTGACTCTTCTTACAGTATTCCATGACTCTCTCCACGGTGCTGATTACCATATAATTGTAATCACAGTGTCTGTTTTGCTGATTCTGATCGAGTTAATGCCAATAACACTCGACCATGGCACTGATTTTTAAATTATTGCATTTCACCCCTTTTTATGTCTTCGTTAGTCAATCTATGATATTATTTCCATCACGAAACCAGCCTTGATTTTAAGATTACAGCTCAGGGTCTGTCTGTGGACCTGAAGTACACTGTGCTCTGATTGCATCTAATGCTTGAAACGACGTGATTTAGACTCAGTAAAGGTACGGATTGTAATCATAGGTCCATGGTACTGATTTTTATGTATTACGATTAATTCCCTACTTCGCAAAGAGTCTTCAGGTTTGAATTCTAACCATTGTTTATATGACTCTGTCCATGGTACTGATTATAATATATGTGAATAATTAATAATAATAAGAGTCTTCAGGGTTGAATTCTAACCAATCTCAAATATGACCGTGTCTAAAACTAGATTATGTGACTCTGTCCTTGGTGCTGATCTTATATATTTGAATAACTAACAATAATGGTAATAATAATAAGAGTCTTCAGGTTTGAATTCCTACCATTCTCAACCATGTCAGTGTCTAAAATTGGATTATGTGACTCTGTCCTTGGTGCTGATTTAAAGTGTACCACAGAGGAACTGTCCAAGGTGCTGATTTATATCCTGTTTTGCCTATAATTGATGCTCTCTTGACTCTGTATGCAGTGCTGATCATAATAACAGTATTGTTCGACTCTGCCTGTGGTGCTTGTTCCTGTATAATTGCTACAGTAATGTCTGAGACGCTGCTGCTGCTCTCAGGTTATGTTTCTCTGTCACTCTATTCTTGGTGCCTAAGATTTCCCCAAGACTCCGTCCATGCTGCTGATTCTCACTTTACTGAATTACATCTGCAATAATTGTGTCCTGTCACCATCCATCCTGATTTTATTTTACAATAACACACATTCTTAAGACGAATTTTTCAAATCCTGCTTGTGTTTTTTTGTTTTCTCCAAAAATCATTCAAGTTTGTCACATTCAGACAAAAGGAAATATCCTGTTAATGTAGTTTAAAGCGTCCAGACACGCCCACATCATCATCGCATGAGTCTGCTACTGTACGCTGCAGAAACACCCACAAAACACTGTAAGTCTCATCATGACTATATGAACACAAACCTACTGTAAGTCCCAGGGGAAGCCCGACCACAGACACTGTTGCAGGAGTGCAGAGTGGAGCTCCACCTTAACATACTCAACTGTAACTTATTTACACAACAACAGACGATTATTTAGGGACCAGTCACGACTTTTGTTCACACCCGAGTTGGGCGTCCACAGTTGAATTTCAGGTTATAGAATAAGAAGTGCTACAGTATCAGTACGTCCTTTTATTCATGCACATGCTCGTTAATGAACGCAGCGTTAGCGCAACACAGCGGCGCAATCTAAAGTCCAGCACCGCGCAGTTTTATTGTAGCTCTGAATGCGGATAATTTTAGAGATGTTCTGCCTAAATTAAGATGAAGCGGTGTTTCCCCGCCGGTCTCGGGGCGCCCCTGGGTGCACTCACCTATGTTGATGTTACTTGGGAAACTTGTGCCGCTGCAGAGCCCGGAGAGCAGCAACAGCGGCAGAGGGAGGAGGAGGAGGACCGAGGGCACCGTGAAGCTCTGCAGCCGCATGTTTCCTCCGGGAGACGCGGAACAACCGGCGTAATCCCATCCACAGCGGGGCCGGAGTCAATCCACCGCAGCCCGGGCACAGACTCACACATCCACCGGCAGTCCGGGTCTTTCCTTCTCTCTTTCTTTCTTTGTCTGACTGCTCTCTCTCTCTCTCTCTCTCTCTCTCTCTCTATCTGAGTGTTTCTCTCTTTTCAAACATCCACTCTTGGAGCGCAGAGCTCTGCTGCCGCGTCGACTCTGACTGTCAGAGTGTTTGTTCACTGATTCTCCAACCGAGTCTCTCTCTCTTTACCTCGCTCTCTCTCTGTTTCTCTCGCACACATACTCTTTCTATCGTTCTTTTTTCTCTCTCTCTCTTTCTTTCTCTCTCTCCCTTTCTCTCTCTCTCTCTTTTTCTTTCTCTCCCTCTTTTTCTCTCTTCCCTTTTCTCTTTCTCGACTAATTTTTTCTTCTTCTCTCTCTCTTTCTTTGTCTCTCTCTCTCTCCTTCTCTCTCTCCTTCTTTCTCTCTCGTTTTCTCTCTCTCAGTCTCCCTTTTTCTCTCTCTCTCTCTCTCCCTTTCTCTCTCTATTTTTTTCTCTTTCTCGCTCTCTCTCCTTTCTCTTTCTTGCTCTCTCTCCTTTCTCTCTCTCGCTCTCTCTCTGTTTCTCTCTCTCTCTCTCTCTCTCTCCCTGCGATGTTTTCTCTCTCTCTCTCTCTCTCTCTCTCTCTCTCTCTCTCTCTCTCTCTCTCTCTCTCTCTCTCTCTCTCTCTCTCTCTCTCTCTCTCTGCGATGTAAAATCCAACTTTATTCTTTATTCCGGAGGAGCCTGATGAATTTGAAACGGGATGGGTTTTTTTTGTATTTTTCACGTCAAGAATCAAAATAACTTTAATTCTACTGAAAAACAAACATTTACTTGGATATCAAATCTATAAAAGGTGTTTGTTTACATTCCTATTTCTACCCTTAAAGTTAGGGAACGCAAGAATCCATTAAAGAAGCATCTTTTTTGTGGTGTTTTTACAAAAAAAGCTTTTAATATCAGTCAATAGTTATTAGTTATTGATGACATTTGGTAATATAACGATATCTCTGTGTTCTCTTATGTTTGTGTAGTCAACATTTTAACATTTTCTGAGTGGCCCGCTCTTTCTGACTGTAAACAAAGCCATTCTCCGCCTCCCTCAATCTGATTGGTTGTGAGGCAGACGCTGCTCCCCCGTGTCGTTCACGAGCCCAAACAAAGTTAGTGTGATACAATATTGGACAGTAGAAACCAACCAGAAAGTTCGGAAAATTGTCTGAATCCTCCTTTGGCCACGACTGCCGACACAAGCAAGAAAACAAAGTAAATACCGGGAGACTCTGGAGGAATAACGGGCGCTTAAAACGGAGGTAGACCGGACAAGAGCTAAAAAGCCAGCTCAACATAAACGATGGGGGACGATTCAGGATATTGGTGACCCTGTAACCTTTCTGCTGGACAGGTAAACCGCTTTAACAAAGTAAGCCAAGTGTCTGTAACAGAAGTGTTTCTTGTCAAACGGACCTGCTGTAGCGTGTTGTAGCACCGCTAAACTGTTGACCTCGGGTCCTGGACTATGTCACTTTATCCTAGTTGTAGAAGTCCTGCCAACATTGTGTTTGCTGGTAGTCTGTTGGCATCTGCAGTAGCACCAATGCTTTTTACTTTCATATTGACTGGGCCCCATTTGTAATTATCTGAAGTATTTATCTGCATTATACCTGAATTTAATTGGAACGATAGGAGCGAGCAGGAGCGTCTGCTTGTGGGCGGGGCTTGATGGAGCAGAGAGGGAGGGGAGAGGAGGAGCTGAGGGGAAAACTGGTTGGGAGGGGTAGAGTTTACACTCAAGATTTCTCCTAAAAACTGGAACTTCATCAGATCCTGACTACCCCACCTTGAATTTTGTCACTTACTCTAATGACTGCGATGGTGCCCGGGATTAGGAGAATAAATAGTTTTCATCTTTTACAAAAGTATGATGATGTTTTAAGTTACATGATGCCATCAAAGAGATAAAAACAAAACTTAGAAAAAATGTTTTCATAATAACTTATTAAATGGTTACCATCAGCTACAAACAGCCTTTTCGTCGCCGTTCCGGATGCGGTGGAAATTTCCAGTTAACGCTGGTTGTTTTTAGTGACTAAACATCAAGCAGAGTTGTGTCTCGGCGTAAATGTTTGATCCAGAGCAGACGCACACAGATACTTGTTTTCTACCTGCTTTTGCTCTCCATACCGACTGATCTCCAGCAGAAACTGGAGCCCGTTGATGTAAGATCAATCCTGCTCGGACTGCGGACGACAAATACTGAAATTTAATTTCTGTAAATTTGATCAAATAACAAAAAGTTTTAGAGTTTTCTTCTCACAGTCCTGATTATTGTAAGAACGTTTCTATGCTGCTGTTACGGTTTCATTTCATACTTATACTTTCATTCACTGACTCATCTTTCCAAAAGGCTGTCAGATGATTTCTTCATCACGACCGAAGACGAGCAGGCGTAACAGTCAGCACAGTCTCTAATCAGAAAATGGCCGCCCTCCTACACAGTTTGCCCACACAATGAATAATGGTGAGGCTGATAATCCGTCTCTATTCACCGTCCAGCGAGTCAATTCACTGAGACAACACAAAGAGAGGGAGGGGAGGGATCACTCTCTTTCAAACACACCACTGCCTAATTTATTTCTCTGCTTTTGACAAACAGGCAGACGGTGGCGTGGGAGGATCCTCTGAGAACCAGACAAACGGTCATCCTCTGATCAGCGAATCTGTTTCTCATGTTGTTGAAAACTGATGTTGGTTGACCACATGAAAACAAACACTCTCCAAACACACATAAAAGCAGAACATTATTAATCTGATGCAACCAAATACGACAAATCAACCATAAATTCAACTTTTAAAGAAGTTTCTTAATTCTCAGTTTTCGTTGACATGGTCAGACAGGTGATTTGTTAAGATACGCGCTCATAACTTTTAACTTATCTGCAGGTTTTCTAGATGTCGGCCCTGAAAGTCAATGGCACAACTATTTTAGGAAGGTGATAAACACACGACAAAAAAATAAGGTAACAAATCAATTAAAAAAACATAATAAAAAAAATCTTAAAAATGAAAATGTTTTGAGTAATAGATATTTCAGAAAACAAAAACAATATGACATTTCAAATAATTTTCAAAACATATAATATTTGGAAATACAAATAAAATTTAATAATAAAAAAATGTAATAAAAATATTAATTTATCTCATCTCTTTAAAAATGAAAATCGCCCAAAATATTACTAAAAAACCCCATAAATTTTTACATTTAAAAAAATTAGAAAACACACAAAACACAAAAATAGAGATATTTAAAAAAAATGTTTTTTAAATTTATATGTATTCCCTAAAATATTTTAATGTGACAATTATTTATTTTGAAAATATTTAATGTTTTAAGATTGTTTTTTTATTTCTTATTTTTTCTACGATAAATTTAGTTTTCATGTGAGTCATTTTTGTCTTTTGTAAAACACTTTTGGGTTTTATGAAACATTAATTTTTGTTTTTCTGAAATATTTGTGCCATTAAAGGGATATTCCGGCGTAAAATTAATCTAAGGTCAAACGCACCGTAACACCGAGTTAGACCGAGACGCTAAGGCAGAAGAACTACCGCGTCTGCAGTGAAAAATGATTAATATGATGATTATTACTTAAAGGAAATGATGAAGTAATGATCATAAATGTTCTTCCTTGAGCTGCTTCACTCCACTGCGGTCGATGGACATGCCCAGAGGTCTCTGTACAAACATCAGACCGAGACACTAAGGCAGAAGAACTACTGCGTCTGCAGTTGTGTTTAGTCTCTTTGCTAAAGAAATTAGTCAAAGTTAAAAAGATGTGTGGTGGCTAGCACTATGGCTGGGACCCTATATGTACTGTTGATGAAGTTATGCCGTAATATCCCTTTAACCTTTCAGAGCCACCGTAGATGATGACATCAGTACCATTTAAACTCAATACTCAATTTTTTTTTTCTTAGATTAACTGTAAAAAGTTGTCGAGTATTATATTGAAAGGTGTTCGTATTAGGTTACCTCTTGGTAGAGTGGATGTCTCTCAACACTTTTTTATTTTCTGCTCATAAGTATAAACTGGCGGTAGCAGCAGTGGTAGACGGGTTAAGGCGGCCATGTTTTCTGCCTCCTCGGCTCATTTAGACTCTAATTAGTGTTGTTTTTAATTAACTGAAGCCAAACAAAGCGGCTCATACTGTGGACGTCTGCTTTATCTGTGGCGGCACATGAGCTCAGTCAAACAGCATCATTGGAGCCGGATGGAGGTGATTAGTTGACGGGCCGCTCAGAGATGAGATATGAAGCAGATTTGTCCCTGATAGGAGTCATTCTCTCTGGAAGAACAAGTAGAGATTAATTATATTGGGAGTGTGTTAATGTTTCCTTATTATAGCTGTAATTTAAAGCTGGACAGCACTTTTAAAGACGTACAATTACTGATGACAGCTGGATGTCAGGAACTGCATTCAGAGCGGATGATTGTTTCCCTGTTGTTATCTCAGCCTCTCTATTATCTTTGGATTTAAACTCCATTTATTCATTTATTCTATGGCAGCATTTTGTTTGTTTAGATTTGAGCTTTGGATGTGGTAATTATGGTTTCTAAAATAAACTTCATTGTCATTAAACAGCCAATAAAACAAGTTTTTCATGTTAGAAGACGAGACTTGATAGAAAATGGGACAGTGTGGTGTCCTGGTGTTCCACAGGGGTCGGTCTTAGGACCCAAAGTATTTATTTTAGACGTAAATTATAAATCTAAAGTTTCTAAAATTTAATTCAGTCACTAATATATGCCCAGAAATGTTCTTACTGTGCGCACAAAATAAATGCATACGCACAATCAGATATGTGCACAAGACCTTCACCACACACAAATCCTGTCCAAATCCACCATGTCAGTCATTTGTTAAGTTAAACTTTGACATCTCATTAATTCTGTGTGGCATTTTTTTTAATAAAGTGTCTGTGGCTTTTTTTAGGTTAAAATGAAAACAGCATATAAATAAAAGGTTCTAACAGCATTTTGGGGCAAATTCAGCTGGATCATTCTGCCAAACAGTAGCGCAACTATGTCTACATGCAACAATGTCAGTCAGTAAATAACCAAAACAAAAATGAAAACTAACACTCTATATCCTCTTCACATAGAAAATGATTTGATCTATATTAGTTTAGAATACATTCAAGAAAACTGAACACAAAGTTTAAAAAAATGTCTTCATGGCTGAAATATCCGAAAATCGGCACAAAATGAAAGAGAAAGTTACTCTTCAAGTTCCTCAGTTTTATATTTGTGCACAAGTAACTGTTGATAACAGCGTTTCAATGATGCTCTTCTCTGGTAAATATGATAAAGACATTGTAAATGAGGGATTATAGTGCTTTGGCATTACGATTAGGGCCCCCAGGAGGAAGGAAGGAAGGAAGGAAGGAAGGAACGAATCAATGAACCAACGAACCAACGAACCAACGAATGAAAGAAACAAGAAAGAAGGAAAGAAAAAAGAAAGAAAAAAACAAATGAACAAAAGAACAAAAGAAAGAGAGAAAAAAGAAAGAAAGAAAACAAATAAACAAAAGAACGAATGAAAGAAACAAATAAACAAACAAACAGAACAAATTTTTCAGAGAAGAATGTTTGAATTTGGACTTTAATCTCAGAATCCTGGGAAAAGGGTCATTTTCTGATTTTAATCTTAGAATTTAGACTTTTTTCTGAGGAAAATGATTCATATATATCTATATAAGACCTTTTGTTTTGTTTTGCTTTGTTTTTTTCCAGCGGCCCTAATCCTCTTCCGACTTTTTATCATGAGCTGTTGAACATGTCCTCTAACAACAAATAAAACAGACACTAAAATGTTTGGACAGCTCCGTAGACCTGTTTGTCTGAATGATGCGCCTCTTGGCATAGCAGGTTGGCACAAACACGTTGTCTCATGGCACATCATATTTATTATTTGTCGGTGTTTTTCTAAAGTTATTTGTCAATTTTTCCAGAATCATTTACAGACAGAACAAGAATCCATCCAGAGATCACAGGATATTTTCTAAACTCGTTTGAATCGTCCTTTAGATCCACCAAACGTTGATTTTTCCGCAGCCTAACAAAGCTGGAGCTTCAGTGCAGCTTTCAGTCCGAGTTTATCCGCTCACTCCGCACCATGCCGCTCTTTTCAAACCACGGTCCTGTCATGTTCACTGATGGCATCAGCTCTGCACATGTTCTCATTTCATGTTCGATTTATCACACATTGTTTGGACCGTGTTTCTGTGCTGCCAGCTGTTCAGTACAACAGGAGTTTAACCCCTCAGCTGCCGTTTGAAGCCGCTGCTGCTGTTGCCCGCGGGTCTGACACTCTGCATTTCTGTACGTCCAACTATCTAAAGCAGCCAATGGGCTCATGAAAGAATGATGCTGGTAATCTGCAGTTTTCCATACAGGATGATGGAGGGATGAATAAATGATGAGAGCATTGTGCCCACACAGCACTATTTTACATGCAGAGTGTGTGTAATGTGTGTTAAAGCAGGTTTACAAAGCTCAGAGCTCAGACTCGCCTCCTCCAAGCGTAAATCATACATGTGAACACGGAGTGTGTTCCCTGCTGATGCTGTAGCTTTGTTGTTTAGAGTCGACCCCCAACACACAAACACACAGAAACAAGCACACACACTATTCACCCCCAGCTTTACCTGTCACTTACACTAAACATAACGGCCAATCAGCTGATTTGAACTGCACAAGTGCATTCGGACCGCCGTGCAGGAACGAAGCTGCAGGGCTGTTTCCACAACAGAGAGGAAGTGTTTACCTGCTCCAGAGATCTCAGGTGACACTTTCTGGAGTTTCTTTGTTTTATAATCTCTTAATGAACTCTGTAGGCTCATAAAAACGTCCTTCATTACCCTTTTACCGGTTATAAAAGACTTTAATAAACCTTTAAGGAGGTCTTAAATCCAGCCTAGCAGTCCAGTACTGATCGCACACTTAACACAAGAAAGACGGAACAATAACGGGAATATTTTTAACATTTTCATGTCAAAAGCTGGTGATTCTGCGGGCCTCAAACTCACCCTTAAAAAAGTGGCGATGATTCTAAGTCGGCGTGTCGACCAATCAGATGTTCCTTTTACATCTCAGCTGGTTTTCCAGATGGTGGCCCTGAAAGTCAAAGGTACAACTATTTTAGGAAGGTGATAGATAAATGACAAAAAAAAAAACAGGTAACAAATGAATATTTTAAAAAGAAAAACACAATAAAAATAAATAAATAAATGCTGAAAACGAAAATGTTTTAGGTAAGAAAATTGTATTTAAAAAAAATATTTTAAATTTTAAATCATTTAAAAAATCATTTAAAAAAAACAAATATTTTGGAATTACACATAAAATTTAATAATGTAAAAATCTTATAAAGATATTAATGTATCTCAAAAACCCTTTAAAAATGGAAACAGGTGATTTTTGAAAACCTCCAAAAATATTTAAAAAACACAAATAAAGTTTTAAAATAAAATTTAAAGGAAACACAAAAATATTATTTTTAAACGTGGGTTTTTTTTTTGGTTGTATGTCTTTGTTTTCCCGAAAATATTTAAATGTGATAATTATTTGTTTTGAAAATATTTTTAAGTTAAGAATTTTTTCAATATTTTGTGTTCATGTGAATCATGTTTGTCTTTTGTAAAACACTTTTGGGTTTCAAAAGTTTTGACCTTTCAGAGCCACCGTAGTTGATGACATCAGTACCATTAAAACTCATCTGTTCCCATTTCTAAAGCCAGAAGGTCTCTTAAACACAGACAGGACCCGAGCAGAGACTCCATGTTTGTTGTTTCTGTTTTTTTTTTTTTTTTTATAAACTCTCCTGTCATGATTAAATAAAAGTGAGTCGTTCAGCTTCAGTTCAGCTTCCTCTTAACTCTGAGCTGCAGCTGAGAGTTCAGACGACCGCAGCGTGTGAGTCTATGACAGGTCAGATATGAATAAAACATACACACACTCTGCCAGCTCAGTGTGTGTCTGCGCGCACCTGCAGCGGCTGCTGTTATGGTTTAGATTCAAACCTTTTTCAAGAATTCAGAAATATATTAAATATAAATATGTCTATACATACAAGTATAGAGACGAGCGTACAGCTGAAATAAACAAGTCTTAAAGGAGAAATCAGGGTATTTAGAGTCTGTTTACGGAGCTGCGCCTGTGGACTCTCATTTAAACTGAACACAGAGGAGATTTTAGGAGATTTTCTTTACTCCATCAGAATGTATGTTTCTTTTCTTCTCTCCTTGAGTAATCAAACATTTCTTACTCCTCCTCGTTTTTCAGACATTAAGATCTACAATTGAGACAAATCACTGCAGCGTCTCAGCGTGGGAAAGTTTATCATCGACACAAAAGTCAAATTAGCACTTTCTCAATCAATCCGTCAGCGTCAAGAGGAACACAACAGACTCGATTCTCTGGAGCCATTCACCTCCACCAAATTATCTTTGAGTCAAACTCCATCCATCCTACTCCTCTTCTTCTTCTTCAGAGTTAAAATCAGAGGCAGCCTCATGAAACCTCATTAAATCAGGCGTCAAGGTTTTAGTATTTGTGCGGACTGGTCCTTTAAAGGTATGCAGTCAAACACCTGAGAAAAGCGTGAAGTTTTCAGCTCTCTGCGCTGGTTAATTTATGAAGTCTTTGCATTAAAGCTGTCAGAAAGCATCAGTGGACTACGCGGGTCTCCGCAGGTCTCAGGTTCAAGTCCTCCTCCTCCTCCTCCTCCTTCTCCTCCTCCTCCTTCTCAGCCTGAATTGTTTACCAAAGCAGTTTTAACAAAAGCACTTAAGACAAAGGCACTTTGTGGAGTGCTCCGAGTCCAGAAATAACACGTCGCATTTACTCTGAACACATTACGGTAAAATGAGTTCATCTGATTTCACTGCAGGAGAAGATCTGAAGCTGAAGGAGGTTGACTGTGTACTTCTCTCCTTTCCTTTTAATCTTCTTTATAAGCCCTTATTTCTGGTGATTTTGACATCTTAAGATCGTCTCCCCCTCTTTGGTCCTTTTTAGCTGCTCAAGTTAAAGAATAATGTGACAAAAGTAAATCAGGGTCAAGATAATCAAGACGGATTTTGAGACTCAAACAAAGGTGAGCAAAGCCGCAATTTTGATGGTTTGAAAGATCTTGAGGCGTTGATCCAAAGCAGCTAAAAAATGTAAATTCCGACTAAACAGCGAGAAAACACTCAGGAAACAGTCAGAATTGAGCCCAAACTATGGGACCTCAAAGTCTGCAGGTTAACTATATCAAATTTGTGGCTGAAGAGCGAGAACCTCCAGTTTGCAGTCTTACTTGTAGTTTAAGATCCACAAAACCCAGCTGGTCACATTTGATGGCGAGACGTTTGGTAGATTTCAGAGTTTAGAGAGCGAGGACTTTTGTTGATATTCCTTCTAGGGCTGGGCGATAATAAAATTCAATCAATATCACGATATATTGATCAGTTTACCTTAATAACGATAAATGGATGATAACTACTCCACCAGCTGCTAACCCCCTCCTACATTAACTTCGTCTACTTCAGCCGCTACAACTTTTGAACCGTCCTCATCTCCTCACCTGTCTTTCCCTCTTTGTTACAGACTGGATGGGGTGGAGTCACGTCTCTGACGTAGGACAGCATCTTAAAAAGGGACATGAGACCAAAGCCTACCTGCACACATCAACAACCAACCAACTCAATTTATTTTTTGACACCCTTTATGTTTGGTAGTGAAATAGACAAATATAAAAAAAACCTTTTAGTCTAGCTCAATATAGTAAATTACCACCAGCCCTCACTTTGCCCCTTATAATAAATTTAAAGAACAATAACTACCGGTCTGATTATATCCAAAACCGAAAATATAGTTAATTTTTTAATGGATTAAAGCTTTTATGGATGTGAAACTCTTATAAAAAATCTGAACTCTTCTTTCTTTGGGATGATCTCATCCAGGTCTTACAAGTCCCTAACCCTAAGTTGGTCTTGGATCAGGACCTGGTTTCCCTTTGATCTGCTGGGCCAACTATAGGTTTTGATTGACTTATTTACCAGGTAGATTATTATTGAAACTAGGGCTGGTCGATAAATTGATAACGATATATGTCAAAATTTAATTTCCCTCAATATCAATATAAAACGTGGTCAATATGCTTTCGATAACCGCCAGTCTGCCATGTTTTGGCAGACTATATGAATAGCCAATGAAAAGGGGAGTTGCCCCGGGTCCGCTTCATGCTGAACCAATCATGTGCTGAATTAAAACTAAGTATCAAACAACTGTGTCGTAGCAGACAGCAGCTACACCCAACTATAGCACTTTAACAGGTGAAGCCAACAGCACTGTTGGTGAGAAACAAAGAAAATGAGTGCTACTCCCTACGACATCGTCGACAACACTGACACAAAAACGTCGGTGGTGTGGAGGTATTTTGTTTTTTTGAGGTCGAACATGAAGTAGAGTAACGTGTACTGCAAATTATGTCGAGTACATGTTCTCACAAAGTCGGGAATACCTCAAATCTTTTTCACCACCTGAAGCCACGCTGCAGAGCAAAAGGTTATAAACCCAGAGCGGAGGAAGGAGCCCATGGCGCCTGTGCAGCCGAAACAGCCATTCAGTCCCCTTCTTTTAGCGTAACGTCTTACAACAAAACGTCGAAGAGACACAAAGACCTCACAGATGCAGTAACTTATTGTACTGCAAAAGATATGCTACTAATAAACACTGTTAAATTTCATTTTTTTTATATCATGATATATATCAATATCGACTGATATGGTTATTGTCGTAAATTTCAGTTTAGGTACATTTTTGGTTTATCGCCCAGCCCTGATTCCTTCATTGCCGTTTGGTTCATGAGTTGCTGAGTTTTCTCTTTATAAGCGCCAAGATTCAGTTTTTTTTTTTTTCTCCCACAGACTCACAGTTAAGAATCACCAAACAAGAACAACAAGAAAAAGATCTCTGTTCGTTTGATTGTTATTAGCTGCGGAAAGAAGAGACGCCGTACGAATCAAACCGAGCTGCAGCTGTCAGTCAGGTTCTAACGGTGTCAGCTACAAACAGCCCGAGTGTTTCTGCAGACAGCAGAATAATTGGCTGGAGATGATTCCTGCCTGGCTCAAAGGCACGTTACTGAGACGGTCCTCATCACTCACATGAGAGGAGACTGTGGTGAGATTTCTCTAAACCTCGGGAAACTCTGTGTTTTTGTTCTGAGAGGATCTGAAGCTGTAACTGAATGGTTTTTAAATGAACTCTTCAGGCACTCTCGGAAAAAAAAAGCTTCTTTGATGGTATTTCTGCTTTATTATACAGATATCTGGGTCAACATGCTTCATGATTTCTTCTCTTTGCAGCTGCTCTCTTTGACAATAAGGACTTATATAATTTACAGATGTTCACATGGTTATATTGACCGATCTGAAGTCTTAATAAATGCCTAATGGGCAATCATTACAGGATCGACCCATGCAGAAACCCCTGCGGTCAAATAACCATGCCAATAAATAAGTACAGCGAGCATATATTCCCTCAGAGTTTGTGGTACTGATAGTCAGTCATGAGTCTTTATTATTCTCCTTTTCTAAGTTGAGATTTAATGAGATTTTTTAGACGTTTAAAACATGCCCTAGCTGTATTTTGAGCAACTTTAGATGATCTGCAGCCTCTCCGTTTCCAACCTCATTATCTATGCAGTGATCTGCGTGGGCGGGGCTTCTTTAATGTTGTTGAAGTTAGGAGGGTGTACTGTTGTTTCGTTCATGAACAATACTCAAAAGAACGGAACACCTGAGTGAACGATGTGAATGGAATCACTCCAAGACCTGATTCGTTCCTTTCTCAGTTCAGTTGAGTTCAGCTGCGAGCGTGGCGTGCTGGTCGGGAGTGGAACTACCGCCTTTGACCCTTTTCAGAATAAACTTCATGTATCAGTCATACTGTGAATGAAACAAACGACTTGAGGCAGGTAGAGGAAGGAAGGATGTAGCTTTGTTAACGAACTGCCAAGCACCGGTTTGTTCACTGTGTATTTATTTTTATTCTCTCCACTTTTCCACGGTATAAAGAACGATGACCCGCGCTCATTTGGCGGGTGTGCCGCTTGCTGCCGAGTTGTTCCACTCGTGTCACGATGTGAACAAAGGTAAATTTTCAGGGCAGTGGAGGGTTTCCCCTTTACGACTTTGCGAATGAACGACAAGTGTCACCCAGTGAGGGGCTCGTTCATTGAACACTCACGAACGAATCTTTTGAATGAATCATTTTGATAAATGGATTCTAAAGATTCAGTACAGTCAAAAGAGCTGTTCTTCCCATCACGAGGAGGGTGGACACCTAAGCGGACGGATGCAGAGGCGGAAAAACACCCTTATTTACGGAGGCTATAGTTTTTGTTGCAGTGGTTGCTGGTTCAATTTCAGACCTCAACCCTTTGCTGCATGTCTTTTTTCATCACTCTCTTCTCTCTATGTTTAATAAAATCAACTTTTAGGAAAAACTGGCGAGTGCTCCAGAAGAACAAACACCACAAGAGAGCCAAGTTCACCCTCTTTACCTTCATTCAGCTCTCTTTTACAATCTACTGTTAGACTGTTTCTTTACATCCAGTAGTTACATACTGAATATTTTGCTTTCTAATTCCAAGTTTTTATATTTCACTTTTGTTTGAGGTGCTTAAATAATCTAGCTTTTAAATAAAGAGAGAAAACCGACCGCTAAAGAAGTTATTTTTTATATCCTTGTGCTGTTGGCGCCTTGTTTCAGATCTTTACTCTGAACTGAGTCACTTTGAAGAGTGTTTCGGAGCTAAAGCTTCACCAAAGGATCCGAACACTCGATCCATCTCTGACACACGCACGCAAATGAAATGTCGAACAAAGAGCGGAAGATAAATCGACAAAACTGTTCTGAAGTTAGAGCCTCTTAATGGCAAGAAAACGCACACGCACACATTAAACACACACACACACACAGATTATCTCCTCCGTCTCTAAAGCAGCAGTTATCTGTTCTCTCTTGTCAAACCATTAGCGTCCAATCAGCCTTTAAATCACTTTCTGATTGCCTTTTTATGACAGTTGTCATGGCAACGGCGCAGCACTTTGAAGCCATTTGATAGTTTTTAGGCTCATTTGGAGCTCCCTGACTGTCAGTGTGTGTGTGTGTGTTTGTGTAAGTGTGTGTTTGTGTCATAGAGGGTGGAAGAAGTGCGCTGATGATTTTCAGATTTACTGCGCCACAAATAAATACAAAGAAGGGAGCCAGGACTTAGTCAAGAACACACACTCACACTCACACTCACACACACTCTCTCACACACACACTCGCACACACACACACACAGGGGCTGGTGTTCACGCTGGGTTGGTGGTTGTACAGAGCTGGCAGGGAGTCAGGCAGCTGCAGGGAGGAGTGTTTTAATCCTCAGATCTGCAGGAAGACTCGCAGGGAACTGGAGGCCTGCGGGGCGCAGAAAGAAACCGGCAACCAAAAGGTCAGCGGTTCAATCCCCATCACCACCACCAGCTAAAAACGCCAAGGAGGCGGAGCCTGCAGCCGCCCCCCGGACACAAACTATAACCCAGTTAGAAGAAAAAAGGGACAGGGAAAATTCTGCTCCCTGAAACTGACAGAACGGAGGAAAACTTACAAAGTTTACAGGGAAAAAAAAAAGAAAACGCAAAAAAAGAAAAAAAAACACCCCGAGTAAACTGACAACCTCGGAGAGACGAAAGGGAGAGGCAGCTCCTCAGGTGATTCACCTCATCACAAGGTTTAATCTCATCCTGGACAGCATGTGTAGACTTCAAACCAAGATAGGATGGAAATACGTCACTACAGGGAAGCAGATACAGGATAGAGACCTGTAATTTTTTTAAAAGTCTCATAAAAATGACTGAAAATAATCATCAGATAACTTTGGAAGACATTTGCGCTTATATAGCCTTAATGAACAGGTGAATACATGAGCCTGTTACTATGACAACCATATAATTGATCAGCTGTCGTCGTTTTCTTTCGCTTCTTTCAACCATGACACCGGTGTTTTTACCCTCACTACTTTAAACCACGACAGACTGACCCACGTTTTTATCTGACCAGAGTCGGCCCAAGGCCTGAGCGAACTAAGTGCCTGCTTAGGGCCCCTCGGCCAATAGGGGGCCCCAAGAGCAATCAAAAAAATTTAATAAATAAATATATTTTTTATTTTTTGTATGTCTGAGTGATGCTTTCTGTATGATTAAATATTTTTTATTGTAAAAATAAAATTAAAGTGAAAATATTTTAGTGCTGCTGCTGATGTAGATTCCTACTGCTTATATGTCAAAGCTCCGCTACCGTTCTGTGCATCCTGCTGTGTAATGTGCAGGTAGTTGTGGGGCAAAACAATGTCGCAAAAATGGACATATCCTTCAGGAGCAGAGAAAAGAAAGAAGAAGAGGGGAAAAAACGCCAAGATAAAGGTTTGTGACGGTGTGTGATTGATCAACAATCAATGTTATTGGCAGAAATAGAGGGACCCAAAATCAAATTCTGCTTAGGGCCTCACTGAGGCTTGGGCCGGCTCTGTCAACCACACCTGCGCAGGTGGTCGTCAGCTGCCAGAATCAGGTGTGTGTATGCAGCAGGATACCCGCTCATACTCATGTCCACGTAAAGACACTCGCTGTCTTTGTCCTGCATCTGTAAAATCACTCATGATCTCATCTCCTCAGCGAGCTCATGAGGTGCTCCAGAAAACAACATGTCAACACCGGTCCTCTGAAGTATGAAGGTCTGAGGACTAACGAACACCAACAACACGGCACTGTCAGCACTTTACACAGGACTCAGTGAGTGTGTGTGTGTGTGTGTGTGTGTGTGTGTGTGTGTGTGTGTGTGTGTGTGTGTGTGTGTGTGTGTGTGTGTGTGTGAGCAGACAGCTGAGGCTCTTCAGCTCAGACTGAAAACAAAGACGTTCGATCTTCTCGTTGTTTCTCAGCTGCAGGAGGATCCACCAACATCAACACTGATCACTTTTCGTCCTTAACATCTTTAACATCTTTTAATCACATGATCAGCTGTTTTTACATGTTTTTTTCTAATTATCCACAACAACACAGAGAGCAGTTTCCCTCCTTTAAACATCTTCAACATGGACTCATTTCTCCTCCGTCTGAAAACTCTTTTTGTCCCCCGAACAGACCGATAGTTTCGGAGTCTGCCCGTCCTTTCAGCTCCGCTCAGCTGCTGCTGCTGAAAGGAGATCCGGAAACACAGCGACTCATTCAAGCTCCCGACAAAAGAACGTGCAGACTTGACACCGAAATAGAAACAGTATCATGTTGTGTATCAGGCTGACTGAGAAACAGCAGCAGCTGGCTTTGTTTTAATCTGACGCAGAGTCGGAGTCGGAGTGGGCGTGCAGCAGGCCGGATATTCATCTGTGATGGATGAAGTTCAGTTCAGATTTAAACACAGACACTCGAGGTTAGTTCACTCTGTCACTTTACTGACAGTCTGTCATTTCCTTTAGCAATAAAAACACAGATAAGACCAGAACACTCTGATATCTACCCTACATTTAAAGAGTTAATCAGACAAGCTGCAGAGAAAATTAGAACACGGAACAAAATTCTATATTTCTAAAACTTAATTTAAAACTATTAGAAATTTAAAGGAGCTTTTAATAATCAATAAAGAAAAGTCTGATCAGTACATCCATCCATCCATCTACCTGTCCATCCCTTCATTCCTTTACCCATCCAGACATCACTCATCCATTCATCCAGCAGTTATCCGTTCACCAACCAATCATCAATCCATTCATTAATTTATCCAGCAGTCATCCTTTCATCCACCCATCGAACCATCCATCCATCATCCATCCATGTATTCGTCCATCATCCATTCATCCATCCATAATCCATTCATCCAGCAACCATCCACCCATTCATCCAGCAATCATCCATCCATCCATTTTTCCAGTAGTCATCCATCCATCATTTACCCATCAGTCACCCATTCATCCAGCAGTCATCTATCTATTCATCCAGCACTCATTCATTCATCCAGCAGTCATCCATCCATCCATCCATTCATACATCCATCATCCATCCATGCATTCATCCGTCATCCATTCATCCATCCATTCATCTGTCATCCATTCATCCATCCATTCATCCAGCAATCATCCATTTCCCCATTTATTCAGCAATCATCCATCCATCCATCATTCATCCATCAGTCACCCATTCATCCAGCAGTCATCCCTCCATTCATCTGTCATCCATACTTCCATCCATCGATTGATCCAGTCATCCATCTATTCATACAACAATCACTCTTTCATCCTTTTATCCATCAATCCATTCACTCATCCATCCGACCATTTATCATGTTTTTGTCCATCAAGCCATTCTCTATTCATCCATCCATTTATCTCCTGAATCATCTATCCATCATCTTTTCACCCATCCTGCCAGTTATTCACTTATTCACTGATATGTTTATTCATACCTTTATTCACCCGTCCATCAGTATTCCTAACCCTCCCTCTCATGTTCATCTCTGTGTCATTTGGATTTTCCTTTTAACCAGATCAGCAGGTCTTTGGATTGTGAGAAGAAACCAAAGTACCCAAATCCTGGACCCCTCCAACAGACAGAGTCCACGCAGAAGGGATCCACCCAGGACTCTGGGGATCAGATCTCTGCACTACACTCAGAAACAAACAGGATTATCTGATCCAGCCTTCGCTGTAAAGTCAGCCTCTCGGTCCTTCCTGTGGTTTTGAAGACATGCGATCATGATTTGGTAGAAAAACATCAAACAAAAACAACAGAAGAGAGTATTTCTGCTTCACGGTTCAACAGCACGCTAACGCTGAAGGCTAAATGAGTTTAGAAACGCAGCAAGCGCTCATCTCTGAGCTACATCTGACTTGCTACAAGGAAATCTATCACAGCACAGCAGCACCTGGAAATTGGGCTCCTGGCAGGGGGGGGCAGCGCTCCCCTCCAGTACTCAGTACGCAGATGAGGGGGGGCGATCATTAGGACATCAAATTGGATTGCAGAAGAAAAGCTTGGAGGGATTCACCGCTGTGGCTTTGACTCCACTTTGTACAAAAAGCTGCTGCTCCACAGATTGAATTACAGCTGAAAATGGGGGAGGATTAAAGTCATGCAAATCTCGAAGTGCCGCTGTAATGAAGGGAGAGCCGTCAGACAAAGATTTCCCTCTGACAAACACACAAATCTACAAAAGAGACGCAGACAGCTCCAGAAGATTGTGTGTAAACCCGACAAACAGAGAACAAATCCAGGTACAGACAAAACCTCACGGTTTAGGACATGAAGAGCCGCAGGGATGAAGATCTATTTTCATCTGGAGTTATCATTTAAAAACTAAAATCAGTCAGTTTTATTGTCTCGGCCATACAGTCATCTTTTTAATAAGATTTAAACTCCTATTTAAACTCACTGCTGAGATGTGACGCCACAGGCGAACTACCAACCATCCAACCGGACGATGTCAGGACGATCATCCTGTTTATTTAGACTGTCTGCTCCTTCTACTCCTTCTGCAGCTGCTTTCCAACCCACCTCCATCATCCCAACTCCAAGATTTATTACAGTCATAATGTCACTAATGCTTTGTCTTATCTGGACCTAGGGGGTCTTTCCTGCTGCTCCTCCACCTTGCAAATCAAACAGAGGAAAGGTGTGCTCTCCAAACATGCACTCAGAAGAGCATGGAGCTCTCAGATTAGCACCCTACCTTAAAAGAGATATTGGTTGAGCGCGTGGCTCTCTGTATTGCTATTGTGCGGTTGTTACTAAAGTTGGTATAACTAGAGAAGCAAGCGGTCGACAAAATTCATCTCTGGAGGGGGAGTCTAACTTGGTGTTACCGTGTGTTTGACCCTAAATTAATTTTACACCGGAATATCCCTTTAACTCTTATTGGGTCTTTGCTGCTGCTCTTCCTGCCTTGGCTTTTTATCCGTGCACATCAAATTGTGTTTACCCATAATTTAGCAGCCCTAGTGCAGGGTTACACTGACTTGTGTGTAGGAGTGTGTTGCAGATTTGAAGAAGATAGTTTTCAGAGTCATGGTTGTGATCTCAGACCTCCAAGTACTGAAGGTTCAGTCCCCATAAGCCTTAAAAGTTTATGTATAAAATGATCAAGTAACTTTGATGACCCGAGGATGCTCAGCTGCAGGAGCAAAAGCCTCACAATCTATAAAATACCTCCAAATATAAATTTATAATTAGTCTGGAATCATGGTGAGAAGTCAGGAGTTCACGCACCCTCACCTTCGGCCAGATAATACTTAGTTTGAAAAGACCGATCTCTATGTCTCTTTAAATATTCTGAGTGAAGTCTGAAATAACAGACAGAGTGATGAAGAAAGAGAGCGAGGAAAATCATCTGTGAAGCGTTATTAAAAAGATCGCCTGCTGTTCTCACTTCTAAACAACTCTACCTTTCTTCATATCTCATCAGTTTTTGACTCGGCATGGATCACCTGCTGCTCCACCATGAGCGAGGAAGTTTGTTTCAGTACGGGCCAAAAAACCTTCAGTCTGAGCTCTCTGTTTGAAGAGTGCTTGTCAGGCTAAACTTTAGCCCAAACAAATCCTGCAGTTTAATCCTGTTTGTCAGCAAAGAGGTTCTCAAGCTGTTTCTTCTTCTTTGGTGTCGCTCATTTGCATAATGTAGAGTCGGTACAAACACATTACAAAGATTTAAGACTTTCTCTGCTGGTCTTCAGCGCCAACATCAGACTGGGACGGAAGTGCTTCAGCTGATTTTGGAGGTTTCGAGTTTTACCATCTGGAGCACAAGCATATAATCATGATTTATGGATCCTCTCCACTGATATATGATGGAAACCACCAGATCCATGAACATGGCAAATTTGATCATGAGTATATGTTCATGACTGTCAATCAATCATGAGTTGACATGGCGCCGCTGCTAGTCAGCAATCAGCACAAATCCCCACCCATGAATAGCCAATGATGTAAAGTCGTGTAGATATGTGCTTTGGTGTCAACACCTCTGGATCTGATCTGACTGAACTTAGAGTTTTCTAAATGAAATGGGGAAAAAAATATGTATTCAGGATCTCCACTTATCAATAGATAGTTTTGCTTTTATTTCACAAAGAGGCGGTAGTCCGGCTGTCGTAAGTCCCTTTTGATAAGTAGCGATAGATTTTCTGTAAAACTCGTCAATGTTTTCTCCGAAGAACTACAATCCCATCAAACTTAACCCCGTAAAAACTGTTTTAATTATTTGTCTGTACCAACCACAATCTTCTACGTCATCCAACCAACTTCCAGCCAATCATATAGCGGGACATCATCAACAGGCGCAGTGCCATGAGCCAATCTGGCAGCCCGAACACATCTGGTACCTACAGCGGTTCTTCTGGTGCACTCGCCAACATGTAAACAACTAAAACACGCCATCATACGGTACCATTAAAACACTTATTTATTCGGGAGGTAAATTCTAGTTTGTTCTTTGGGTTGGTTAAAAATGAGGTGGATAGACACACACATTTGAATATTTGCCGTTGTGTGTCCTGTTTGGATTCTTTCTTGACTTGTAAATATTTACAACATGAAAACTAAGTGCTTTAAAAACTGATAATGTTTAATCAAAGAGCTAAATAAATCTGATCAGGTGTTTTTAGGTTTCACGCCTTTGTCCTAAACGCAGGTCGGATAAAATGAGGTTTTCTCCAGCGTTGCATATTTATGAGGTTTGTTGTGATCTCCTGTTGTTTTAAAGTGAGGTGAACATGCAGCCGGGCGTATGCCTGATTTAACTCCTCATGGCCTAATGGACAAAGGAGCCCCGAGAGTGCAGCTCCACACGCTCTAAAAGCTTAATCAGCCGTGAGTCCCTGCGTGCTTCGGCCCACGCAACGTCCTCCACATGTTAAAGGAACATTTCTGCTGCGACACAGCTCACCTTGTTCCCATCATGTCACAGAACAACTGTTTTCAGGACAGGAAGCTGAGCTCAAATCTTAGGGAGGGTGTCAGGGAACTGTGGTTTAGTCCACTGGGAAAACATGAATATAGATTCCTGAAAAGACACCCAAGAGGTCAGGGATCAACGAGGATGGAGCCTCAATATTCCTTATTAATGCATCAATGAAAAACTAAAAGAGACACAAAGGAACTACGTGGAAACACAAAAACGTCGAACAAAGAATGTTAAAAGGCCAAAGTAGATCACAAGGAAACTCAGTACAACCAAATTAAGATTCAGAGGAAACTGAAAAAGACAAGACGTCTTAAACAAGGAAAAAAAAGCGACGACACATCAAAAATGTGTGAAAGATTCTATATTAAAGGTGGGGTAGGTAGGATCTGAGGAAGTTCCAGTTTTTAGGAGAACAGGGTACTATACATACAATGTAATTATATACACAATATACAAATACACAATTCCGGTCCTGATTCCCTCCTCTAACCAAAGTAACAAAGGCCTAATTATTCCAGCTCACCCACTCAGGGTTCTAGTTCGCATTAACCATCCATTCACTCAACACTATCCTTCACATAACGAACTCTAATGTACTTGTTACACCATGTCCTAATCACACCCAGCTTGCCGTGCTGGGGTAGAGTACACCTTGTCCCGCTCCGCTTTGGCCTTTTGTATGAATAATAAAAGCAGGAATATGGAGGGACAGCCCTCCCTGTTTTTAAACCTCCTCCTCTCCTGGCCGGCACATCAATAAATCATCCCATAATGTGATGAATAATTTGCAACAAGTCTGCTAATACCGCAGCGCTAAGTTCTCTTAACCTGAACTTTCCACATCTTTATTTTATACGCTGGTACAACTTCTACCAGAGGAGCGGTGTTTGAGGTTTGAGAAACATTAGAGACGAGTTTGACGAAGCAGCAGAAAACAGATCATCACGGCATCAACAGATTCTGAGTTTATGGCGACTTTATCCTTCACTTTTAACAGTTTAAAGGCAGGGAGGAAAACTGATCAGTTAAAGGCATGGTTGACGATTGGAGAGATTGGTCATTTTTATGAACCTCGTTTCTATGGCGATCATGGTCCTATAGTGCGATCTCCACAAAGTGAAGAGAAAAAAGAACGGAAAAACATCCATTCACCCTCGCAGGTGCAGGGCTGTGAAAACATTGACCAATGGGAGCCATCCATTCCGAACAGCTCCTATTGGTCAATCTCCTGCTCCACCTCTCCATCCAATCACCTCGCTGTATTCGACACACCCCTCTCCCGTAGTTCAAACTCGTCCCCTCCCTCTCTCCTGGCCCTCCTTGGAGCTCTGAGCGGCTAAAAGTAGCGTAGCAGCTTAGCTACGGGAGACGTGATGGAGAAGGACGCAAAATAAAACACTTCAGCTCGCCCCATCAGCAAAAATGCAAGCCGACAGAAGAAAGGGCGGAGACGAAGAGGAAATGTGACCAAACGAGGAATCTAATTGGAATAATTTGGGCCTGAAAACAGACGCCGAGACAGCAGAGTTTTTGTTGAACAGGTAATTTTTATCTCCTTTTATCGTAACACATATTACATAAATAACTCTTACTAGTCGCTGCAATGTCAATATGTTAGCTGTCCAGGCAGCTGCAGACGGCGCTCGCTAGCAAAGCTGGCGTTTACTGCCGCTAGTCACTAACAATCCGACATGGTGAATCCTTTTTGAAGCTAGTGTAGGATCTTCTGCCGGCCGGCTTCTTTCTCTGCCAGAGGGGGTGTGTCTTGGGGAGGACGATACAGGTTCTGGGGGGAGTTATCGTGGAGCACAGAGGGGGGAGGTTTGTGTGTGGGGGGGTGGGACGCTTTTTTTAAATCTGCCTCAACGGCTCAGTTTTTTTTCAACTACTTCTTAGATCGTCAACAAGGACTTTAAGTAGCTATTTGAGTACGTATGAGGGTCCAGACTTTCTTTGGTTTAGTTAAGTTAAGCAAACAGCACAGATTAATTTGTGAAAAAGTTGACAAAGTTGAAGAAGTTGCACCAATGTTTCAACCATGAAGATCATCGATTGATATTTCATTAAAAAAAAAACAAGTATCAGTTTTAATGGACTCTGCCTATCAAACATGGACTTTTGGAAACTTTTAACCACATATTTAGACTTTAACACAAACACACAAGTTCATGAAAGCTACTGGAAAAATCCCAAAGAGCTGCTTTACACACATTTTGACAACGATAAATATGAATAAAGATCAATAATGACCATGTCAATCACTGGTTTCTCTTCGACATCCTTACTTGGACACATTTCCTCCCTGAAAGTTTCCTCTGTAGAGATCCAGTTCGAGACAAGTGGCTTCAAACAACAGCATCTGTTTGGATGAGGATTTTCTGGTTCAGGTTGGAAAAGGTGACGAGTCTGAGTCACGCGAAAGTTTGAGGAAACCAAGAGCGCTGTAGCAGGAGTTGTGTTCAGGGACTAAAGGGTTTAGGTAGTTTACAGGACTACAAGAGAGCATGCAAGAGAAAGTGCACAGGTGAGCTGAGTAGACTAATGAAGTGGGAGTGGCCACAGAGAAGGGGTGAGTGGAAAATTACTGGGAGCAGTGGGGTTAAGGAAGCTTAAATACATGATATATAATCAACCTGACAATAGCTATGAGTCCAGATAATTAAGTCAGTGATACATTATTTTAATTCTTGTCAAAAGACTGAAGAGTAAGAATAATTTATCCGCTACAGCCGCCTCCAAAATGAGCAAAATTATCAAACTGCCAACAGTAAAAAAAAGAACATCCAGACATATAAATGTGAAAGACATTTGTTAACAGAGGGAGGGACTGTGCTGCCATCAGTGACAGCTGCACGCTGCATTCAGGGTGTGTGGGAGTTAGGACTATCGGTGGATTTTGACAGCTCAAAGAGAGGCGAGTCGGAGCCATAAAACACAAAGATTGAAGTCAGAGTGTAAATATACAGTCTGCTGTTTCAGCGACACGTCTGATTTTATATTTGACAGGATGAGAAATGTTGGAAATGTTTAACAATCAGAGAAAATACCTGACAGTGTCGCTGTACTTTTACACAACTTCTCAGCTACTCAAGTTTGGACTGAAAGTACTTTTGCTGTGCTTGGCTATCCTCTTCTCATGCAACTTTCTACCTCTGGTGTTACAGACTTGATGACTTCACAAATATTGTTAGCATCAAAAATTATGCATCACCACCTGCTCCAGCTCATGGTCCAGAATTTCCCTGACGATATTTAAGCACAAAAATGCGGCTTTGTGCAGTTTGCTCTTGTTTCTTGTGTGCAGGAATAAACCATCAGCATCTCTACCCTCTGCTGTCTGCTCTCACGATGAAGAAGTTTTGTTCTGTGTTGGACTTTCCCTCTTCATTCAGTGCAACATATCTGCATTAACAGGATTCAGGTCTATCAGGATGAGCGTGCACAGTGCAGCTCTGTGCAGCAGAGAGTTGAGATGCTGACGGTTTATCTCACAAAACATCTAATAATACAAAACTGGAGTTAACGGCACAGAACTGCAGAACTTTTAGAGATTTTTGTTGAATTGTCCTGATATTTAGACGTCATGAAGCTTTATTGTCACTTTTTGTTTGTTTTTTTGCACAAAAATGATCCAAAATAGCTCCTTCGAATTAATGCAAACAGCTCCAGTGCACACTTTATTTGCCGCACAGTTTAAGATGATTTTAACTCTTTGCATGCACTGTCTAAATAAGACAAAAGCGACACAATCCTTTCACAGATCAGGTCCAAAGATTTCATAAAGAGTATGAGGGTTTCTCGAATATACTTGTGTTTATCTCAAAGTAAATAAAGACATTGTTTTAATTTAAAACCACTGAAATCATTGTTTGCTATGAAAATACAAAATAAAGTCATTTTGACAATATTAAAGAGTTAAACTTTAATTTGTGTCACATCTGATCAAAAATACTGAAATACGACAGAAAAGATAAAATCTGCAATGAACTACTCTGCAAAACAGACACTTTCCAAATGTTCAATTATGTTGCGTTGAAGATCTTTCAGCGTTAGAGGGACGTGTTATTTTTTCATCTTGAGCTCACCAGAAACTTATCTTAAAATCAATCAAGTGGTGCATGTCTGGGACGTATTTTCATTTCGTTATTATTTTAGCGTTGGTACCATCTGTCCCTGTTTTTCTTTGTGTTGGAAACCTCATGTGAACAAATATCAAAAGATTTGAATACCTGAGCGTAAATGTTGCATCGTCAGCTTTTATCCAGAATTATCCCGCACACAGAGGTCATACAGGGCCGAAACAATGATGTCAAAGGTCAGCGGTCATGGAGGTCTGACAGTGATTGATGTGGCCCGCAGGTTTGTTCCTGAGACTCAGCAGTGATCAGGAAACTGGAAGAGGAAATGAAAGTGAGACACACAAACACTCATGCAGACAGAATCTCTATAAACAGGTTTTTGAAATATTTTATAAATAATTTAACCGTCAAAAAAATCACCTTTCATCAAAGTTCAGTAGATACATAGACACACTCCAACGAAAATCATGTTTTTCTTGTCTACATGTTTATACATCATTTTTCTGATGCTACTGGGCGTATGAGAAAACTAAGTGCAAAATTACCGTATTTTTCACACTATAAGGCGCACCTGACCATCAAGCGCACCATCAATGAACGCGTCTATTCACGTCTTTTTTCATAAATAAGCCGCATCGGATTACAAAGCGCATTAAGCCAAACAAAACAGTAAGATAAGTCAAACTTTATTTAACTCATTCAATAACTCTACAAGGCTATGGTAGCTGCAGTGCTCCAACAAGCCATCAGGCTGTGCGGCTTTGTAGCTCACCGAACTCTGATTTTCTGACAAGGTTGAACATTAATTAATTGGTACCTGCTGTTATTAGAGAGTTGGAGAGTTTCAATACTGTATTGACTGATGAACTGGATGCCCGCTGTCTTTATTTATCCATTTCTCTTAAAAACAATCATTCGTGGAGCACAAACTCAAACTCCGTCCTCACCGAAAACATCGGCGGCTCAGAGCTGCAGAACAAAGACGTTCTCCGTTTCTGGTTCCTGATCATTAAAGTTTAAAGTAAGCTGACTTTGTGTTTGTGTGCGTTATGTAATGGATGAGCTCTACCTGCAGATCTCAGGTCAGCCTGTGAAGGTGTTAATTACCGTCCTCACTCTGTCATTCTGTTTAATGTCGCCTCATTAACCTGCTTACCGCCTGTTTATCTGAACCTTCTGCTGCACACTTCTCTCTCTCCTTCTTTTGTTTTTTATCTGTTCGCCTCTCATCCTCCCATCTGTCTCCCTCCTTTCTCTCTTTCTCCTTTGTTTGGACGTTCTTAATCACTCTGAGACAGAAAAACAAACCCACAGAGCCGTCTTTAAATCCTTTTCCTCCTCTTTTATAACTTCAATAACTGCCTCTGACTTCTGTTTGTGTCCTTCTGGTGACACTTTTCTCTCCTGCTTGTTGATTTTCGTGACTCATGAAGCGACAATAGCAGCTCCGAGAGGCATTACCGAACCATTAGTCGCCTTTATGCTCTGCAAAACACTCTTCAACCGACGACTGCTCAGTTTGGATTCTGGTAGAAAAGGAGAGAAACACTGAAAGTGGTGTGTGACATTGTTGCCTGTGTTCCTTCGGAGCTTTGCAGACACTCTGCATGTGGAAAAACAACTAAAAATAAATAATTCATGAACACAAATCTTCCACTAGAGAAAACCTCTGCCGTGGTTACACAAGCCTCTGTAATTTTGTTAAAAGCCAGAATCTGGCGGCAGATTCGCAGGCCCTGAAAGCAGAGATGTGTGGGTTAATCGTGGTCGACAGTCGCCCCTCTGATAGATGAAGGCGGTCTCTGCACATTCGGAGGATTTTTTCCCGCAAAAATTAGAGAAATTAGCCGTGACGGTCTTTGGGGAGAATGACTTTAATAACATTAGCCTTTGCTTTTCAAGTCAGGTCTGTTTTATTAAAGCAAATATCACACTTCATATGTTTGAAGAGGCTCTGAAGACGACACCGCCTCTCTCTAAACTCGCCGTCTGGCTTATATAACAGTTGCATCTCTTCTTTTTTGTGTGATTTTGGCTTCAGATGTTGCAAAAGAAACACAGATCCATCAGTCTTGTGATTATGTCCCCCCCTTCCTTCAGGCGTGTTGATATAAAGTCGTCTGTATTAATTTGCTAACGTATCACAGAGTGTAAAGTTTCTGCAAGTATGTTTGTATACAAGCAGAAACCCTATAGCTGTATTGATTGCAACCTAACCCCAAATTTCCACCACGGCACCACAGCGAAACGGTGTCGATTTTCACCGTCTGCCAATTCCTACCAGATGTGCTTCTGAGGCGAACTCTGTGGCAAAATTTCAGACAGTGAGAATCGCGAGAACTCAAAAGAGCCCGCAAATTCAGGTTCGGGACTGCAGTTTTTTACACTTCAACATCAGCTTCATTTCCTAAGACTGAAAGTTGCGCTTGGAGTGGGCAAGATTGCAAATTCCACATGGTAAAAACAGATGATGCTTGAAAGAGCTACACAGCTGCATGGAAACTATACATTGTGGACTTATCTGATGGAAAACACGATACAGGAAGATAATTAAACACTGATTAACAATCAAGTAGTAGTCAAGCGGATTAATGGCATTCTGAAATGATCCGTAAAGATGGCTTCATCCAAGAGGTGGAACATCATTTACATCCCCTTAAGTTGTAACACATTTTTCTGATCCAAAGTGACAACAGATCTAATTCCGAACTACTGCTTAGTCTGTGGGATAAAGTAATTCATCACCATACATCTTAACTTCACCAGAAGCACCCAGCTTTTCCATTCATAGACACACATATGTTCACAGATGGCGATCTCTCTGGAGGCGAGCTCTGAATCTCCCCTGAAGAGTTTTCAGTCCTCAGAGCTGCAGCACCTGAAAGCCGCTCAGCTTCTCTTATTTTAGAAAAAAAAGACTCTTTGAAACAGAGCTTGATTTAGACATCTGAAAATCTGATTGCTTGCGAGCGGGTGTCACTGAGCGAGAGTGTGTTTGTGTGAGATTGATCGTCAAAGGCTCTGCAGGAGAAGAGACGGCTGGAAACGAGGCCGCCGCTTGAAAAGACGGACAGCAGATTTGTTTTGTTGTTTAAAGGTTTTTGTTCCTGATTAAAGAGCTGAGCTTCGGTTAAAATAGATCCAAATGTTTTATTTCGGGAGGTGACAGTCAAGTTTATGAAGGGAAACACGAGTTCGTGTGACCGCGTAATGTAAACTGAGGAGAGGACCAGCTGCGTTTCCTCAATTACGGTTAAAAATTACAGGAGAATTTACACTTTCTGACAACTGCTGAATCTCAGAGGGACATTTAACTTCTGACTGAGCCACAAAAATCTGAAAACTTTATTTACATACTTTGGCAAGATTCAGATTATAACAAACAAATATTTGATAGGAAGAGGCCACATTAGCGGCTCAAGAGATCACAACATATATTTATTTGTTTTTTACACTTTGACAGAGATGCACAGCAGCATTCAAAGGCATTAGGAAGTATCACCCACCAGCTTTACCTCAAGTCTGACTCTCCATCATGCGCACTCTCCAATATTTCACTTTCATTTCTGCTGTTCACAGGGATCATTTTAGGAGATTTAACAAAATATCCACTGACGTAACTCATACAGTGGTTAAAGGTCGTTACACACTGGTGAATTAGCAAAGTGAGTTTGCGAAGCGAATAATTAATTTTTTTTTTAAAACCTCATAAAGTCAATGCAAGCTTCCACAACAGCTATGAACTTCCGCAGAGCGAAAAAAAATTACTAATTTTTTCGCCTCTGAAGTGAATTTGGCGAACATTTGCAGACGAACTGTTGTATAAATCTAAAGCCTAATATCAATCTTACCTCAGACATGTGGCGAGCCGTTGCTCTGGATCAATCAGCTCTCCGTAATTTGTCCTCTCCTGCAAATGTGGAGTCAGCTGATGGAGCAGTTCTTGAAATTGTCCGAGGGACATTCTGAAGTATTGTCGGAATTTCTCGGGATACAATTTGAGCCCCTGGATCGTTGTGTGGAGCCCCCCCCATCTCCAGTCGCAAAGTCAGTATTGGATGTACCCAGACACTTGGATTCTTCTTTTTCTTTTGTTATTTATTTGTCTTACAACCATAACCAGGTCATCATTACTTGAGGATGTAGTCACCATTGTTACTCCTTCTTCTCTCTCAGTCTCTTCTCCCGTGGCGTATTTTTATGCTAATATCAAATTATATTTGCCTCTCACCAGGTGTGTATAGGAAAAGACGTAAGCTGAATATTTTGCATCGCTAATTCACCAGTGTGTAACGACCTTAAGACCTGTTTTCTGGATTTTAAAGACTTAGAAGAAGGAGGGGAGTTACACCTGCTGTGTTAATAGTAACACCCACCAGCCTCAAAGCTGACCTGACGCTTACGGGCGCTCACACCAAGCGCGAGTAAAATCATCTACCCGCTTAATTCACCCAAATCTAGACGCTTGAATGGATAGTATTTACTCGCTTCATTCGCGCGCCAATGACAAAGATTTTTTACAATTTACCAGGTAATCCGATCTCCCCACTCACTTTCCTCCAGGCGAGCTCCTTTTTATTCCGGTTTCGATAATTGAAAGAAAAGGTATCAAACAATTCGGGCACCCACACACTGACACGATCAGTTTGTCCTCCATTTTAGATACCAGTGAACAACCCTCCATTTTCATACGTCACCCTGCAACCTTTGTGCCAATTGGTTACCGCGACACGAATATCCACTCAGGTTCAGACATTTTCAGCTCCTGCCCAATTTGTGCCGCCAGAGTACTAGGAGCGTCTAATCACGTCTTTGCATTGACTTAACATGTAACTCATTGGCGCAAATGATTTTACTCACGCTTGGTGTGTGAAGACAGTTAAAGGGAACAAAAGCAGGCATGTCAATTGTTTTGATTCATCTCAAAAAATGTACTTATGAACCTTTATATACTCCCAAACAAAGATACACTCTCAGAGCTTGGACAGAGACCTTTGTTAATATCACAGAGAAGAGGAAAAGAGCAAGTCACGAGGGACCGAGTTATGAATGTGAAACAGGAAGGTTTGGTGGTCTTAGTGAAATATAAGAGGTCTGCAGTAGATTATAGTCCCTCTAAAGATCTGAATTATTATCTCTTTCATATTGGAGTACTGTTACTGCAGTTTGATACCGAGTGTTAAAATACTGTCATATTGTTTATTTACTAGATAAAGAAAACACAGTACTACCTACAACAGTGTGTGTGTGTGTGTGTGTGTGTGTGTGTGTGTGTGTGTGTGTGTGTGTGTGTGTGTGTGTGTGTGTGTGTGTGTGTGTGTGTGTGTGTGTGTCCTCCAGGTCCATTCATTATGAAAAAGTGAGGACTCAGCACAATAAACAGCTGATGGACAACCCCCCCATCTGTTCCCCGTCTCACACACACACACTTACACTGAGTCATACATCTTCTGCCAAAACACACACACTCTGCCAAGAAATACAATAAATGAGAAAGACACACACTCGTTTTGGCAGCTGCTCATGCTATTACACATGTAGAGTATGTACACACACAGAAACACACACACACTTGTGTTGTGTGTATCCAGAGTCACAGGAGCAGACTGGGGTAATTGTCCCATTTACAAACACTCTGGAGACAAGACCGAGCTCCTGCCAACGCACACACACACACACACACACACACACACTGAGTGATAGTGAGTGTTGGAGTTGATGAAGGCAGCTGTCACCTCACTGTAAATGTTTGACTGATTCGGTTCTTAGTCGTCTCCTGGGTCACAGGAGAGGACGGAGATCAGCTGACCTCATTTGTGCACAAAAGGGGGCAGGGTCAGCGTCACGCGACCACACAGAAACACTCTAAAGTAGACCAACTAAAAAGCAGAAGATAACAAAATTTATCAGTTTATCCTCAGGAAAAAATGAATAAATCAACCAAATTGTGGGTTTCTTTGGTGACAGTCGATCTGTGACGCTCTCAGTTCATGAGACCATGCTCCATGATGAGGTTTTGTCTCTACACTGAACCTCCAGGAGTCAACAGAGCAGCGTGCAGACTCCTCTGTCTTCGGTCTGTCTCCTCTTGCTGTGCAGCTAACTGTCTGCAGAGATCAGCCTGACGTCCAGGAACACAAACAGCAGGAGCGGACGAGCCGGTGAGCGGACCTCCTGCGCTGTTTGTGCAGAAACTGTTAATTAAAGTGGACGTCTGTTGTCTGCTGAATCATCTGCTGCTCTCGCTTCATGATGGTGTGTTAAATACGCAGAGAAAATACAGGCTGAGTTAGTGTTGTTTGAAGTTTCTGCACAGGAGTTAACTGAGAATCCTCCTCTGGAAGTCAGTAAAAATCATGATTATTTGAGGGTAATTCACACAGTTCTTTATCCAGCACTGTTCAGGATTAAACTGGCTCAAACAACAAGCTCGACACTGGCCCTATAAGCTAATACATGCTGTATTCAATGGTTGCAAAAAAGAGACCCAGTGTTAGGAGAATTTTCTTCAGCCCATCCCATCAGCCTTTAGGGTGATGGAGCCATGCAACTCAGATACCCTGGATACGTTGGTGTTAGACTGCTGGAGCCGGGGGCCTCCGACAACCATCCTCAACAAATGCTATGGTATTCCCCTATATGGGCTCCCCATATTTGCCCCATACCTAAGGCTCCTTAAAATATGTTGTCCTTTGTTCTCACCCTACATGGACTCTTCTTCAGGTCAACTAAATGCCAGCAGAATGCTTCAAAATGTGAACAACTGATATACTTGAACAGTCTCAGACCAGTCTTGGTTACACTTGTGGTATGATGAAGCTGTAACCCAGATCTGCAACCAGTAAAGCTTGTCAAACTGACCATTTGTGTGAACCGTCTATTCTTTCAAGTGTGAACCTGGGCTAGGCATCCTTACACCCAGGTTTTCAGAATCAAAACGGTTCCTCAAAGATCCATTTCAGAGGAAGCTGCAGGATGATGGAGCTCAAGAACTTCCAGAAAAGACTGAGTATTAGTGACTCCAACGGGACAAGATGATTCAGAGTAGGACTGGGCGATAAAACAAGAACGATATATATCGAAAATTAATTGCCCTCGATATCGATATAAAACATGGTCAATATCCTTTTTGATAGTCGGCATTCTGACATGTTTTGGTAGACTATACAAATAGCCAATGTAAAGAGGAGTTGCTCCAGGTTCGCTTCGGGCTGAACCAATTGTGCTGAATTAGAACCAAGTAGCAAACAACTGCGTAAAAGTGGGCTGCAGCTACACGCAACCATAGCACTTAAACACGTGAAGCAGACAGCACAGAAAAAAAGAAAATGTGTGCTACCCCTACAGAAATGCAGACCCTGACATCGTTGACAACATTGGCATACAGTACATGTTCTCAAAGTCGGGAATACCTCAGATCTTTTTCACCACCTGAAGCAGCGCCACGCACAATGCAAAAGGTTTCAAACCCTGAGTGGAGTAAGGTGCCCATGGCGCCTGTGCAGCCGAAACAGCCGACCATTCAGTCTGCTTTCGCTGGCGCACAACACAACAAAATGTCGAAGAGACACAAAGACATGCTACCAAAAAGCACTATGAAATTTCATTTTTTATATCGTGATTTACAACGATATCAACTGATATGAAAAAAATATATTGAGATGAACTTTTCCCCATATCACTCAGCGCTAATTCAGAGTGAGATTGGCAGATTTCAAGCTGTAGTTACACTACCCAACCACTAGGAGGGAGAGTGCCTTAAACTTCAGATGCTGCCTCATGCGAAAGAAGAATGAAATGAAGACCATACATTGGCAGCCAGTGTTTGTCCGCTCAGTGCTGTTTGGTTTAATTGCATGTTTACAATTATTAAACCCTCATTAGAAAAGCCCAGCTGTCCGGGCAGTTTTCAGGTTCACATCTTGTTTGTTCGGCGTGGCGGGTTTCTGCCTGCAGTCTGTCAGCGAGCAGCAGGTTCTCTGCAGCCACACCGTCTGACTGTCAGGTGAAACTGCCCTCAGTTCAATGAAGAGGTTTGACAGAGCTCGGAGCTGCTGCAGAGAGAGGCAGAGAGGCAGAGAGGCAGAGAGGCGAACATCCTCATGTCACTGCTGCTTTTTTACCACCTTCAGTTCAGATCAGACACCAACAGGACCTTTCTTTATAACCTTGATTAAACAGGACGGTCTTTGATGGAGAAACCTCCTAACATAAATCTCTGCTCTTCATTCTGTTCTGCAAACTTTACCTAATGCAAGCAATTTTTATCTTAACCATCAGAGTTCATATTACACGTAGTTAGTACCCTTCGCAGAAACCCGTGTAACTGCTTGACATCAGACATTTCTAGTATTGCTGATGTCCTCCTCCTCATCAGACATATAGTCTGTGTCCTTCAACATCCACCTTCAAGCGTTAAAGCACAATCAACTGCTGGACAACATCTAACTCAAATATATCAGGTTCATCTTCTGTTGCCATGGTTTCCATGACTGGAACACAGCGATATGACGATGGTAGATATTTCCATGTTATAGGTTCGACACAGAGGAGTAAACCAGACTTAAAGGTCCCATATTATGCAAAATTCACCTTTGAATGGTTTTCTAACAATAATATGCATCTGCAGCCTGTCTACAAAAACTCTATCCTCTCCCTCTCTTGCTTGTTCCACTAGTGGATTGAAACTATCACACCGTCCGTGATGCCATGGACAGCGATAAGTCTTCCCTTCCAGGTTGGTGACCCCCCTGCCCAAGATGTTTGTTCTGCCCCCCAGAAGTTTCCACTCAGACACTATTTTTCTCCCTCGCAGAATGGCGAAGGAACGCGAGCAAGGTACTGCAGTTGCTCTGTTGTTGGCTGGACGAAGCAGCACAGACGTCTGTTTCCGTAGACTGCAAGAACATCGTCATGAGAGATAACGATACTTACAGTATTGCGCATTCACCAAAAAGAGCTCTAAGTAACGAGAAGACAGCAGAGATGGAACCGTTAGCAGGAGCTAATGTTACCTAGCTACATGTAAGTCACTGTGTACCAACACACGGACAAAGAAAGAAGAAAAATATGGAGACACATAATATTTGTAACTAACCATTCAGAAACGTCCTTCTGGGTTAGACTCTGGATCAACTGGTACGGCTAGCACTAGCATTCACACTCTGTGTAAACATTAGCTCATGGTACCAAAGTCATGGCAAGCCAAGACCCCTCTCTTCCAGAGAGACAGGGAGGGGCGTGGCTTGCGCTGAAGGAGGCGTGGACAGGCGCAGCCCATAGAAACAGCGTGTTCTCGGTAGAGCTCACTAGAGAGAGTTTTCAGGCTGGCTGAACTCCAGGAAACAAATGGGTTTAGACAACAAGCTTCAAATTGACTGTTCTGGGACCTCTGAGACCGATGTTAACCTGCTGAAAAGGGCTATAATATGGGCTGGTTGAAAAAGTTCTCTTACAAGAAGCATCCTCCCATAAAGCCAAGACTCAGTCCTGGTAAAAACAAACAAAAAAATTTCACAAAGCCCATAATTGAAGTGGGGTCATAGGAGTTACATGTCACCATATTAACACTGTAGCCTAGCCTGCATGTGGTCACTTTCTTAAAAGACAGAGCTGACTGATATCTACTGTAGTTAATACACTCAATGAGGTCGTCCATGTTGATAAAATTGTTCAATTAAAGGTGAATAATAAAAAATGCACCTTTTATGATGTGATTAATGCTCGTCTAAATGTTTATGATATTAGCAGGCTGATGCTCTGACTTGACCTTTAATTGTTTGGTTTGATGGTTGTTTGCACTGCAAGACAGCAGGTTAAAACAATGTTTACATACCTCACAAATGCCCTTTAACCCCAGGCTGACGTGTCCTAGTAGTACCAGATGGTTTATTACTGAACAGCTGGGCGATGGTGCAAAAAAGGTCACGGTGCACCGAGAGAAAACAAACATCTGATCTGAGGCTGTTATCGGGTCAATAATTATATTTCTGCTTTTGCTTTTCAAGGTTTGTGATGCAAATACAGATGATCTGTAAAGATAAGGTTTGGTCTGAAAATGTCGACTCTCTTTCTTTTTATGTTTTTTTTTTCATCATGTAGTTTTACAGATTTGGAGCTATAAACATTTCATGAAGACATTGTGGGAACTGCCTCCTTGGAAATATCTGCAGAATAATATCCTAACAATAAACAGTGCATTTCTCTCGTTTTATAGAGGATCATTAATGTTATTGCTTCCACTTTGTGTGAGTCAGGCTGCTCCCTGCTGATTCTGCTGAACTGCAGACAAACTCGGTTTACCCTCACCGAGCGACTAAAAGAAGAAAAAACATGAAAACACCACAAAGAAATAAAGAAACCAGCACTTCAATTTAACATCCAGGAAGAGTTTTCCTTCTTAACTCTGAGTTCAATATTGATGTGATCGTTTTCGCTCATTATCATGATACAGTAGGTCTCATAGCTGTTGTCATGGTTACAGTCAGGGGCGTAGCACCACATTCTGGGCCCTGTAAACTCTAAAAAAGCATAAATAGAGTTTAAAGCTACAATCAGATCAGATAACATTGATGAGTAGTTCTAATAGCTATTTTTTCTATGTTCTCCATGTTCTCACCACCTACACCTCTGTCTCTCTATTGCAAAAATCATAATCATAATTATTTTTTATTGATATTATGAACACAGTTATTTAAAATGATTATTCATTGGCTTTGGTAACATCATGAATTTATTGATATCTTTTAAGCACAGCACTGCACTACAGTGTTCAGGCTTTTTACCAGACAGAAAAAATTAACTGCTTTATTGCTCAGCTAATATATTACTAGTATGAACTTGAGCCTACAGTGATATTGGTAGGTTAGTGACATGTTGATATATGCAGCATAATATTGATAAGTGGATCATTTATTAAGTCTCAGCAGAGGTTAACTTTTAGCTCTGCTGTGTTAGTAGACGATAGGCTGAAGGAAACGGACTGAACAAAAAGACGAACTTACTTTCAACTGAAGGGGAAAAACTCGCAGTTAGTCAGCAACTCTCTCTCTCTCTAATGTTGACAGCTAACGTTAGCTAGCCCATAATTCTCTTTATACTCACAGCAGCAAGCAGCCTGGTTAGCAGCTAGCTAAGCTAAAGACTTCATGTTAGCATACAAACATCAGCAGCAGCTGTCTGGAGTGGACTACGTTAACTTTAACTGGACTTTACAGAACAAACTGGGTTCACCTTTGGGAAAGAAAGCAGTCAACAGCTGCCTCCCCTCTTTCTTTTTCTTTCCTCTCTTTCTTCTTCTGATTCCCCTATTTATCCTTTTTGGGCAGCATGTTGTCTAACCCCCAGGTCATTCAGTCTGGGCTCACTGACGTTACACTAAACCATCAAGAAAAACAGGCGAGATACTTTCAGTGACTCAGTTTGATGATTTTTATTGTTTTCACCCACAATCAGAGACTTGACCACAATCTGAGCTGAGTCAGAAACATAAAAACAGTCGGACTAATGAATGTGATTATTATTATTATCGTGATTGAAAAGCTCATAACATGTTGATCTGACAAAAGTCTCATTATAGATGTCTTTACAAACACACTGATCCAACAGAAGCAGACAGAAATACCCATCGATCACATGAATACAAATATTCAGCAAACAGAGAAAGAAACAGATCATCTAAAGAGTTTTTGGGGACGACAGGAAAGACTTTAGACGGTTGGATTTGGGACAGGAAATAAGGTTGCCCTTTTTCATCTTTCTTTCCTTATTTTGACGTCACTTTTTTCTAAAGTCTCAGACCTTCAAAATCTGCACCAACTAAAGGTGATTTGAACAAATGATCATCTTGATGTTGTTGATATCAAACTTTATGAAGATTTTTCAAAATGAGAAATACAAACAATCAAAGTTATCCACAATCACTGTCCTTAAAGCTGCAACCAAATCAGCATCTTTAGAAAAGAAAGAGAAAGCTGAAATGAAGAAATAAACCGAGAGTTTTTGGTGAGACTGATCCACAAACATTTACAAACATTTCAAGAGTTCAATGATCTCATTACATGTTTTTGGTCTGATTGACTCAAAATTCTCTTTATTTCACTTCAATAAACTCAACAGAGGTTCCATAAGACCAGCCTAACCTCAGTCCAGCATGTAGCGGCTCAGTGAATGTGGTCTGGACTCTGTGGAGGAGAGTCATGGTTTCAGAGACGCTGTAGAAGGACAGAATACCTGCTCTGTGATCCAGGTACACTCCTACTCTGGAGGACTGCGGACCTAAGATAACAGTTAAGACTTTGTTGTGCGCAAAGTGATATCCATCACTGGTAAATTGTAACTTCCAAGATTTGTCATTGTCTCCAAATGTACAATCCCGGGAGTACCCTGTTCTGCTGATAGTCTTGTATGCGACTGCTACACCAACCCCGGTCCCTCTCAGCTCCACCTCCCAGTAACAACGTCCAGTCAGACTCTCTTTACTCAGGACCTGAAAATAACCAGTGAATCTGTACGGATGATCAGGATAAGGCTGTCGTTGTTTTGTAAATCTTGCTCTTCTGTTCTCATTAGATAATAACATCCGTCTGTCTGCTGTGTTTGGATCCAGTGTGATTCTTTGTGAATATCTTAAGAAATCAGCTCGGGTCTTGGGCTCTGGTTCTGGTTCTGGTTCTGACAGTAAAGCATCCACTTCAGTCACTGCCTGTGAGATGTTTGTCCACGTCTCTCTCAGAAGATCCTTGAGTATATCACTGACCTCTGACACAGCTGCTGTCACCTCCTCAAAGTATCTCTGAGGACAGATGTTGATTCTGGATGAGTCTGCAGGTTGACCCGGTCCTGACAGTGAGGGGTAGCTGTGCAGAAACTGGTTGTGGTCCTCTGTGAGTGAGAGCTTCTGCAGATCAGCGTCTTTCCTCTTCAGCTCAGTGATCTCCTTCTCCAGCTTCTCCTGAAGCTCTTTGACTCGACTCACTTCTGCTGAGATCTGACCTGCTGCTCAACGTCAGAGCGGCGTTTCTCCATGAGACGGATCAGCTGGCTGAAGATCTCCTGGCTGTGTTTCACTGCTTTATCAGCAGAGCCGTTGATAGCCTCCACTTCCTGTTGGAGCAGCTTCACATCTTCCTCTCTGTCCTGGATTCTCTGCTGGATGTTTTCTCGACTCTCCTCCAGATCTTTCTGCCTCTCAGTCCTTTCTGCTTCAGCTGAGACTGTGTCGTGGTCTTTGTGTTGGCTCAAACAACAGAGAGAACAGATAGACTTCTGATCAGTGCGGCAGAAGATCTTCATCACCTCACCATGATGAGAGCAGATGTTCTCTTGGAGCTTCTTGGAGGGCTCCACCAGCTTGTGTTTCTTAAATGAAGGTGATTCAAAATGAGGCTGGAGGTGAATCTGGCAGTAAGAAACCAGACATTGCAGACAGGACTTGACAGCTTTCAGTTTTCTCCCACTGCAGAAATCACAGGCCACATCTTCCGGTCCAGCAACAGAGGGATCATCAGGAGCAGCTTGGAGTCCACTCTTCTTCACTTCCTCCACTACACCTGCTAACATGGTGCTTTTCAACAGGACAGGCCTTCGTCTGAATTTCCGTCTGCACTGAGGACAGCTGTAGATCATCCTCACATCCTCAGTATCCCAGTGGGTTTGAATACAGCTCATGCAGAAGCTGTGTCCACAGGAAACAGTCACCGGATCCTTCAGTAGATCCAAACAGATGGAACAAGAGAAAGATTCAAGGTCCAGATGAACTCCTCTCTGCGCCATTTCAACACTCGCTGTCAATGACTGACTGGGTTTAATTTCCCGAACTGAACTCTGATATAAAGTCAGCTCAGTATATGTTGGTTACACCCATCTTAAGACTTTGGACCTGATCAGATCTGGGAAAGGTTATCAAGATTTTGTATATTCCAGTAAGAGGAGCAGCGATGTGAACTTTAGACTCTCAAACTCCAATGAGCAGAGGTGATTAGAGCTGCCGTGGTCCTGAAGATCAACTGAACCAACATTTATTCACCTCATATAAACCTCATGGATCACAGAAACACTTCCACTGTTTTATCCTCATATCCAATAGAGGGGGACAAACAGGTCTGCTTTTCCGGGCCCAGGGAAGAGGGGGGCCCAGAGGGCGACCCACAACTGGGCCCTCATCAAACTGTGGATTTTTTTTTTTAGATTGTTAAAATAGTCCTATTTGTGGAAAAAAAGATATAAAGGCCTAATGTTTGAGCTACTTTAGTTTTATTATTTGTATTCTTTCTAATTGGTGGTCGTTTCCTGCCAATTGAGATATAATTGACTGTTAAGTTTCTACTGTATGTGAAAAAGCCTTGGATATTACAGTTTGGGTTTTTGCAGGTTTACTGGTGTTTAATAAAATAAACTGTGTTCCTTTATGCTGTGCTGTTACCTTTAGACAGAGTTAGCAGTTCAAAGTCCTGTTGGAGTCCACATGGTTCAGGGATTGACCATCAGATTGTTCTGTGTTACTGATAAATACAGAACCAGGACGTATTTCTTATCTACACGAACTGATACACAGTCGGGAGTTAGCATATGGTGTTTTATTTTGAAATTTATGACGTTACATGCCCAATTCAGATATCCTGTATGTAGAGAGGAGGGCGATCAAGCAATAGTCAGGTGTCAGGAGTCAGAAAACAAGTGAGGAAAGAAAGGAGATGTGTCAGGGTATATTATCTACCTATATACTAGGAGGAGGAAGACAAAGGGTTGGGAGGGCATCTAACATTATCTTTTCCCGGGCCTAGACAAGACCGTCAGCTGGCCTGTCCACACATATTTAAATATACACCACATATAAACACACTCTCTCTCCTTCTCTATCCCTCTCTAGACGTCTAGATGATTCTAAACAAGAGGAATGAGGAGAGGAATGTGGTGTAATCTGACTTGGACTGTCGTTATTGTCACCTCTGAAAATAGGAAACGTCTGCGTTGTAAAAGGGACCGCCGTCTGATTAGAACAAAGAAACTGGGTTCACCTTTGGGAGATAAGCAGTCAAAACTGCCTCCCCTCCTTCTGTCCTGTTTCTTTTTCTTTCTTCTTCTGATTCCCCGATTTATGCTTTTTGGGCAGCATGACCCCCAGGTCATTCAGACTAGGCTCAGTGACGTTACACTTGGCACTGGTCGTTGTCGGGCGGACTAAACCATTTTGTGCCTTTTGTGCCTCCAAAAAAAAAAAAAATCTGGATTTTCATGGGCCCCTCTCCCTACCCGGGCCCTGGGTAATCAGGTCCACCCCCCCACTTACCACACCCATGGTATGGTTACAGTGTGCCCCTGTTCTCACCTGGTCACTGTAATGTCCGGAAGTTCCCACTTTCACACCTCAGATCACATTGCAGTGGTGTGAATTTGCTTTTAGCCTTTCTTGTACACACACACACACACACACACACACACACACACACACACACACACACACACACACACACACACACACACACACACACACACACACACACACACACACACACAAAACACAGGGTCAAATCCATTACCAGAGGAGCAGAGAAGGCAGCTGACAGCAGCACCTTTCATACCAGTGGGACACACACATAAACCAGCACACACACACACAAACACACACTCACTCAGCTGACACATCACACCTCTAACATACACTTTATGGCAGTTTCTTAATAACGAGTCGTGTTTCCAGCTCCATGTTGATGGTTCTCACCACACATCTGTCATTTCCCTGAAATTCAGGTCACATTAAATCAATTCTGTGTGGATAATGATCTGTGCGATGTGCATCTGGATACGTGATCATTGATTCAAACCATCAGAGCTCCTGTAAGGAGTTTCTCGATAGATTGAAATTCATATTGAGGCTTTAAAGTACAGTAGAGGTCTGTTATCTGATTTGATATGTGGGGAGCTGAAGGGTTGTAGGTTCGGTGGTGTGAGCTCTGTCCTTTTGGAGTTGTCAACACTGAGGTTAATATGAGCCAACCTTAGCATCCAATAAATTTGCTCTGAATGTTAATCTAGTCTTGACACACTGACCTCAAGCTAGCAGCGATACAGAGCGCATAGTAAAACTAAATGCTCAGTCTAAATGAGACATCAGGAATAAAGATTTCTGAGGTTTTTACTGTAGGTGATCCTGCCACCCAGAGGATGAACAACACAGACTTTCAAAGAGCTGCATTCAGGTTGTTTTGTCCTCATCTCATCCTGGGACCACCTCAGTTGACTCCAGCCATGACCTCGTTCTCAAGGTCCTTACCAAAAGCTCATGAAAGCAACAGAACTACATCATCAGAGCAGAGGTAGAGCTTTTAGGCCTTTGAACCACAGACCCTCCCGCCAGCTGCACCTTGAGATCCTGTCCATGGAATCCGGTGACAGAGGTAACCCTGGCAAAGACGGACATGCCTTGTTTGACTCTATGCTGAGTATGTGGACTAAGCTCTGACTTTGGCTTACAGAGACAGGTTAATCTGTGCTGAATTTATCTGGCATGCTCCCGCGTCCAGAAAAAATAGAACTCTTGCGATCATCTGTGGAGTCCGGCGATCCGCAGCGGAACGGACAGAAACCGGTGGAAACTGACACATTAACTTGAATGGTTACGATCAGCGCAAACAGCCTTTTCGTAGCCGTTCCGGATGCTGTGGAAATTGGGGGTAAGCCTTCTTTCAGTCTGACTGGGCAAACTCCCTCCAGGAGTCTTGCAAGGGTAAAGAGTTGATCCAGTGTACCAAGGCCAGGACGAAAACCATAGTGCTCCTCCTGTATCTGGGGTTCGACCATCTATCAGAGCCTCCTTTCCAAAATTCTAGGTTCAGGTTTTAATGGGAGCTCACTCTCTGGTCCCTCTGACCTCGGTGCAACATCGTAGACTCGTATCACCTCTCACAGTCCAGAGCCTTCAGCATCTCAGGGGGAATCTCATCCACACCTGACATCTTGCCACTGATCCTATAAATCAGAACCTTTGTCATCAGAGCTTGACTCCAAGTTGAGCCACAAGACCTGAAAATCTGGACTCAAGCCCAAATCTAGAACTTCGAGTACTACAACGACACTGGTTCGCGGGATAAAAATAAATGTATTTCTACAGCTATCGAGCTGCACAGCCGGATGGCTCATGGAAATTAGATACACACATCTATCTGGAGATTTTCATGCATCACAAACATCCTCAGTGTAAGAAGATACTGACCCAGGATCTTAATTTACCACAACACGGATTTACAGCAGGAGTGTTACTTGTACATCTGTGCTCAGTGTGTGTGTATATATGTGTGTAAAATTACTAATCCATGACTGCATGTGTATTGGTATGATTACAGTGTGTATGTGTGTGATGTACCATGTAAGCATGTATCTCTGTTAATGCTCCACTGATCTGCAGCATGTTCAGAAATACACGTAGGCCTAAGTATGATCTCTCTCTCACACTCACACTCACACACAAACACACACACACACACACACACACACACACACACTCTGAGTGCTTCTGACACATTTTTATCTCCATGACTCTGTGCTGTAAACGTGTTCAGCTCACTGCATCAATGTAACTACCCCAGCTCCTTCACTTTGACCTTTTTCACACTCTTATATTGCCAATACAGCGGGGTTAAAGCTCAGGGAGGCGCCACAAGTGACTTTGCCCGCAGGAGGACGGCGAATCAAAGGCACTGAGATGAAACGCTGGCCGCCGTCCACCCAGCCGGTCACTGATGATCCTGCACATCTTTGGTCGTCTCAGCTGCTGCTGTTATCCAGTTGTTAACAATGTTAGCCTGCTAGCTTTAGCTTACTGTCATTATTAGCGCGTCTGTGCTCTCCTGCTGCGATGCTCCTTAGCTCAGTATCCTCTTAATATGACATGTTACAAGAGCTTTATTTTATTTTTAGCTCTGTATGTTTTCCTGGGTCACTGTGTTGAGTTTCCACAGAGCTCTCTGCCTCCTGCCGTCACCCTCCCAAAATCCACCCCCTCTCTCTGTCAAACAGGACACTTTTGTTGATTTTTTGACGCTTAAATCTGCATTTTTTCAAATCGTGTGAAACTTTAACCTTCTCTCTTTTTTCCTGCAAACATATCGACTCAGTCTGGCCTCCCTGGACTCAAGTCTCTCTGAATTCTTTATGACACCTCGGGCCCTGGTGCACAAAATGATCGTGCAGCTTTTGAACTTGCTAAATCTTTGTGAATAAGCTAAAAAGACATTGTCTAATTCAACAAAGCATGTTCAAAGGGTTAAATGCTCCCAAACTGCGCTGCAGAGCACAAGTGTCTCAGCTCATCATCGTTGTGCGCATGTGTTTAAATGAGCTGTTATGCATTAATTTGGAGCAAAATATGTCCTTTTCCGTGCAAACAGGCCTCTTGCAAAATTTTACACCAACCGTGCAGAAGGTAAATTATTACCATCTGCAAAGAGTTGGTGAGAGGGTTTGCAGTCTGCAGAGTTTCAGCGATTAAAGGGATATTCCAGCGTAAAATTAATCTAGGGTCAAACACATCATTACACAGAGTTAGACACTCCCTCGAGAGATAATGTTGTCGATCGCTTGCTTCTGTAGTTATACCAACTTTAGTAAGACCACTCTGTATTGCCATCCTGCGGTTGTTACTAAAGTTGTTATAACTAGAGAAGCAAGCGGTCAGCAACATTCATCTCATGAGGGCGTGTCTAACTCGGTGTAACGGTGTGTTTGACCCTAAAATAATTTTTGCCAGAATATCCCTTTAAGACTACACTCCTAACCTCCAACATGACACCTCTGGATGGATGTTAAGTCTCTAAACCCCACAAGCAGACATCACAGAAGCATTTCATTCCTCTAACCACACAATTTGTCATTAATAATGCTTAAAGTGAATAATCATCCCTTCACCTCTGATTATGTGGCCACTGAAGTAACACTCTGTGAAGTGAAAGATTTCATTGCATGTCTTGGATGCTTCAAATGTACAAAAATAAGTCCTGAAGATATTCTGTCATAACTGCTTTTTCAGACTGCAGACAGTTAAAAACACTCTGCTTCAATCTGTGACCATCAGCTAAAAGGCTTTTTCAGCATCACAGCACTAATTCTACTCAAGGCGTACAAAACTGAGTCCCATCCTCATGAAATACTTATTTTTTAGTCTCAAATACAGAAATGAAATCTGCCTCAAATGAGGGGGAAATAATGAGCATTTGTGTCTGTTTTATTGATTAATTTGGTAACAGTCACCTTAGCTGCCTTATCCTTATTGTCTTATCCTTCACAGGATTATCCTTCTCTGCCTCTCTATTGCCTCATTTCACTTTAAGATAGAGCGAACCAGGGGATCAGGAGGGGGCCACTCTCTGTGTCAGCTGCCCAGCCTGAGGGCCTCACAGCTGGGGGACACTTCTGCAGAGCTCCTGGCCAATCCTGGAGCTCCTGAATTGACCCGGTCTACGTGCATTCATGAGCAGGAAAATATGTCAGCACGGGCTCTTCTGTCTTCATGAAAGAAAAGCTCTAAAATACTCTGCATAATAGTTGTTTATATTGTCCAGTGGTGGTTTGTGATTAAAAACCTGCAGGAAAATGACACTTCCATCAGCCTCAGCTCTGCTTTCTGCTGCTTGCACGGCTGTGGACTTTTGGAGCACAAATGCGTTCAGTGCAAGAACCAATCCGCTTCAAGCTACGCAGAATCGACATCATGTGCTTTTACATTCAGCAGTTTTTCAGAGGCAAACTTAGCAGCACGAGAAAAAGACACGACCACAGCTGCCCTGTTTAACAAATCTAAAAACACTCGCATCACTCAACGGTCTCATGAACTAATAATCTGTACAGGCCCTGAAAACCAAAATCGATCGACCCCTACAGAAACCTACCGCTGATATTTAGGATTTCAACATCACTAAAGACAGATTAAAAAACTAAAATCACTTCAGTTTCACTTAGTTTGATCCTGCCTGATACTGTCTGTACTTTATGCAACTCTGTGAGGTAGTGCTGCAGCCAAGTCACCGAATCCCCAGTCCAAGTTGAGTCTAACGTCTCCAAAGTCCAAGTCAGATCATCAGAGTTGAGTCGACTGATGCGTTCAACCCTTTATCTTAGCTGTTGTCCCTTTACCCCCAGATTCCAACGCATGCGGAACGGCACCGCTGTTCGTCGTCTGCCAATGTTTTATTTTGTATCTGTGCCCGACTTCCATTCCAGCACGGGTTAATCTGTGCTGAATTTATGCGGCATGCTGCGGCATCCAGGAAAACAGAACCCTGGCAATCCGCTACAAAGCCCGCTGAACCGCAGGGGGGGAAAGAAAAAAGCCAGTGGAATTTGACACATTAACTTGAATGGAAACGATCAGCGGCGATCGTCGCAAATGGCCTTTTTGCTGCCATTCAGCACGCAATGGAATTTAGGGGTTAGAGTTCCTTTCTACAAGTCCATTTTCTTCTTATTAACTTGCCCTCTGGAAACCTCCTCCACTGTTGCCATGCTACAAAATTGAGTTATGAGCATGTCTACACTGAAGATCACAAAATGTGAAGTGTGGCCATACGTTCTGGACCCTAAATCTGAATTGGGAAGTTTGGAAAGGAAACAAGAAACCTGAGTTTAATTCCCCTTTTCAAAACCACCCCCCTCACTGCAGTTTCCACTCCATTCACACGTTCACAGGCTGAAAACTTAGAGGACTCCTGCAGCAGAGGATGCACACTCATGAAACAATGACCTGATCTATACTGTAGCTCTATTTTCCTCTCCTTTATTTTGCTTTCGTCCATGTTTTTCCATCTGTTTGCTGCCCCTCTTCATCCCTAACCTCCTGTCTTCCCCTGTCACTCCTCACACTGTCTCCCACTCACACGCTGAGCGTGCTCTGCAGGGAGTGTTAGTCATTAGACGGTCCCATTAATATCTAAGAGAAATGGCTAATGAGGGTTAATAAGACACCCAGCAGGACTGACAGGAGTGTGTGTTCACGTGTGTGTGTGTGTGTGTGTGTGTGTGTGTGTGTGTGTGTGTGTGTGTGTGTGTGTGTGTGTGTGTGTGCTTATCTCCTCTGGGTCTCATCACTTTAAATTAATAAAGAAAGAAAGGGATGAAGAAAACGAGGAGGAGGAGGAGAAGTGAAAATGTTAAGCACATGAAATTAAACTTAAACACAGCGATTACACGGCAGATAACTCGGGCTAACTGATCCTGATCTTCACATGTGTGTGTTTGGTGTGCATAAACTCAGTGTCACTGTTCAAAGTCGGATGCAACCCGCTGGTTACCACGACAACACTGGAGGCAATTAAGAAGCTTGTTAGAGATGGTTTTGTGTCTCCTCTGTACGAATCAACAGGAAAGAGTTATAGAGTTATGAGAACAGATCAACATAGAACATTTGATTAAACAACAACTTAAAATGATACATTTATTCGTAACGCACTTTATATTAAAAAATCTCAAAGTGCCGAAAGTATTAAGTGTTCAGAAATGACTCCTTTTGTTGGTCTGATACAACTCAGACCAACTCTTGTGGCTTAATTCAGCACAGTCAAGTTAAGAAATCTTAGTTTGATTCAATTTAAAAGCACCTTTTTTATGTGTTTCTTGGGAGTCTCAGTTTCACTGTAAATACCAAGTCGCACAAAGAACTAAGGGAAGCTAACGCTGATATTATGAACTCAAAATGTATGATCATTTACGTCTCCATTCATTTCAGGTCAAAATTACTGATTCATGATTGGTCAATACAGCCGTGACTGAAGTTGGACATTAGAAAACTCCAAACCCCAAAGACCAGATCCTGGATTATTATTATGAAGAACCTGCTGCTCCTCAACTCCGAGTTTTGTTGCTAAAATCATCAATATTTGCTTAAAAGGCTGAATCTGAGATCAAATGTTTGTTAAAGTCTCTGTTTTTAAGATTTAATCCATATGCCACGTCGCCGCTCGCTGTCATCCCCGCTGTGCCTTTAAAGCTGTGAAAGGAACAAAGAGGCTGCAGACCTTCTGCTCAGCTGAGCCTCCAAATCTGATCATCACACACACACACACACACACACACACACACACACACACACACACACACACACACACACACACACACACACACACACACACACACACACACAGAGCCTGATACTCACATGTTTTCTCTGTTTCTCTGCCCATTTACTGTCTCCATCTCTCTTTTCTCCTCCACCCCCTCACTTCTCAGCCTTTCTTCTCTCTTTCTTTAATCCTCTCTCCCTTTCTGACATTTTTCGTCTTTGTTTTATTTCTCTTCACTGCCCTCCTAAAAAAAAAAGCTGGTTAATCTTGAACAAAAGTTAGTTTTACTAAAAGATCATGGATTGGCTTCAGGTACAGGTCACTCACTCTCTTCGTTTTCATGCCGTTTATTCTCTCTCCAGCTCTGCAAAGCCGTGACCATCTGGGGGATCCGCCTTGAGTTGTTTTAAGTATTTACTTTGAAAAGGAGATGATAAACACACCTCCATGATTGAAGCTGGGGGGTCTGACCAACAATTTATACAGTCATGAATATAACAGCAGATAGGAGAGAGCGGGGTAAGATGAGACATTTTTCATATTTCAGATCACTGCATCAAGTCAATCCTAGCTTTGTCTCTAACTAGTGTATCTGCATATATTTCAAGAGGTTGTTCATCCCTGCAAACCAACAGAATGAGTGTAAACAGAACTGTAATCTTGATAATATAGCATGCCAAAAAAAGGGTCTCCTATGGTCAACTTACCTCATGTCCCCAGCCCTCTCTCACCTTCTCTCTCCCTAAATAATAGTCACTTCTTCACATTCCTGTGTATTTTGATACATTATACACTATTCAACTAGTACAATTATTTTTTTAATTATTATTGCATATAACTGCTAAAAAGCTGTTTCCGCAAGGTGGATGCAATTCTCGGCGGACACGCGTTTCTCAGCACAACACAGGTAACAACAACAACAACTGCAAAATGAGCGACGAACAAGAGAAAACCACAGAGAATGAAGACTTGTTGGCAAAAAGAAAAGCAATGTCACTTATCTGGAATTATTTCAGTTACAAGAAGGATGATGTCGACCAAAACACTGTTCTGTGTTCATCTGTTGCCACGAGGAGAGATAACAGGTCCCAGCACAATAGAAACAAACTAAAAATATCTCTAAGACAGACAGAAGCCATTCTACTAACATTCACTAAAAGAGGTAAGATCAGTGCAGGTTAACTGTCCTCAAGATTTCAGCAGAAAGTGCTATTCAGGTCATCTGGTGAAAATTCCTCTATTTTTTAATATTGCAATATATATCACAGGGTTGAAAAAGATTGCAATGTTAGTTATTTCCAATATTACGCAGCCCTGATCTGAACTGAAACTCTGATCCTCTCAGAACTACTATGATGACTTTATTAGTTCTCTGAGCTAAAATGGTGGACTTTTAGGTTCTTGACCTCATGTTGTAGCTCATAGATAGCACAATTGATGTAGAAAACAAATTTAAAATGATCTTTTTTGGTCTGAACACAATTCTGATAAAACTTATGACAGACTAAATTCACTTTCAAGAGTTTTTTTGTTTGTTTGTATGTTTTTTGTTATGTTTTTTTAAATATAAATGTCTAACCTCTTCACCCTTGTGCTTCTAACCTTCACAGACTCCATGAATTGATGTCCATCTCCTAAATATTTGGTCACATGATCAATTTCTTTGACCCTGTCCAAGCAACCCTGATCTCCCCTACTGTAGAGAAGATGGCTGACTCTGTACAGGAACAGATCTGTGATGAAAAGTTCAACATCTCATGAAATTTGACTTTCTGAGCTTTTATACATTAGTCTGTAACTCTGTAGTTCATAGAAAACTGAGACGGAGCGGCGCCGTCACTGAACGCAGCTAGCATGCTAGACGATTCCACGCGACACGCGACGCGCCGACCTTCATTTCCGGTCCACCGCTGCGGTCACAAGTTTCAAACTAAGTCACATCAACACAAGTCCTAAAGTAGTCCTGTAACATTCGCAGTTCTCCACACACGTTCATACATAAAACACACACAGACACTCACCACAACTGACGCCGAAGCTTTCTTCCCCGCTGTCCTCGGTCAGCCAAACAGGGGCGCGTCTACTTCCGGGTTTTTAAAGGGCACTGAGCGGGAAAAGGGGCACCTGATTTATTTATTTTTTTTGACCTAATTATGTGTTATTCTTCAGTGTAGGAGACTAAATTAAAACATATAAAATGGGGAAAATGTAACTGATGTATTTTGCAATCTGTGAGTGATTTTTAATTCAATGTTGGTTGTTTCTGTGGAAAGGAAATCCTGATTTTGTTCTGATTTATGGGAGGGGCTTATTGTTTAAAAGTCAGCCATTTTGTCCAGGTGAATGTGAAACAAAACACTGAAAATGATAGGGAAACACCAGACTGGGTTATGTGAGGGATGTCAGGTGGAGGAGTCAGTGGAGCATGTACTAATGGGTTGTAGGAGATATGAGATGGAAAGGGGAGAGATGAGAAGTAAGTTGAGGGAATTGGGTATGCAGGACTTTACACTAAAGGGAGTATAGTGAATGAGATGGGAAAGGGTGGTGCACAGGGGTTTTGCATAAGAATTGCCAGAAGAGGGCGGTAATGCACCGTACACAAGAGTGCCAACTGCCGTTAAACTAGAAGAAGAAGAAGAAGAAGAAGACAGGTGAATGTGGAGTGTTGGTGATACATGGCAGATACTGGTGAGTAGATCAATTATGAATGGACTGTCTGTCTGTCTGTCTGTCTGTCTGTAGTGTTTGAGTTTTGCTGGTCGCTCAAGCTGCTGTTGAAGGTTATTGAAGAAGCCATTTTGAGTCTGAGCCCATTGCTCATTTGCTTGAATATTTCTGTAAACAGTTTTGACACTGTACATACTTTTCACTCTGTTTGGAGACTGGTGTAATAAACCCTAGAACGTACCTTTCTGGGTCCATGTATTATTCGTCCATTCAATCTAGTAATTGAAAAAACGAGTCAATATTTTGTTTATTTGTTTTTCTGTATAACCAATATATATATATATACTGTTTCAGCTCAAAACAGAATATATAATAGAGATGGAAACAAAATAATAAATCTTTTACAATTATTGATTTTGAGTGCGCCTGTTTTGAGCGTACGTGCATGGAGGTTACATTGACCTTCCCATGATCCTCAGCAACAGTTACCATGGCGAAAGATACGACAGAGCGGTTTGAGCGAAAAGGAAAACAAAAAGTAGATTTATTATTTTGTTTTCGTTTCCATCTCTATTATATATTCTGTTTTGAACTGAAAATACGAAAACAAACTTTTTTTTTTTTTTTTTTTTTTGGTTATGTAGAAAAAAATAAAGAAAATATTGTCTCATTTTTTCGTTTTTCATTCACTAGATTGAATGGAATAATTGAACGGACGGATAATACACCTTTCTGACTCCGCCATACTGATTTTCTCTTGGAGACCCCAAGACGTCTTCTACTTTCTCTCTTCTTGTCATTTGTTCCTCCTTTCACTCTGCTCCTCCAGTTCCCATGATGCCTCAGTGCAGTCACACAAAGGTCATTTCACATCTAACATTGTCTTTAGTTTACACATAAAACACACGTTTGTTGGTGTGTGTAGTAGGAGGTGTATGAAACAGCTTTACTTACACAGGTGTGTGTGTGTGTGTGTGTGTGTGTGTGTGTGTGTGTGTGTGTGTGTGTGTGTGTGTGTGTGTGTGTGTGTGTGTGTGTGTGTGTGTGTGTGTGTGTGTGCGTGCCTCAGAGGTTTATGCTGGAACAGAAGTGTCTGCATCCCTCTGAGCAGTTCACCTGCAGGAATACAAACGCACACCTGTCAGGAGTTTCTTTGCAGATCTGTAACTCTCTCACTCACTCACTCTCACACACACACACACACACACACACACACACACACACACACACACAGAGTGACAGGCACATGTTCCCCATATTAACATCTCTGTCATGGGATCATGCCCCCTGCAGGTTGCAGACTTCACTGCAGCCGTAACGTAAATCTGAAATCCAGTCTCTTTAACGCACATCAAACAGCTGCAGCGCTTTGACGTGTGTCAGTGTGAGTCGAATACCCGTCGCTCTACTTCCTCGGTATCAGCGAATGTCTCTGCACATCAGATTCAAACTAGTTAAGAGACTCGACTTCAAATCCAACTCCTACATCCTCCATATGACACATGATATACACTCCATACTACAGCTCGGGATTCATACTGGAGCTCAGAAATGTTGGGATTAAGCAGGTTTCTGATATCTGACATCGAAAATAATGAACACAAAGACTCCGATGATAGATAACTCTGACTTGGCTAAAAGATGGTGCACACTTTGTGCATTTTAAGGTATGTGAAAGCCTATTTACCTGTCAGCACCACGCCACTGGTGTAGTTTCAAAGCTTAGGTTGACTTTTTCTACAGCATGAAAGCTCTTTTGTTTTTGTTTTTCTTCACGACTTTTTCCAAACCTATCAGTCGTGATTGATGCCGTTTTCCTGGTGACATTATTTTCAGCCACTGCGCCTTTTTCTGTGCAGAGTTAATTTCACATTAATAAAAACAAAACAAAACAAGGTTACTTGAGTTTCTGGCTCACTTTGAATCAGGGTGAGAGATCTGCTCAGTCAGATACTTAGCCAAGATTTCCACCACATCCGGACCGGCGGCGATTTTTGCCTTCTGCCAATTCCTACTGATCCCTTTGTGAGGCAAATTTCATCGCAGATTACGGACAGCAGGAATCGCGAGAACTCACCAGAACCCGCGGATTCATGTGCAGTCAGGTGATAACAACTTGTCTTTAGCCACAGAGGCTAACCATATAAGCAGTAGATTGTGTCCTTCCACAGGAGGAAATCTACTTCTAGACTTCTACAATCAGCATCTCCTCATCCATGGTGTCATCGGGGTGAAATGACATCTAAAAACCTTTCACTTGTTCGTCTCTGCCCGTTTGCATGGTGTGAAATACGATCCTCCTGAAACACAGAGTGTTTTATTTTGAAAAGAAGCCGGATGTTTTATTTTGTGTCTGTACCTGACTTCCTTTCCAGCACGGGTTAATCTGTGCTGAATTTATCCGCCATGATCCGGCGTCCGGAAAAATAGAACTCTTGCGATCAGCTCTGGAGTCCGGCGATCAGCAGCGGAACGGAAAGAAGCCGGTGGAAATTGACAAACTAACTTGAATGGTAACAATTGGCGGATACGACCTTTTCGTAGACGTTCTGGATGCGGTGGAAATTAGGGGTTAGAAACAGCTTATCTCCCCGAAAGCATCATGTAGATTACCTCTGAATGTCAGTGTTTGGTGCCGTGAATTTGCATGAGATACACAAAGTCTGTGATTTCCCAACATTGAAAAACCGAAGCGTTGCACATCATCTTCCTTCTCACTTCAGAGTCCACTCAGCAGTGAATTCAGGATCCACAGCCTCTCTCTCTCCTCAAGCTCATTCTGTCCCTTCGCTTTTCAGACACACACTTGGAGGTTGCACTTCTTTGACCTTTATCATGTTTATCACATTCTTATGATCCTGGGAAGCCCTCAGCCTAATTGGAATTAAAAACTGATTAATCGCCCGGCTCTGATCCGGACTTTTAACAGCACCACCACAGTATGAGGTACTTCCTGTAAAGTTGGAGGGCCCAGATCAGGATTCACCGTCTTCAATGATCTTCAGTGGTGTGTCGGAGTGATCTGTCTGGATTAGGTTAATTGTTTTGCTGAAGCAGACATCTCTGTATTCTGACACTTTCTGGAGATTATCCTCCTTTTAACATCACCAATTTAATCTTAATCCAATTACACTAACAGGGTGTAAACTCACCTCCTTTATCCCGACTCTTTTCTTCCCCTGTAATTCATCCTGCTGGCTCCTGTCACATCACATCTTCCTCTCGTTGTCTACTTTCCTCTCCTCCTCCTCCTCCTCCCATGGAGGTGACAGTGAAAACAGCGGCTATATTAAGCTGCGCTCAGGAGCGCTGACTATTGCATTATTGTTCAGCGTGTAATAACAGCTGTCATCTGTGAGGACACAGCAGAGGAAAACGTTAAAAATCCCTGCACGCCTGTCAGCTTCACTCTTTACCTACATGGATGAGGGGGAAATGAAACAGAAAAAAAAAGGCAAAGAGTGAAATAGAAAGGTAAGGAAAGAAGGAGACAAGGGGATTAACTGTACCAAGAGCTGAGAAGATCTTTACAGACTAAAGAGGAACTGAAAAAGTTTATTTCAAACCATAAAAGTCCGGTCTCAAAGCTGGTTTCTCTCCTGATTTTAGAGATGTCTTTTCTGCAGAAAATCAGCTTTTATCTTTCAGATTAGCAACTCAAAATAACCACAGAGACAAAACCAGATTACTGATGAGGAAACCCAATCATCAAAACCTTTAAATGGGTTTCCTTCAAGATTTCAGACAGGGAAAATTACAGGACAAAACGGGAATGAGGACGCAAATAAGAACTCAATGTCCACGATGGAGAATGTTGGCCTCTCTTGGAGATGATGGAGAGAGAGAGAAAATTAAGGATCGACCAATAATCAGCATGGATGATATTATCGGCCGATATTCAGCATTTTTACAAAAATCGGCATCGGACGTTTTTTTTAACCGGTAGCCGATGAAATTTGTTTATTTTTAAAACGTGCTCGTTCGGCCTGAAGTCACTACTCTTGGCTGTGTAACAATGCCCCGCCCACTGTCCCCACTGATTGGCTACAAAGACAGCCAATCAACACTCCAGCTTCTAGGTGCAGCTCCACAGCGAGGGAGAGAGAATTATCTAAGATTTTGACATTTTTACTGCAAATGAATATCGGTTCTAAATATCGATTATCAGTTTCCTTGATGACTAATAATCAGTGTCGGTATCTGCTCTAAAAATAACCATATCAGACGATCCATAGAGAAAATATTTTCACTCCCATTATACATGCACATAAAATTACACATCATCCTGTTTGGTGCAAACACCAAGAAAAGTACAAGAATAAATACATAAATAAACGCAAAACTAATTATAAAATTTCACTTTATTACTTGAGAGTGTCTGTCTGCAGCTGTTTCTGTGTATATTTTAGTGTGCGCTTGATGGAGAGCTTGATGACAGTCTCGGTCTGGAGTATTTGACCTGGTCAGGATATCCTTATTCTTACCAAACTCAGGGCTCCTGCATCTGTGCCGTCTGATTTTAAATCTGAATTTCTAAAGCTGAATTTTTTTGCATCAAAATCTGACTTTTAATTTTCGAAACTGTCGAACTTCAAGCACATATTTTTATTTCTGATACTTTTTTCACAATGATGAAATAAATTCAGTGTAAAAAAATCTGTCTCTCAAAAGATTTGTTTAGTAAAAATTTAACTTAAAAGAAAACTGTGTAAAAAAAATATATATATATAACAGTAAAAAAAAATTTAATAAAAAAAAAATTCAGTGTCAACAAATTCAGTGTCAAAAAATTCAGTGTAAAAGAGACCGACTCAACATCCGGGGAACCAGGGAGCGCAATCAATTCCCGACTCAATCAACCATCGCCCAGCCAATCAAATAATGCTAGATTGGTCATGTGACACCAACTTTTTACTACGCAAATATTTTGAGAGACCAATTCCTTTTACACTTAATTTATTTCATCATTGTGAAAAAAACAAGTGTCAGAAATAAAAATGCGTGCTTGAAATTCGATGGTTTTGAAATTCAAAGTCTGATTTTCATGCAAAAAAAATTTAGCTTTAGAAATTTAAATTCAGAATCAGCTGGCAAAGATTTACTTCCATACACCTCTTTTAAAAGCTTTGATAACACGACACATCGGATTGAAACGGCGAGAGGGAAACTCCTCCTCTCTCGCATAAATTCGCATTTTTGGCGATAACGTAGACAGAAAAGTAGTAAGTTATTCAGATATGAGCAAATGAAATGAGTGAATAATTGTATTTGCTTTGAGTGTGACTAAAACTTATGATGGAGTTTGTCTTTGGTCTTTTGGGTTCTTATAGAAGATAAAGTTTTGCATAAGAAGAGGATTAACTTGTTTTAAAGACTTTGGTTTAATCCTGATATCTCCGAGTTTTAGAGCTAAAACTCCAGCAGAGTTTACCTTTGGACCTTTTCCAGCCTGGGAGACAAATAGAGGGAGAAACTTTCAGGGTTCATTAAACTCCAGAAGAGCGATTGTCTCAGTTTGGCCCATAAATACACCAGAACCACCCACAGTAAATCACTGTCACATACACAAAATAAACTTCCAGAGTGGGGACTTGAGTCAAGACTCTTTTCTGCAGTGTAAACTAGTTTGGTTTAGCCCTCTTTGCAGCTTTCAGGACTTCCTGCTGATGAATATTTCAGGGATACATTAACGGAGACGAGCTTTGCCACCACCAAGGTCAAAGGAGGAGGGTTGAAGATGTCGCCTTGATGTCCCGCTGAAGTCAGACGAGCAGGTTTTTACAGCAGAGGAGTCAGAGGACCAAACACCCGGTGTCACATCAAAGTTAACTCGAGCTCGGTTTCTGACACGTCTCCAAACACAGCTACTCTTGACAACATAACGCCCACCTTCCCCGAATTCTCTGCGGTATTTTCTTCACCTGTCCTCCTTCTGAAGAAACAGAGGCGAGGGTGAAATTCAGAGACCAGAGGACATGTGGTGGCTCTCCTGTCTGCCGTCCTCTCCTTCCTCAGTTTCCTCCTCGTTTTCTTGAACTGCAGTTCTCCTTCTTGGCCTTTGTTTGTAGTTTTCAGACCTCCAGAATCTTCCGCCTCCCTGAAGCGATCTTTAATAAGGCCGTGATGATGCAGACATATTTTGGCTGAAGTTATGTTTGCTTACTTGGCCTCATTATTGCAAAAACCTCCCCCTACCCCTCATCTTCTCCTGTCACTGGCAGCCCCGTCAACACTAACAGGATCTGTCTCTCCTCCCGCTAATAAAGAGCTAAAAAGTTCTGACTTTTCTTGACCAGGGAGACACTTTGGGGTAAACTTTTAAATTCGAAGACTACAAGGAGGAATTAACGCTCAGACACGGTCTTTCTCCAAGTGGATCGGCTTAATTGCTGCCAAATCCACCTCGAGGGACTTCCCCAGACAGAGGGAGCCCCGCCTGAACTGAGCTCACCCTTCAAATACCCCCCTAGAGTGGCTTTAAATGTAAATGTTCAAGCGTTTCCTCCATGGGGCGATTTCATGCATATGCAGCAGTTTCACCGGCTGCTATGTGTCACTTTCTGAACGCAGTCAGGACCTCAAAGCTCTTCTTTGGATCCTCGTCTTTCAACAGATCCCAGATTAGTCTGATTTTAAGGATTCAAAAACACCCCAGGACACCAAAACCGCCTTTCATAAATTGGGTTTGAGTAAGATGGTGGCCTTTTTTTTTCCTTGGAAGGCGCGATCATAACCAAATAAGGTAGACATCAAAGTTTGTATCTTTCTTTTGTTCAAGGTTTTAAGGATCTGGTCGGAGTCCTACCTGCGATGTTCTCCAGCTTTTCCTGGGTTATCCTGAGGGGTTCCTGAACAAGTACTACTGGCAATTTCCGGAACAGCTACGAAAAGGCCGTATCTGCCGATCGTAGCTGATCTTAACCATTCAAATTAACGTGTCAAATTCCACCGGCTTCTCTCCGTTCCGCTGCGGATCGCCGGACTCCACAGCTGATCGCAAGAGTTCTATTTTTTCCAGACGCCGGAGCATGGCGGATAACTTTGCACAGATTAACCCGTGCTGTAGAGGAAGTCGGGCACAGACACAAAATAAAACATCCGGCTTCTTTTCAAAATAAAACACTCCATGTTTCAGGAGGATCGTATTTCACACCATGCAAACGGGCGGAGACGAACAAGTGAAAGGTTTTTAGACATCATTTCACCCCGATGACACCATGGATGAGGAGATGCTGATTCTAGATGTCTAGAAGTAGATTTCCTCCTCTGGAAGGACACAATCTACTGCTTATATGGTTAGCCTCTGTGGCTAAAGACAACTTGTTATGGCGTGATTGCATGTGAATCCGCGGGTTCTTGTGAGTTCTCGTGGTTCCTGCTGTCTGTAATCTGCCTCACAAACGGATCCAGTAGGAATTGGCGTACAGCTAAAACCGCCGCCATTCCAGATCGGAGCCGTTCTGGATGCAGTGGAAATTCTGAGCCAGGGTGACCATATTCTGAATCCCCAAAAAGAGAACGCTCCCACGTGGGGCGGAGTCATGGAGTTGTGTATAGTAAATTTTAAGAGTTTTTTTGGGTCAGGTCGAGTGTTTTTTTTTTTTTTTACGTGCTTCTAACTCAGTAAGTCCATGCAACACAAACTCAAAACTTCCATACAAAACATTTGAAGGATTTTATAAACTCCCCTTGAAAAAAGCTGGACAGCTCCAAAAATGAGGACATGTCCAGGTAAAAGGAAGTACGGTCACCCTAGTCTTGTGTTTATCTTGATTAACTTGACATGAAATGGCTCTCATCATGTGGTGTTAAATCAAATTACGACATTCTGAAAATCATCGTGTTGTGTATTTATCTGACTGTATCACTGGACTCTCAGCGAACCGTCTCGTTTACCAACTTTGTAAAGGTTTCCAAATCCTTCCGCTTATTGGATCATCGTCCAGTTTCGCTGAGACGTCTGACACCTGATCTCACCACTTCCTCCTGACTCTGAAGGGCTGCTTTAGGTGCTTCAGGTTCTCATATTCTGATTTATAACTTTGCAAATTAAATTTCGTCTAATAAGCAGGTTAGCACGTTATTATTTCCAGGCTTGCTTCAGCATTGTGACACATTATCCAGTGTGTGCTTTCTCTGAGAGGGGGTGGAAGTTTCTAATAAACTGTGAAGAGGGAAGAGGGAGCACCGCGCTCGACTCTGCGGTCAGAACAGAAGCAAGTTTTATAAATGTTACAGAAGTTCAAAACAAAAGTCAATATTTTCCTTCTTCACTGCGGGTCCATGGGAATATAAGGGAATCAAAGTGTGAGTAAACTCTGCTGCTGTTTGAAGATACACAAAACAACAACCAAATCACACTAGAAACTCCAACGAAAAGGTCTGAAGAAACAAAAGAAGCTGCTCAGTATCTTCATATGATTGATACAGTTTACCAAGTCCTCTGATATGCTGGTGCAAGGCAAGTCCTGACCTGTTACCATATGATCAGAACAGTTCTGGACTGTATTCATGGTTCTTCCAGGACACTTCTATGTTCTTAGTCATCCAAATCTTCATTGAAAGGGTAACTGGATGTGTTTCAGGTTCTTGAAGATGTTCTTCCTCGTTTCCAAAAGGCTTCTTCAGTTCTTAAAGGGATATTTGGGCGTAAAATTACGTTAGGGTCAAACACACCGTAACACCGAGTTAGACACCCCCTCGAGATGAAAGTTGCCGACCGCTTGCTTCTCTAGTTAAACCAACTTTAGTAACTTTAGCTGATCATTTCCAGGTAGTTCTGCCAAAGTGTCTCAATCTGATTGCGTTTCCATGAAGTAATGATCATAAATGTTCTTCCTGGGACCAAAGTTGGAAATTAATATCCTCTGTTGTTCACCCGAAGGTTCACAGCTGAGTCACCTGAGAGTCGTTAGCCGGGTTGTTGACCTGGTCTCATCTGAGGGGTTGCCCAGGTTTGTTTCTTTAGGTTTGCCATCCTAGCATGATGTTGGAGCCTGTGATCCAGCACGAAAATGTTATCTTGATCCAAAGCTGAATTATAAGTGAGGGATAAGAAGCGCTTTAGTCCACCATCTCCGTTCAAGGATGGTTTCTCCAGAACAGCTGATCCTGGTCAGAAGAGTTGGCTCTCCTGTGCTGGGCCTTTATGCGTTTATGTAATGGCTGTTTGTTTCCCCGGTTTACGAGTCCCTGCGGTCTTCAGTGCAATCTTTTGTGTCTGGGGATTTGTCTTTAGGGTCGACCAGCCTCTGTTCCCGGGATGTTGTGTTTCTAAAAGATCCTTCTGAGTTTCTCAGATACTCCAGACAAGCTCCTCGTTCTGCTCTTCTCTGTTGGTTCTTGGAGGACTTAATGAAGGCCCACTCGCATGATCTACCCACGTTTTCAGGTGTCGATGTTCCTTCGTCTTGCCTTCCATCTTAGTTGGTATCTTCTCAGCCCTGTTCTGATAGAACCGGGTTTGTGCTCCAGTGGATGGTGAGAATCGTGGTTTTTCTGTAAACTTCTAAACTGAGGCTCCTATTCTCTTTCAATCCAGGAAGGCCTGCCTGTCTTCTTTTACGTCCTCATGAGTGATGTGAGAACCTCAAGCAAGTCCAGTTGCCTTTTCACCAAAGAACTTGATAACCATGACCTGGAAGAATGCGACCCTACACAGGTATGATGTCCCAAAACCTTGAAAAGAAAGTCCACTCTGCCTGGAATTTATTGCCGAATGACTTCAAACTCACGGACATGATTTCCCAGTTTGACAGGAGTCTTCCACCATGTCGAAGCCGAGAAGATCGAACATTTACAGACATCTGCAGAACAGAGGAGGTCATTTGTAACCCTTAAAGAGCTGTTCACAAACACCAAACTGGAATTTCTCAAAAATACCAATTTGGGCTTAAAAACGTCAAAATTTAATTGAAAGCTCTTGGAGTGAAAAAAAAAAATGTTGAAATTGGTTGCAAAGTGTTTTGCATAGTAGTGTATGAACTGTGCCGATTTACTGCTTAAAAAGAGGAGACCAAAAAGGAAGAGGAATAAATTCAAAAGTGTGAAGATGGAAATAAAAGTAGAAAACAGTAAAATCCTGAAGTCAGCGTTAAACCTGGTGCACACAGACGTATAAACACACCTTCCAGCTCTCTTTTCTTGCAGAGATGATCTGCATACAGCAGCCCATCACTAAACAATAGCCCAACAATTGAAATGGATTTGCGTCCTCCTCCTTTGAGCCGTCAGTCTCTCTCTCGGCAGCAGAACAAACAGCTGTTTGTCACAGCAGAAATCAATCAGCATCTCATAGATCCTATAGATGTGTTTCCATTCTAGTAAATATGGATCCACATCTTTTGTTCATCAGAGAATAATGGCGTCCTGGAGCAGCTATATTTATCATGGAAACTCTCCGACAGAAAGACAAACCCCCCCTCCTCTTCCTCAGGCTGCTCGTACAATACGCCGCTCTCCTACACACCTCTTTGTGTGTAATTAGATTAGGCTGCACATACTCCATGTGGCCCACATAAAGTCTCCAGCGGCTCAGTTTTAATTTTCATTCCTCAGCAGCTTTCTGCGCCTCATTAAAGCCACAATCGTCACGCTTTTGTTTTTACTTTTACTTTGGTGTCCAGAAAAGGTATGAGACATTCACACAAGCGCTCAACATCAAAACATTCTAAATTTCAGAGCTTAATCTGGAGGGAAACAAAAGTTTATCATTTTAAATTCAATTAAAAATCTTTTAATTTTTGTGACATTTTAGTGGATTTAGAAGCACCTGTACATCCTATTTCTTTCAAAATAGATAATAGAAAAGAACAAGTATCAAAGTTGTAGGAAGTTATCACCAACAGAAAAGTAACGTCCTTGTTATTGTCACGGTCCAGAGTTAAACAAAAAGAGAAAGGACCCAAAATGCCAAGCAAAAAAAATGACAAAACTAAAAAAGCAACAAAAAGAGAAAAATCCAAAAAACACAAGAAGCAGAATCCAAAAAAAGACAATGGAAAAAAAAACACGAGGAGGCGAAGGATTCACGGATAAAAGATCACGAGGAACAGGCTGACATGAACACACACATCGACATACAATGAACCAACAAGACAGAGGGGAAGACAGGGACTATATATACACACTAGGAAACGAGCAACAGGTGAGGCAGACGAGACACAGGTGAGACTCATGGGTGATTAACGAAGGAGGGAAAACTGAGGAAGTAAAACAGGACTAGAGACACAAAATAAAACAGGAAATAAACACTGAAAACTGATCTAAAGAATAAAACACAGAGAACAGAAGGGAAACGGGGTCAAAGACAAACTGAAAACTCACAAGACAGGACTACAGAGAAACACCAATACAAAGAAAATACACTAAAAATCACAAAACCAGGGAAAAACTAAATCAACAGAACATATCACGACAGTTATCATCCTGATAATCATGAAAAAATCCATTAAATTGGAGGTAACTGGTGGTCTGAAATTTGACTTTAACGTAAAAGAAAAAAAAGGTGACCACAGCCATAAAAGAAGAGATTTACTGACGTTTGAGAGACTCAGCATACGTCCAGTTTGAAGTTTGAGTTCTTGTTGCTATTGTTTCTCAGGTCACAACAATCTACTTGTTGTTAAAACCAAACCTGGACTCTGTTTTTGTTATATTCCCACTAAAACACACAGTCAGAGAGCAGCAGATGAGTTATATCACACTCTCAGCCGTTGGTTTCCCAGTGGCAGATTTCTATTTAAAGTCCTGAGCGTTGGACCTTCCCACCGGCGCAGGGATGTTGAGTTAACGGCTGCGCCTTTTTTTTCGCTGTGCTGCTGTAAGACTCTGTTTTTATAGTGGAGCTGTAAAAAATTTCCACCAAGAGTTCAAGAAAAAGAGTCAGTATTTCGCTGTTTAAAAACACTTTACAAGTTACTACACACATAAAATCAAAGAGTGATATTTGAAAACAAAAAAGTGATGATCTTTCAGTTAAAACGTAGAATTTATAACGTTGCTAACTCCAGCACAAATCTTTGTTTCAAGGCAAAAATAGAATAATAAACCACTTCAGCAAATGCTGCATTCCAGTTAACTGTTAGGTTGGATGTCGGAGCTGAGTATGACGCTGAGTTTGTGCTCAAGTCCTCTTTTTTCTGTACAGCTCCATTTTTAAAGGTTTTTAGGAGGTTCATGTTTTCTATGAGTTACACTCGATACAGCCTATGGGCGTACGAAGATTGCGTAGCTTACCCGGGGGATACGCTGTTTAAGCTGAGTGTCATCACAGCAATGCTCAGCGAAAAATCCTGGAGATACCGCAATCAGTTGGGCTTTAAATTTATATAATGATGGAAGGCGGAGCCAAGTTGTCCGTAGTACATTGTCCAAATGCCGATTATTGGCCCAGGCCTGATGATTGGTTTTTTAATCGTTTTCATGGATTGGTTTTCTGGAAGATAAAGCTAAATTTTGTCTGCTCATGATGTGTCCACCTCTAAAATAATTAGTATCACGTTTTCTTTCTCTTTTATGAAAATATAAACGCGACTTTAAACCGTTTTTAGTCTTTGTTTGGTATCAGTAGTTCTGACCCTGTCGCAGATTTGAGCCAAATTTTACAGAATGGCCCATCAGCGCTTTGACA